TTTTTCTTTTAGATCATTCAGATCAGGAACTTGGATTGATTCCATTGCCTTATCAGTAAAACATGATTTATATAGCTCTCATAATATCCTGGATTTAAAGCTGATGATATTTTGGAGTATGTATATCCTATATAGTATATGAACTACTATGGTGGTACATCTTGTGTAGACTAGGCTTGATGCAACCTATAACTAAGAAGATATAAAAGGGTCAGTCACCTTTTGTGATGGATAGTCTTGTTGGCTAATATTTTCTTTTGTACCTTACTTTTTGTTTAACTTGTTCAGAGCCTCCAGAATCTTACTTAACTCTCCTTCAAGCTTTTCTTGAGCTTTCTCTATCTTCACAAGATGATTGAAATTTTATTATTCCATTTATCTAGCTCGAGCTTTTAATTGTATTGGTGAGTTGATTGTGTGGGGTTATTACTTGGTGGAGCTATCTTTGAACCTTGAATACCATAATTGCATTATTATTAGAAATGACATGCTTTATGTTTGATAATTTAATGCATGATTGAAAGGTACTAGTGTAACGCCCCCAATCCCACATCAGTAGGATGTGTGGATAAGGAATGATATATATGTAGAGACTTAATCTCAAACTTGTGAGACGTCTTTTGTAGGACAAAACCCTGAGACCTTCGGATCAAAGCGGATAATACCTCGCAGGTTAGGTGCGGGTCTCTACAACTAGTATTTTTCACATAGCAATCATTTTATATTAGTATAAGATCTGATTTATCAATAACTAATATGTGGAAAATATTCCCTATATGAAAATGATGCTAAAGCACAATGTTAAACATGATAATGAAAATGATGCATGGAATTAAATTTAAGTACTAATTGAAATAATGCAAATGCACAAAGTCAAACAAATAAAATGGTTAGATAATTAATATATCACACAAATTTTTTCTTCTTGTGTCCTAACTTTAGGTTACATCTATCAACAAGTAGGAATGGCTCTATTTTAAGGTTGGTCTCTTAAGAATAAATTATATACTGGGCTAAGTAATTTTGACAACTAAAGATTTTTAAATTATTTTTTACATAATTGTCCATCACAGACTAGTAAAGTATTCTAATCTTCACCCATCATAAGCTACCAACAAAAATGATTCAATTTGAGTAAGAGTATTTCGTTAGCCATTACGGAGATCATCATCTCATGAGAGTGTAAGTACTTTACTACCTCTTAAGAAGAATGGACTTCAGGTATAGAGCTCATGTAATGCAAATGCATGTGAAAATATATGTGAAGGAACATATAGGTTTTCAAACCCCATAAATAAAATAAAAGACAAAAAAGAAAAAAACGTTAGTAAACAAATAATATAATCAATACACTTTAAAACTATTAGATCAAAAGATAGGATAAATTTAAAATGTTATGGCCTGACTCTCTATGCATATCCCTAGTAGAGTTGCCAAACTGTCATAACATATAGATCCGAAAATCTATAACTAAATACAATAAGAAAGGTCGCCACCAATCTTTTCTTTAGGTGTGATTGGTCACCTAATGAATTTATCATTTTATGAATCTCTTAAGTTTGACTAAGGATCCATAAAAAATAGTTTCTAGTCTATTAATCAGAATAAGATTCAGGAGTTCGGTTACATATAGAGAATGTTATAGCATTCCTACATATCCATCCAAAGGACACTATCATTTTATTTTAAATTATCCTAAAGTCTTGATTCTAATGATCTTAAATTTTAATGTTGAATATTGAAAATAACTCTTAAGATTTTTCATCAATCTAGTAGAATTCTTAAAAAAAATTTTCTTCACCTAAAGAGTATTCAAGAATTTCATTTGTTTTCTTAAAAAGACTCCGTCGTCGAAAAAAGATTTAATCATTATTTTTATTTTTATTTTTTAATTGAAAATATATCTAATTCTTCCACCATTTAGGTTAAATTAAAAATATTTTCTTATATAGAAATTTTTTAGATAATCATCCATTTGTGATTACTAAAAATTTCATCATTAGAATTTTTTTATTATTATTTTTATTTCTAAATTTTTCACTATTTAGGTCTATTTAAAAATTTTCTTGAAGTTTTATTTCTAATTTTTTTACCATTTGAGTCTATCTAGAGAAAAAATATTATCAATTTTTTTTATCTTTGAAAAAAAATAATATGACAATTATTTATTGAAGTTTCATTTAAATTATTCTATCATTTGGGACAAATTTGAAGAAATTTCTCACCTAGAGATTTCTTAAGAAATTTATCATTTGAAATTTTTAAGAATCTTATCATTGGATAATTGTCAAATTTTTTTCAACCAATTTTTTTAAAGTTATATTTTTTTATTTGAAAAATAATACAATTACTTTTATTAAATTTTCATCTAAATTATTCCACCATTTAGGAAAAAATTTAGAAAAATTTCTCGTCTAGAGATTTCTTAAGAAATTTATCATTTGAAATTTCTAATAATCTTATCATTGGGTAATTAATATTTAATTTTAAAAATTTTTTAAAAAATTTATTATTTATTATTTTTTAAAAATTGAAAATAACTATTAATTATTATTATTATTATTGAAACTTTATTTAAATTATTTCATAATTTGAGATAAATTTTAAAAAATTTCTCACTTAGGAATTTTATAGAAATTAACCTTTTGCAATTTCTAAAAATTCTATAATTAGATAATTAGTATTTATTTTCAACCAAAAAAAACTTTATTTTGTTTTTTTTTTAATTTTTTCTAAATTTAATTATGTAAAAATACTTTAAAAATAAATACACATAGAAATAAATAAATAAATTAATAAAATACTAAGTAATCGGCTTGGCTTCAACAACTAAAGGGCTCGGTTAGAGACATAGATGGCAGCTTCAGAGATGCAGCTCGACGGCTTGGTGTGGCTCGACAAGGCTCGGCTCCGAGTTTTAGCTGCTAGAAGTGGGTTGAGATCACAGTGCTATGAGTCGGGTCACCCACTAAAAAATGCACTAATCTTGAGAGTTGCTTAACCTCCAAAACATTGCCATTTAAGCCTGAATATAAAGGACTAAATTTTTTCTTTTTCCTTTATATTCCTTTCCTTCTTCTTTCTCTCCTCTTATCTTTTCTTTTCCTTTTTTTTAAACCAAAAACACCGGTTGAATCTTTACTGAATTCTGAAAATTTTTATCGGAATCTAAGTTGAGTCGTCGGAAGTTCGTCAATTTCTAAAAAATTGACGTCGAAAATTGAAATGTTGCCAAAAAGTCGCTGAAATCTTTATAGGTTGCCAAAAAAATTCCACCGAAAACTAAAATTTTTAGAAAATTTTTCAAAAACAAATTTCTTTGTAAACCAAACAATCTTCTAAAAAATTTTTGTACTCTCTGACTACCTTTTGTGTAGTTTTTCTGTCTCGATCATATGTGTTTTGCTACTTGGTGTGAGTTTGTATTTATAGAGTTTAAATCCAGATAACTCTAAACTAAAAAGGATTTTAATTTCCTTTAAATTTCAACTCCAAATTTTAAGTTCAATTCAAACTCTTCAGTCCAACTCAAATTCTTCAATCCAAACAAACAGATTTCGTACAAACTTAGCTTCTTGATTTTTTTTATTTTTAGTAGAAAAACAATTAATTGGGATGTCTATAGTAGAATTAATGGAGTTTGTTTGACTCCCATATGGAGTTCAAACTGTGTGAAATCAGAAATGCAAAGCTTGGCATAAATGGTAGGAATGAAGAACACGTTCACAGTGGAGATATCATTCAAAATGAGTTGGCACTACTGTTTTCTTTGTCCTAAAAATCAAAACACTTCCCTTTTTTAAACAAAACTCTTTCTTATTGATTATCTTGTAAAAACCCTTTATGAGTAACGATGGGCAATTGAATTCCCACACACTTTCCAGGGGACTACAAAACCATTCACTAAATAAAAGTGTAGTGGCTTAGATGATCATAGTATTAGCAGTACTCTTCTTTTATACTAGAAAAGGAAAATGGGAAGGCCACTGGCTAGCAGGTGGCACTAGACCTGAAATTGTGGGACAAAGTAACCCAAACTATTAGTAGTATTGAAACTATACTCAATTATTGCTCACCCCTGGGCTAGGAAAACAACCAAGAAGACGATAACATGGCAAAATTAAATGGAAATGGACGCAAAAAGGAAAGTGAATACTTCCTTTGAATTTATGTTCCAACCTCCAACCAGGTCAAAAAAAAAATTAATACCTTAATTCCTAGACAAGAAAGCATTGAATGAGGGAAGACGTGTTTATGCCCATTGCTTAACACCTCAAATGTCAAGTGTTAGCTTACCATTACCTTTGAATTGATGTTCCACCTAGCGACCATGTCAAAAAAAAATTGATACCTCTAAACAAGAAAGCATTGAATGAGGGAAGACGTGTTTATGCCCTTTGCTTAACACGTCAAAATGTCAAGTGTCAGCTTACCATTTTTTCAACCGCCAAATCATTATTTACTTGTTCAGAGTTAAACCTGACCAAATTTTTTGCCAGGCCTTGCAAATCCAAACCCAAGAAGAGAAATGAAGATTGAACGCTAGCATGTACATAAAGTTCGTAACAAAGAGGAGAGGCCTTTAAGTGGAGGGCACCTACTTATCGATTTGTTTATTCCACTATGAACGAATTCAATAAATTCATTAAGTCAGACAATTTGCTACTTCTACTTTTTTGCTAAAATCAGCTTTCAATGAGATAGGCCGAAGAGAAGTAGACTTAGGAAAAGAATCTGGGTTAGAACTTGAAGGAAATGAAGATGTCCAAGAGACAAGTGATGGAGAGCTCGAAACCATAGTTGCCAGAAAGAGACTGAGGATTGGGCTTCTTCTTTTTTTTTTTTTTTCCACTAAATAATAATAACCAGGTTTATAGTTTCTTTTTGTTTTTGTTAAATATTTTTATCTTGTTTTGTGACATTTTTCTCAGTCTTAATATCTTGGAAGGAACTGAAACCAGTTAATTTCAAGTATTAGGACAAGGACGTCAAGAAACACTTGATTAAGTTGCCAACTCAAAAACAAATCCATGAATCTAATGGGTAAACGACAATGCTGCAATTATTCACAATTTATCTTTCAAGTTCTTAATCATTTTTCTGATGTGATTAGCAATAATTACAACAAGGATATCACAAGTCCACGCCCAAGGCCAAGATGAAATAATGCAGACATGGATCACTATTTGTTTAGGTTCAAGGTATATAAGAAAACATGAATAGAAATTTTGTGCAAAACAAAACCCAAGCATCCTTCCAGAGATGCTGGAAAAGAAATTTATTGCTGCCCTGCAAAACAAATGAACACTCCTATAACATGATACAAAAAAGAATGCCCTTTAGGGGAATGAAGTAGCAAGCCAAATGAAAGTTCTACAAGAATAAGCTCCCTGATATATGTAGCCCACTCACCATCTTCCGAGTTTTCAGCAGCACTTGCAACAAATTGACAAAGATCCTTGGAGGAATATCATGAATGAAGCCTTTTAGTTTGATTCGATGAGATCCCATCCACGTCACTTGAGAATGATAGAGAATATATTCATGCTTCTAAGCTTTGACTGAAACCATTAGTGATTGCGATAAAAGACGAATGCCAGCTTCAAGGTCTGCTAAGGTTATGGTACGCAGTTCATCTGCATCTATACAGTCAAAATTGAGTCTAAGATCTAGGTTCTCCCTAGCATTAACTAGCAATGGATCAACTAAACCTCCATTCATCTCCTTACGCTGCTTTTCTGATGTTTCTGTTTCTATTAGTCTTGCTATTGCATCCGCACTGCAAGTACCATGCAACTTAAATCCATATAACAAACTCTCTTCTGTTTGATTATTCATCTTGATATGGAGGATCTTGGCTAGTTCGTCGGAGTTGAAATCACTAAAATGAAAAAATTTTGTAACTCTTCTGCAGAACCCTTCATTAGAAGCAATTACACGCTTCATTGGTTCACTATACCCTGCAAATATGACTACAATTTTTCCACTGTCCATTACCGACATGATCTCTTCTAAGGCCTCCAATCCATAGTCCTTATCATCTGCTTTTTGCATGGGTATCAAACGATATGCTTCATCAACAAAAAGAATTCCTCCCTCTGCTTGTTGGATCTGCACATGATCAGTCATAAATTAGTTCATTTGAGAAAGCATAATAACCTTGATCAAGAAAAGGCACAAACAAAGAAATCCAGAAAGCACAGGCAAACACCTTTCTCCTTGTCTTTGGCCCAGTGTGTCCAACAAATTCACCAACCAAATCTGTCCGTTGGACTTCTGTTACCTTGTCAATAGGTAGAATTCCCACCATATGAAGTAATTTCCCAAGAATCCGAGCTACCATGGTCTTACCTGTCGAACATATAATCATCTTGTCATTAATTCTTATCAAAAATCATAAGAAGTGTAAAACCAACATGTTTTCTAGAGTATCACCAAAAGACAAGCAATCCATTTCAAGACATACGATCAAATATAATTTACCTGTTCCAGGATTGCCAAGGAATGCCATATGAGGAGGTCTTCTGGCAGCAACTTTCAACCCAAGTGCCCTGCGTCTTTCATCCAAGAGCATCCCCTTTGCCCATTTCCGGAGTTGTACTTTGAGCTCATGCAAGCCCACAATATTCAACAGTTCCTTTTCAAGTTCATCCATCTTAGCCTTTGTTTCACCACATGCTTCAAGTGCTCTTCTCTTTTGCTGCTCTTCAAGGTGCCAGTGGATTAGTTCACTTAACTTCTCACTTCCGGGGCCTTTTGAAAGATGTTTTATAGGAGTCATACCCTCCTGCAATGCAAAAGGTAAACCAACTATCAAGAGTTGGTATAAAGACGAATCAAGCAGAATGGAATAGTAGAAGTAAATGGAATGAGTATAACATTGTCCTCAGCACTGCAATCAGCATTGTACTCAAGTAGTGTCTTGACAGTTGCATGGTTGTCAGATCGAATCGAGTCCCAAACAGCAAGGTGTAATGGTGTCATTCCATTCTGCATAAATAACATGGAAGAACAAAATCTTCAAAAGAAGCAACACTTTCCATCCAGTTCTAATCACATACAACACTAAAAGGGAAATAAAGAGCCAAGAAACAGCACATTAGCCTTAGCTTCAATGAAAGCACCACGAGCAAGAAGCAACCGCACAGCATCATTACATCCATTCTTGGCTGCCATATGCAATGGAGTTTCTCCATACTGCAAAAGTGAACACATACAACTCAGAGGAGAAATCCAAAAGGTCCAAACCAAGGAGCCTTACCGGATTTTCAAAGGAAATCATCAACATATTGAAAAAATAGTGAAGAATACATAAAATGTTTAACTACCATATTCTTGGCCTCCAGCTCAGCTTTTTCTGGTCCTTGCCAGTCAAGCAAAAATTTAATTATCTCAGCTCTATCATATCCAGCAGAAATATGTAATGGTGTCTGTGCCATCTGCATTTATAACCAAATAAAATCAATAGACCTAAGACTAAGATGGAATAGATTCCATACGTATGTGCACACAGATATATACATATATCCCTAACAGGCATTCAATTCGATCTCTCTAAGAAGAAGCTCATACTTAAAGTTACTGTTAGAAGCTCAAAATCAACAATGAAGTGGTTATCATGTGCCACAAGTCCATGAAGAAACAATTGAAGGGGTAAAGAAGAAGAATATAATAAAATTGGTAGCAAGCTATTATAATAAACACGGAAACAATAGATTTGCACCTGCTGCTTTGAACAGGTAAAATATTAATTCATACAGAAGGCCTAGGATAGTTTCATCAGGATTTGAAATCGCCTCACATGCTGTGCATGGATTCTATCATATTTATGCTCAAAATCTTATAACTGCCCTTGACAACAATACTTTTCGCAGTAAACTTAGAATGTATGTTGAAATTTTGCATCAATGAATGATTAAAAGACAGTTACACTTGCTTAAGATGACGAGTTCATGCCCCCCACCGAAAAACATCATTAACCCATTACTCTACCCCATCAATTCATTCTGTATAACGATTGCTCAGTGTCACCCTCAACCTCCCTTGTGTAAATAGACAATCTTGCTTGCACGAAAAAACCATGGAACACTTTTATTATTCCTTCAGTTCATTATTTCAAAGAAGGTAAAATAAGATGCTATGTATTTTTTTCTATAATACATAGCATCCTAAAAACAGCAAAATTATAAGAAATGTAAGCCTTTCATTAATCTTAAAACATAAAATTTAACCAAACTAATGCTAAAAGTGCAGCGAAATCATCCAAGTTCATGCGTCATTTAAAAAAAAAGGTAAAAGAAAGAATCTTACAACAGGGTTTCTCTCGTTGAGAAGAAAATGCTTGTCCTTGAGCAGCTTCTGGAGGCCAACAAGATCCCCAGATTGAGCAAACCCATGAATGGTGGTGGGCTTGGCAGATCTCGACCGTTGATCCTGACGCCCCTGCATCCTTTAGAAAAACGTTGAACGTGTTCTTTCCTTCTTTTTCTCTCTCTGTGGAAGTCAAGTGAAAGACGAAAGAAAGAACAAAATGGAGAGGAAATGAGAAAATAAATTCCCCGCTTCCGACGCTCGCGTCTGAATCTCAAACTGTTGTCTTTCAGTTCTTCTCTTTCCTATATATTCTCTTTCATTTTCCCGATTTTACGCGGTTTGGGGTTTGGGAATTGGCAGCTCTTTTTTTCCCTCTACTGTGGGCTGCGAGTGGCAGCCAACCTCTCTTTCCCTGTTTAGCTTTCCTAGTGGCCGTCGCCGCCCACGTCATCGCCACCTTTTTTTATGCTGTCAATAAACTACCCAAAATTCCTTATTTAGTAGTAGTAGTAAATCAATACTACTACACTTTTCCCCAATCTTTTCCCAAAAAAAAAAAAGTTTTATATTTATAAAATAGATCGGACCAAGCTTGGACTCGGTTTTCAAAAGATTGGACTTTGATTAGGCATTGTTGAAGCCACTAGACCCGAAAAGAATAGAGACGAAAATCGATCGAATTGAGATAAATTTTTATTTGTATTTTGATTTAATTTTATATATTAAATATTTAAAATTTAATTTAATTTAATTTAAAAATATAATTTTTTATATTTGATTCGATTTATATATATAATTGTAATTTGAACCTTAAAATTAATAAAATATTATTTTTTTAATATAAAATAAAATTAAATAAATAAAAAATATTTTTATATATATATTATCGGGTAGGATTTACTTAAAATTTAATTTTAAAAAATAATTTGATAAAATCGAATCAGGTCGAAATTCAACGGATTTCAATTGAATTGTCAATCCTAACAAAAGATTATCAAATTTAAAAAAAATATTTTTTAAAATGATCAAACTTATATAAGTGTCTAGTGTCCTAAATTTATTGAAATTAATAATTAAATAATTAAAACTTTAAATTTTATATTAATGTAAATTGATATTTTAAAAAAATATTTTTTTATGCTCTTATATTTATGGTCTTAAACCTTCTACTACATACATGATTACATTCAAACAAAAATGTAGGCTACAGGTTGGATAAAATGATCTACCAAATTTGCTTCTTTTATTAGTTTGAAATGGAGAATTCTGGAATTTGGTTCTTTTCTTGTATTAAAGTTGTGTGACGGTTATTAGCACTATAATTGTTCAGAATTTTATTTAAGCGGTAGATATTTGTATTTTATTAATTGTTAGAAAAATTAGATGTTGATATTTTTCCAAATTAAAAAAAAAAAAAACAGAAAATTATAATCAAAACTAGAGATGAAGATCAAATCCTTGGGTGCTTTTGCTCATCATCATCATCATCATCATCATCATCATCATCATCATCATCATCATCATCATCATCATCATCATCATCATCATCATTCGTGGTTATCCCCAGAGTCAACTAATCAAAATGAGTCCTCAACTCTCTGGTCGTTAATGGTTACTAATTATAGTAAGGAAAAAGTTTCATCACGAAAACAGTTATGTGGATATATATATATATTATGTATATATAACAATGTATTTTTCATTTTATTAGGCATGTTATTACTTATTACATAATAATAAGTAAAATTTTTGACAGGCAAAAATAAATAAATTGGATTTTTAGGAGAGAAGAAACTCATTGTAGGAAAGAAAAGATTTTTTTTTAAGCTGAAACATACAGCTTGTAGCTCCAGTCTCTTACAAAAATGGCCGCAGTGACTAAGCTTCATTTATGTACCTTCCAAGAGGACCAACACTCTTGTTCCAAGGAACAATAACGGAACTGGCGTAAACGGGGTTGTTTGTACGGTTGCCGTTATAACTAGAACCCTTATGAGGATGTACGTGGAAAAGTGTCGGGAGGGGAAGTGGAAGAGAAAGAGAAAAAGAAAGAGATGGAAAGTGAGAGAAAGTATGGGATTTTGATGGAAAATGAAGTGAAGTTGGAAAAAGGAGACGGAAATATTGTGAAGACAGAGGTGAGTCTGTTGATATGACTGTCAAAGAACTTGAAAAAAAAACCTCAAGGAAGGTATGACTGCAGGTGGCTCATCTGGCTGAGACGAGCAAAAGTGGTTGGCACAGCATGTGATGGGAATGTTTCCATGTATACGAGTACTGGCTGGGACAAGCTTTATGGGTTCTGAATACAGTAGCAGGCAGACATTAGATTTTTATATCGAAGCATTCTTTATTCCAACACTTGTAACATGTATTCATGTAATGGCTGAATCGTAATGAAATTTAGATCCTTTATTCATATTTGCTATTATTAGTTATTGAACTTGAGGCCAATTTCTGAGAGCATTCTTTCAGCAAGCCCCTTCTATATGTTTTCCCAGGGGCATGGGCCCGTTGAGTCCAGTTGCCCATTGGGGTGTGTATTAGGCAGAAAGCTCAACAGGGAAGGCCATGCTAAACAATTAGCAGAAGATTATAAAGGCCCAGATCCGTCAGGTTCTTACTCTTAACTGTAAAGCCTGCCGAGACCTTTGAAACCCAAAATCAATCCATTTTTCTCCACAATGCCTGAATATGTTAAAAGGCTAGCTTTGCATTGTCGTTAAAGTAAAAAAAAAATTAAATTGAGAAAAAAACATGTTTAAAAAATATGGTTAAAAATTTTAAGTATTTAATATTATTGTAGAATAGTATTTGAGTAATAAAAATGTTAAAAAAGCATGTCTAAAATAATAAAATATTATAAATATAAGGCAATTTAATAATTTTTAATTTCAAAAACACTTTGTCATCGCAAAAGTAGAGTTGCTTTTTGGTTTTAATTGTAAAACTAAAATTTTATACTGAAAAGTTATATATTTTTTATTATTTAGCATTGAAGTTGTGTTAAAAACAGCTTTCGAACACGGTTATTTTTCAATAAAAGTGCTAAACTAAACCTAATCCAACTTATTATTTTCATTTAAAATTGTACTTGACAAACTCAAATTTTAATTTAATTAATTCTTATAATTATTTTTTAAAAAAAATTCGATAAATTTAATGTTTAAATATCAATATTGAAAATATTTTCTCCTATCTTTATATTACAATTTTTTTTGGTAAAAATTTACTCAGACCTTATAAAAAATAACAACTTAAAAACAAAAGAAAATAATATTTTTGGTCATGTATAACATTTTAAGAAACCATTTGGAAGACAATGATAGCAGAAGTAAAAAAAAACAATAAAATGTTGTCATGTAGCAGTGGTTCTTTGAAGAAATAATTTGAGTTAAATAATTAGAATCCGCGTTAACCATGATTATTATTCACATAATTTTTGTATTATACTTTATAATAATCGCTAACTAAGTCCATTTGATTAGCCAAATGGCTTTGACTCCAACTTTGCGTGCATTGGTGGTGCAACCATAAATGATTCCAACCAATAACCACCAACATAACATATTTCACTTATGTTAGCCTTTGACTTTTGGTTGCAGAGCTGTATTTTTTTTTTTTTTTTGGTTTTCTAATTGTGTTCCCTTGAACCCATGAAAACCTAATGTGAAAGTTAAGCAGTTTAATGTGAAAATTGCATTTGAATCTTTTGAGAAATCAACCAAATTACAAAATGGTTGAATAACTATTGATACCAAATCAAAGGGATTTGATGTCTTTTGAAGCCAAATTCTTATCCCAAAAACCACCTGATTATGTTGAAAAAGATAATCGTTGCAATTTGGAACGTATCAGATTCACAAAAGATAAACTTGAACAAAGAATAAAGCTTGGAAAAGATAAGATATAAATGCAGAATGGACCAATAATATCTTAAAAAAGATAAAAGATAAAAAAAATTACGAGTGTTAAATTTTAAAATTGTTGAATGTTATATATTATATAAATCAACTGAAATAATTTATAAATTTATAATTAATCAATTTAATGCGTAATTCTTTATAGGACAAGAATCTAAAACATTACAGTTTTTTCTTTTTGTCGAATTGGTAAATTTCATAGCTGGATTGAAGTGAATAAAATTGGTTTAGTCAAAGCAGCGAATGTCGTGCCAGTGATCAAGAGAAGAAAAAAATAATAGCACGGCCTCTTGCAAGTTGCAACCTCCCAACTTTAGCCCCTCCCTGGAAAAAGTAAACAAACACGACCCACCAATTTTTCATGTCAATTTTGGAGAATGAAGAATATTCAGACGGCAGAAATAAGAAAAAAAAATGGCATATCTTTTCAAAACAACGAAAAAGAAAAAATATCAGTCTTGGAGAATATGAACTCAAAAAAAAGTGTCAGCATCATTCCTCAATGACCAATGTACATGCCCACCATGAGTGGCTATAATAGAGGAAGAAGTGAAAAGGATATGTGATTTTTTTACCTGAATTGGGCCCTGAATTGCTAAGGTTTCAAAGCATTATTTTTAATGTATAAATTTTAAAATTGAATTTCGAAAGACTTTTTTTAATAAAAATTGTATTATAAGATTAAAAAGATATTACGAGTACTGAAATTTAATTTAAAACGTGAATTATCATGTAATGACATGAATCAATGAGTTCAAATATTACTTGTTTTATATGCAGAAGCCTGATAATTAAAAAGCTACACCATTGGATTCGAGTGACAAACAGGAAATGACATCTGATAGCCATTGTTAATCAGAAAACAAGTATAAGAAGCCAATAATTAATTGAATTTGTTTCACTTGTGCTTGAATCTTGATTTATTTTTTCCTTTTTCCTCTGTTCTTCTGTTTATCTGGATATCAGGCACTTAGCAGGCATTGTAGATTTTGAAATTGTCAAGTCAAAAATGTCTCGAGTCCTAAGAAACAAGCCTGCAGCCTCACTGCACATTCAGGTTTGAACGCATCTCTCCACCGCCTCACCAACCAATTAGAATTTAGAATCAATTTGCCGGCGGCGTACTTCTTCCTCCGTTCTCCCATTTGAGAAACACAAGCCAACTGTTTATTTTCTGCAATCAAAATTCACCTCAAAGTTATTGCATGAGAGAAGGGATGCTTTCTTTTCGGTGGCAAATATTTTGCTAATGCTGGTAGTCTGGAACTGACACAAAAAATTCCAAAACAAACAATTCAGATTATGAATTATTTTTCGACAAATTCTTCCATTATAATATTCCTAGTTATAGCATTTTTTTTTAAATATAGTAGGAAACACATCCCCATCTTATTGTTTCAAATTAGCTCTTGGTTTCCAGCTGTTTTGCCTCTTACTTGGAGTAACAACTATCATCTTAAATATGTAAATTTTAGTAATTTTAAGCATGATACTTTAAAATTTTAATAAAAATTATATATAAATTTGATAAAAATTAAATTTACATTTTTTGTGTCTAAATATAATATAATATAATAAATTTTATATTTTATATATATTTAAAATAAAATAAACATAATACAAATATACAAATTATCAAATTCAAATAAATTTTAAATGTGAAATATATATATATATATAGTCGTGTAAATTTATATACTATAATTAAGTTTTACCTAATCCTTGACTTACCCTGCATATATAAATCTCAAAAAAAAAAAAAAATTATAATCCCATTGCCTGTTATCTGTTAACCATTTTGTTCCCTGACAAAGTCATACTTCACCTCTCCCTTACACCGATGTTTCATGACGTCACTTTTGAAAGAATGGAACAAGAAAATTTCAATCACTTAACCATCATCTTTGGGAAAATTTAACATTTCAAACTTTCTCTCATGAACCTCCATTTCTAAAAGCTACTCAATCCATTCATGGCTAAGCAAAATCAGAATAATTTATAAATGTCATCCTCTTAATAATTAATCAACATTCTTTTTAGCAGCATGCATTGATGCCAATTGGCGACTTTAGAACAGACATCTAAAACGTTGCAATTGTTTGTCCTTTCCTCCTTGGAAGTTTCAAGTAAATCTAAGTAATTTATGAATTTTTATAGAATAAAATATTAATAATATATTCGTAACATAAAATCTAATTTCAATACAGCCGTAAATTAAGTGAGATTAATTTGTTTATCTGGAATCCATATTAGGGTCAAATTGAGCTCATCTTTTTTTTTTTTTTTTTGTTGCGTTTAAATGACTCCAGAAAAAAGTCTATGGAATTGGAAATTTTAGAGCTTTTATGATTATTTCTCAACAAGGAAAAAAATGAAAAACTTTTGAAATTTGAGGCAAGAGAGTTTTCATTTACTAGACCTTTGAATGAATTTGAAGCCAATTTTTTGGCAATTGAGTTGGGGTTGATGGTGATTGGATAGGCAACTAATTAAATCCCAACCAATCTGCCATGATTGATTCTATCAGATTTTGATATTAAATTACTATATGATTATTAATGGAAACTCCTGATTTTTTTAGCTCTTCTTGACATATTGGAATATTCATTGCCATTGCAATTTATATTTGGAAAAGACTTGGGATTTTGTATGGGTTATATCATTCATCACTCACCCTGAATTGCATCTTGGATTAATAACTTGATCAGAAAAGTTCACAAGTGATCATATCAAAATGTTGAAAAGGAAAACAAGGGTAAATACCAATTGGGCAGAACAAGGAAGCTCTAATCAAAGCCTGAAACAACGCAAAATTCCAATTAGAAACTTCTACAAACACAAATACCAGAAGAGATTTGTATTTTTTTTTATTGGAATAGAAAATGATCCAAAACGAGTATTGGAAGGATAAAAGCGCGGGCCTGCCGCGTAAAAGGATCCCACTAAACAGCTCTTTCTTTGTCCTAAACTCAACTGCATGGCAAAAAATACATTATAACCAACAACAGCAATAGCGGACAATAACTTCCCATCCATTTTTTTAATTTAATTTTTATTTTTTAAGTTTTAATTTAATTTCATAATAATTTAAAATATAATATAATAATATGATACGAATATAATATAAAAATAATATGATTTAAAATTATAATAATAAATATATTTAAATTTAATAAAATAAATTTTTTTATATTTTTATATAAATATAAATTATAATATATAATTTTTATGTAAAATATATTATTAATATATAAATTTTAATATTATATATGATATAAATTCATAAATATATGAACAGCAAGGGCAGGGCCATGTGCAAACAAAGTATTAGTCTACTACTGCTTTCAAACTTGAAACGCTATGAAAACCAAAACAAATCCAAACCCAATTAATTATCTTATCCCTATTTTCTCTTCTTTCCTCTAAAACTTTACGCAAACATTCCTCTTTTTCAGTGAGCAAAACCCAATAAAGTTTTTAGTTTTTTAGAGCACTTTCTTTTCTGTTTCTTTAGACAGCAATGTCATCACCATCACCAGGGGCTGCCCCAGCACCAACGTCACCACCACCATCGACTAATACTACCTTCCCAACGTCACCACCACCATCGACTAATACTACGTCACCACCGCCACCAACCGCTTCAACTCCCCCACCAACTAGTACTCCCTCCCCACCACCTGCCACCCCATCTCCACCACCCGCCACCCCTTCAGCACCTCCGCCTTCAACTACCCCATCCCCTCCCCCTCCCTCGACTTCATCGCCTCCGCCATCATCCTCTACCAACCCACCGCCTCCAGCCACCACATCTCCCCCGCCATCATCCTCCAATCCTTCTCCTCCGCCTCCTTCTACATCGACTCCACCACCACCATCCCCGACAAGTTCGGGGACTCCATCACCGCCACCACCTCCAAGGAGTTCGGGGACTCCATCTCCCCCGCCGCCGTCTCCAAGGAGTTCGGGGACTCCATCTCCTCCGCCGCTGTCGTCTTCGTCTGATTCCAGCAGTGGGGTGTCGACGGGGCTGGTAGTGGGGATAGCAATAGCGGGAGTGGCGATATTGTTGGTTTTGAGTTTGTTGTTTATATGTTGTAAGAGGAAAAGGAGAAGAAGAGACGAGGGAAGTTACTATGTGCCTCCACCTCCTGGGCCTAAAGGTCAGATCTTGTTCCCATTTTTGGAATTAAATTGTTAATTGGAATTATGGGTATTGTTATTTTTTTCAAACAGGCAAATCGGGTTATGTTTATTTATTTATTTATTTTTTGCATTATAAAGATGGAATTTTGAATTTTTTGATATTATTTCTTTTTTTTTTTTGGGTCATTTTGGGGTTGCATGATTATTCTTGTAAAAAACACGTTTTTACAGTTGTGAGGATTGATCCGTGCTTGGAGTCAAGGAAATATTAGATGTTTGAATCATATGTTTGGGATTTTACATATACATTGCTGTTAGTGCTTTTGCATAGGCCTTTTCGATTCTGGTTGGATCATACGGAAGATGGAGAACTTTGTTTATGGTTTTCGCTCGAGCTATCATATGATCAAGCCTTTGACTAATTAAACCTTTGCCTTTGTTCACTCTACGTCCTTGCCTTCATGTTGTTTTTTACTTGAATTTCAGTTTGACTGAGTTTGGAGAATTTTATTTTGTTTTGGCTGTTTGGGAATCATTGAGGAAGATGCATATGCTAATTGTAAAAGGATTTTATCAATGTCTTAGTTACTTGTAGTCGTACTTTATTGACTCGGACCTAGGTAACCATAATTCAAAGAGCTGGTTGTTTTTTCCCAGTTGATCCATATGGTGGCCAGCAGTCGCAGTGGCAGCAAAATCCTCCCCCTGGTTCGGATCAATTTGTTGCAGTGCCTCCAAAGCCCACTCCTCCGCCGGTTATGGCATGGCGACATCCATCTCCAGGACGCTCTCCTACGCCTCCAATGCCACCGCCACCCCCACCTTTCATGAGCAGCAGTGGAGATTCTGGCTCTAATTATTCAGGTTCTGAAAAACCACTTCCACCACCGTCACCTGGTATTGCGTTAGGTTTATCAAAGAGCACATTTACCTATGAGGAATTAGCAAGGGCAACAGATGGCTTCTCTGATGCAAACCTTCTTGGACAAGGTGGTTTTGGGTATGTGCACAGAGGAGTTCTCCCTAATGGGAAGGAAGTAGCAGTCAAGCAACTGAAGGCTGGAAGTGGGCAGGGGGAGAGAGAATTTCAGGCGGAAGTTGAGATTATCAGCCGTGTTCATCACAAACATCTTGTCTCATTGGTTGGATACTGTATCTCTGGGACAACAAGAATGCTTGTTTATGAGTTTGTTCCAAACAACACTTTGGAATTTCACTTGCATGGTAAGGTTGTCTTTGGAGTTGCAGGTCATGGTGCCTCTTTGAAGCATTGTGAATGCTAATTGATGTTTGATTCATCTGGTAAAGTGATCTAACGGAGAATGCTAATTACAGGAAACGGGCGACCTACCATGGATTGGCCAACTAGGGTGAAAATTGCTTTAGGATCTGCAAAAGGACTGGCATATCTTCATGAGGATTGTATGCTCTCTGACTCTCTCCCTTGCATACTTCCTCTAGATGTATGATTTCAATCTCTTACTTTATGGTAAAAATTATCACTGTTTTCAGGTCATCCTAAGATTATTCATCGTGATATTAAGGCAGCTAATATTCTTGTGGATTTCAAGTTTGAGGCAAAGGTATTGATTTCATTTTAATTTCTTGGCATTTCTAATTATTTGAATCATGAATCAAATCCAAACAATTACAACCAAAACACAGGCCCTGAGCTGTCTGAGTAAAATCTCGTTTATTTAATTGACATAGATTTGCTTGTGTCAACCTGTTAACTAAGTTAATTATCTATAAAATAACATTCTTTCAATCTTAACACTTCTATGTTTAAGTTTGGATGCAGTAGTTTTGAATGTGACTGTCTTGCTTTATTAGGTTGCCCAAACATGTATGTATTTTTTCTCTTATTATTGTTATTGAGATAATAATAAAAATTTTGTATTCAGGTTGCTGATTTTGGACTAGCAAAGTTTTCTTCTGATGTCAACACTCATGTCTCCACCAGGGTTATGGGTACTTTTGGGTAAGAAGACCTCCTGCATTCTTGTTGCTTGGTACATAGGATATGCAATTAAAATATTTTCTTAGTTGGTTTTCATTCACTTAATTCTCGCTGTTTCCAGGTATTTGGCTCCGGAGTATGCTTCAAGTGGAAAACTCACTGACAAATCAGACGTTTTCTCTTTTGGGGTCATGCTTTTGGAGTTGATTACTGGACACAGACCAGTTGGCTCTTCTTACATGGAGGACAGTTTGGTGGACTGGGTTAGTTATTACTTATTACTTTGGTCTATGATGGTCTCTCTTTACAATCACACACACATCATTTCATCTGCATCTTATTCTCTGTCTGTCTCTGCATTGGTTGCAGATACATAATTCTATTTTTGAATATCTTAGAATCTTTTATTAAGTAAATCTGATTTGGCATTGCAGGCTAGGCCTTTGCTCACAAGAGCTTTGGATGATGGAAACTTTGACAGTCTGGTTGATCCAAAGTTACAAAAGGAATATAACCACAATGAGATGGCTCGCATGGTTGCTTGTGCTGCTGCTTGTGTGCGACATTCAGCACGACTTCGACCACGGATGAGCCAGGTAATTGGTGTTGGTGGCATTTCTTTCAAATTCCATTTTGGGTACAGAGATTCAATTCTAGGGATGCCATGTCTGCTTGATAGGTATGGCTCTGAAGATAGATAAGATGATCAGATAATTGAAATTTAACTGAGAGACTTGCATATTGTGTGCTTAAGAATCTTATTATGATCATGACCATCAACCAAGTTGGTTTAACTGGTGGTTGATGGCTCATGAGTGAATACCATACTTTCAGTTAGACCTCATAGTTACTTTTATATCCCGCCCATTGTTGAACTCTGACCAAAAACTCGTAACGAAGCAGATAGTCCGTGCTTTAGAAGGAGATGCATCATTGTCCGATCTTAATGAAGGAATGAGACCTGGACACAGCAATGTCTACAGCTCTTATGGAAGCTCAGACTATGATACCAGCCACTACAATGAAGACATGAAAAAGTTCAGGAGGATGGCATTCGGCACGCAGGAATATGGTGCTAGTAGTGAGTACAGTGAGCCGACCAGCGAATATGGTTTGTACCCTTCTGGCTCGAGCAATGAAGGCCAAACCACCCGGGAAATGGAGATGGGAAGGATGAAGAAGAATAGCCAAGGTTTTACTGGAACTTCAGCCTGACAATATTATTATACCTCATTTCTTTGTAAAGATCCTAACCCCACTTCTTTTTCATACTATTACTTGGATATCACTTTGATTGCTAAGATTGGCATGTTTTTTCATGAGATAAACACAAATTTTTATCCTTCTAATTTTGAAATTATAGGTTTTCATTGATTTGTATTTATTAGTCATTCACACAAAAGTAAATAATGGATACACTTTGGTTGATTCTTTTATTTGTTGCTTGATTGTTAATATCAAATTTGATGTGCTGAAACTGTAACTTTCTCCATTCATTTGTTGTGAATTCTTTCCTGTCAAAATTTGCTTGGATTGAAATTTTAGTCGTTGGGTTGGATCACCATGTTATATGGGGTGACATTAGTACCTAAGCTTCTAGCCTGCATTTACATCTAAGACTTAAAGCATCCATCCTTGATCCTTGATCCTTGATGATCAAAGCTTCGTCGGTGGAAAGATACCAAAATTTTGTTTATACCCTTTTTCTTTTTTGGAGACATAAAAACAAAATGGTCAATATTACTGTCAAACGCGGTTACTAAATCATTGAAACTGACAAAAGGGGTCCAGCTCATTTTGGGCTGTAGTCCTCTCTGGCTTCAGACCTCTGAGTGGTGAGTGCCTACCAACTAAACTTACCTGTGCCAGGAGAGATCAATGAGTCAGGTATCTCTCTATCATGTTTTGGACGTCCGGTGATTTCTTTTATTCAACAATTCATTGCCAACCTAAAATCCGAATCCAAATCCTTTTTCTTTAAGCGTATGGAAGACAGATATCACAAGACCAATGGATGTAAACAACAATTAACTACTTACTACAAAAGAAAAAGAATGAGAAAATATGAGACATGGTGAGCCTGTTTCATAAAAATGCCTAATATAATTTCTTGTAGCATGTCCTATCAACACAAATACCATGAAAACTTTGGTGTTGGACTAATATAGAAAAGGAAAAACACTATAAAGTAACAAGGCAAGGCAACAAATTCCCTACATGATAGATGCAAGTTTAGTAATCGGTACAAGGAGACTACTGGAGCTGTTTTTTCTTTTTGACGAAAGAGGTCCAATTTGAAGACAGGATTTTCAATTAAATGTCTTAATTTGCAGATTTTCTCCTTAATTTTAACTGTTAGTAATGAGTTTAGATGCATCAACTTAAAAGAAATCTGAATTAGTTAATGGTTATGCTAACCTTTGGAACATCTGCAATGTTTCTATCAAAATAATGTGGTTTTTCGGAAACCACTTTGCAACAGTCTTGTTTTGCTTGAATCCAACCCTTTAACTATAACGAATGCCAATGTTGAGCTAATGTATTAGTTATGGGATACCACAGGACAGGAAAGATTTCAAAGTCTAGACGTGTCATTTGCGGACTGTTGTGTGCTAGTTTATGAAGTGAATGTCATGAAATCATTTGATCACCTCAACAACTGGAGGGAGGAGTTTTTGATCCAGGTAAAGGTTTTGACCCTTTAGCACTCCTTCATTCCTGGTTTTTTTTTATCACTTAGTCGTTTATATTATCCAGGCTAGCCCGTCAGATCCAGAGAATTTTCCCTTTACCGTATTCGGTAACAAGGTGGATGTTGATGGCGGTGATAGTTGAGTGGTATGATGAATGTTCCTCCTTTCAGCATGTTTTTATCTCTTTAAGTTAATACAAGATGTTATCTTTGTCATCTTTCAATCTGAAAATCAAGAAGAGTGAATTTTTCAATCTGTTCTTTGTCTAGTGTAACTCTAGCATGGTGTTTACTTCATAAAGTAAAATTCTGTTTAGCTATTTATGCACAAGATAATGATATTAATTATGAGACATTTTTTTCTTGTAATTGTATGTCAATGTATAGCATTGGCTGCTCATTACCATTTTCAGGTGTCTGAGAAGAAAGCAAAGGCATGGTGTGCCTCCAAAGGAAACATCCCTTATTTTGAAACATCTGCACAGGAAGGTTTCAATGTGGAAGCTGCCTTCTAGCGTATTAGCCAAAAATGCTCTAAAAAATGAGCCTGAAGAAGAAATGCGAGTATATTCTTAAAATTCAATTTCCAGGTCGAGAGTTTTCAGCTGCTATAAACCTAGCATGATATTCACCATTGAAATTTATTGATAACTGTCTGCAGTGTTATACCAAAGTTGGATTATGTTGTTGTGGGTGATAATGACACATTTTATCATCCTTAAGACTCCTCTGATTATACATACTGTATTGATGGGTTTAACGCTAATTTGATCTTGTCTGAACATCCTCCTTTGATTGAATTCCTCTGTTATTTCGACTCAAAGCTACTATATGCTTCCTTTTGTTCTTCATTCATTTTCATTGATGGGTGGGGGGGGGGGGGGAATTTCATGTCATAAGCTGATGCGTTCAAGAGATCACTGTCCTTTTTTCTATTTGCAGGAGGGTGGGGTTTACTAGATAAGCTCTGCTGGTTTCTATTCTTACAATGACAGTTTCTGTATTTGATCGCACACATGCTAACCTAATTGGATAATTCATTTAACTTTTGTTGATGAAGTTATCTCGCGGCCGACAGCTGCAAAGTTCTACGGGTTGCGAATGCTAAGAAAACAGCAACTTCATACATGTTATTCAAGTTCTTTGTATATTACATTTGCTCAGAGAAACTCATGTGATGATACTTTATAAATTTATATAGTATATATTGTTTCGAGTAGGATGTTTTCATTTTTCTTTCCATTTATTGCTTCAGCTTTCTTTTAATTGTTGATAAGAAAACTGGTGTGGCAATTTCCTTTCATTTCATATATGAATTTGTCTCATTATGAGCATATGAACCAAGAATATTGCTACAAAAATGAGTTGCTACGAGCATATGGAAATTGCTACAAATCTACATATATGAATTCAAAATTAACTCGTGGTGCCGCAGCTGTCAAAACTTTCAAATGTCTGACAGTACAGGAGTAAATTTGTGAAAAGAGAAAAAGTAACTTCAAAGAAACTATCCTCGACTATAGATTGGCCTCCGGACAAAAAAAAAAAAACACTATAGATTGGCCAATCGACCAGAGCCAGATCGCTTCCGTCTCCGTCGTTTTTGTCGAATCTGCCAAATGCTCAAAAATAGTAAAATGCCTGAAGAACAGCACAGAAATTAATCAAATACTAGGCCAAAAAAATACAAGAAGATTTACTTCAAGATTAGAATATATGACATTCACCAACCTGTAACTGCAACAATTGCAGGTACAAGCCACTGACTAGCAACTAGTTCAGGCACATCCAGCTGCAAACGAGAGGGAAGTTTATCAGTCTTTAGATTTAACATATAAAGAGAATGAATCAGTTAGATCAAATCTTCTGCTTCTTACCTCATCTCTGTACAGCAGACCCAAGTACCTGTTTCCCGCAGAATCGCCCTTATTTTTCTCTGTAAACTTGGGACGCCTAGATTTGGTCGAACCAACAGTGGAGTTTAAGCCTCTCCCCAAATCAATAACAAGATAGCCCGGCAGTCTTCTGTTTCTTCCCCTAACGTGTAAATTGTATCCTTTAGTTCCCCACACTTCAAATCTAGAGTCACTCCGACAGATTAAATCCTTTCCAATGACAGCAGAATACACAGAGAAATTTACATCAGTTCTTCGAGACGATAAGTGGTTGTCATCTTCATACAATGGCGTATCTTGCTTAACAGACTCAGAGAAAAGCACTGAATCTTTAATATTTGAACCAGTGAAATCCAGTATTTTTCTTAGAAGCCCGTAGCAATTGGTAACCATATGGCTGCTATCCAAGCAGTTCGAGTCTCCATATACAGCAATGCGACCTTCACCAACCTCTAACAGGCCAAGGATTGGTGAGTCTGCCTGTACATGCCAATAGATCCCGTAAATTTCAATGTTTGCCAACCATAAATGATTAAAAGATGAAAATGTCATCTGTACTGTAATAATCTAATTGTAGGTGTGTACATGAGTGATTTAAGCGTATATGTGGGAAGGGGATGGGGATGCATGTTGCTCCATGAGTCCAAAAAAAAAGGAACATCAATGTCTAATCACCTTGTTCATGCCAGAATTCAGCAGCACATTTTGAGTGGCCCCACTTTCTGAGCTATCCAAAAAAGGAAAGCTGTGTACATACCCGCCTCTAGGGAACCTCACTATGTCTGTTCCAGATGCATATCGACTCTGCTCACCATCAATAGAAAAATCACCATTCAGAATCTTATCCCCAAAAGCTATCCCAAATGGAGCCAAAAGATCATTTAATGCTGGAATATTTGCACCTCCAGTTACAGGTGTCCACCAGCTCCTTGTGTTATCATCAAAAAATCTCATTTTCACCATTGTATCCACATTATACCACTCAGCAAACACAGCCAACCCCAACCCAGTATTAATGACATCATCCCTGAGCTTTTCAATCTCTTCTTGAAAGTACTCATCCTCAAGATCAACCAGCAAAAGAGTCCCGTATTGGCTAGCATCAAAGCATGTAAGAGGAGAACCAAGTGTCTCAACATAGTAGCCAGCATCTCGTAACATGTTGAACATAATGTGAAAATTTGTATGCAGGTGATCCCCATGCCAATCAAGAATATCATTCCGCACGTCCAATGAGTCTCTTGGAATATATCCAGGAGGATATTTAATACTGTGGAACTGATCCCATAAAACCCGTTTTGATCGTGGTGGAGTTGGAACCACATTCAATTTCAACTGGAGAATGCAAGTACTACTTCGAGCAGCCCTCTCTCCTTGGGCTGGAGGACTGTATAGTGTAACAGTTACATTGCCCTCAATCACTCCAGAAAAATGTACACCTTCTTCCTTAATTTGCATGTGCAGTGCTAAGTAACCAGTCCAAGGCCAGATGACTTCTGAATAAGTAAAGTGAATGCTTAGAAGATTCCCTTCCTCATCTGAAGGATGCCATGAAGGCGGACTTTGAACATAGCCAATGACACCCATCCCATTCAGAACAGTAGCATTGAATATCACAGGCATGGCACCAGCATAGAGTGGTTGACGACAAAAGGGCCAGGAATACGGACAATCTGTATAATCAAGAACACTAGGAAAGATGCTTGCTCGAGGTTGGTAGCTCTTTAGGATTTCATACGATTGTAATCTGACAAAGAAATAAAAATAATCAGAGCTGCTTCAACTGGGACTGGAAATGCAGATAGTCTGAATAAAAACAACAAGGATTAACATACAAAATAGATCCAAAAGAAATAATTCTGAATGTTAAAAGTGAGGATCCCTGTGATTGGGTGAGCTTACAGATCCACTCTCCCTGCACCCTGTTCATACATGTTAGGACCAGCAAGCTTAGCAGCACCCTCAACCAGTGCTTGTTTCATGCTTGCAGGATTCAAAATCTCCTTCCGTTTGTTCTCAGGAAAGATACTGACAAGCAGGCATACGACACCAGCAACCACAGGACTTGCCACACTCGTGCCCGATAAGCTTTTACACCCAGTACTGATCTTGGATCCCATAATTTCCCGTCCATATGCCACAACATCTGGTTTGACACGACCGTAACTGCAAAGGAATTAACCAAGTTAAATCTTTATGCTTTAATCAGCATCATAAAGCTTGCTTGTTAAGGGAGATACACATGGAACATCATAACAAAAAAGAAAAAAAAAAGTCAAAATGAGTATGAAAATTGAAAGCCTTCATAAAATCAGCACTGAGAAGAAGGGATAAATCATATGTGGCAGTACCAAGACCTGAACACATTTAAAGAAAAAAAATCTAGTAGAGGGGTTACGCTAATAAGAAACTGTACTCCAAAAGTAAACACATGTAAGTTTCACAGTCACCAATGCAAATACAACTCCAGCAAAATAAATTGAATCGGGACTCAGGAGCCAGGAGAGGTGGGCTTGCTTTTTTTGTTCTTTCTTTCTTAAAATGAAGAAGATTGTGGGCTAGAAAAGTTATTGCATAAAAACAAAAATTACTAAATAACTCACGTAGTTGATCAAAAATGAGAAAAAAAGGAAGAGAGACAAAAATAGTACAGAAGAATTTAAAGATTCAAAACCAAGTAGGATAAATACAAAACTACTAAATAAGTTAATATGTAGAATAGAAGGATATGCTACCCATGAGGAATCTCCCAAGTACTCATGCCACGCGATGAAAATGAGGCTATGTGATCACTATAATCGATGCCACCAACACCAATAACATCACTTTGGTCAGCTGGATTGTTTAAAGTGCCATAAAGTGGCCCATCATTTCCAATGGCTGATACCATAATAATATTATTGGCTGTTATTTCCCAAACCTGGAGAACCATAAAGCAGCAAACATTAACCAAAACGGGTTCATCTGCATAATATAAAAAAAAGGTATGCAATTTTATGTGTAAACAAATATTGGAAGTTTCACCTCCAAAGGGGGAACCTCACAAGCTGGTCCTTCCCTATTTGGAAATAAATTTCCAAAGGAGACAAACAATCTTCTTCAAAACGTAAAAAATTAGATAAAGTCAACTCATTCAATTTGAATGATCATACCATGATGCACGGAATTTAAGAGAGTTCATAGGAACTTGATGAAGGCAAGAAAATGCATTGAATACGATCATGAAGCTTGCAGAAAACTCAACAACTTTAATAAAGAAATGAGCCATTATGAATGAAGTGTTTCCATGTGCTACCAAAACCAAAATTATGGCAAAGTTGAAATTCAAAACTAGCGAGACAGACTAAAACCAACACTTTTATTAACAATTTCACAGTTGTGAAACCAAAATATCAAATGACGGTTGTTATATGAGCCTTAGTTATCCACAGGCACGAGAGTGGTACCTTCTCTACAAATGGGAGATCCAAGTAATCAGGACCACCTATGCTCAAGTTTAGAACATCCATGTTGGTTGCAATAGCATAGTTGAAAGCATCAAGGAACCAGGATGTATATGATACCTGCAATAAGCTGAGGACAAAATTCTCATAATCTAGCCAAATTTTATAGAATAAATCAAATGTTAAAAGAGAAAGTCTTAGGTTAAACTGTATGAAAAATAAAAGTCTTTCATTATCTTGCCTATTCATTTCTCAGATAAAATATCTTGTAATTCTAGTGATGAACAGTTCAAAAGAGCTTCAGATTTCCCTAATGCATGCTAGGCATTTTCAAATAAATGAGCAGAGAAAATACAGAGGAAATCAAGGACAAAAAGGGTGTGATTTGTAAAGACCAGGGGGCAACTTCCAATCACAATACAAAAATAAAGAAAATTTATAATACCAACATGTGTTACCTGTGCGTCAGTAAAAACACGAAAAGCATAAATCTCAGTATCTGGTGCAAAACCAAGACATTCTGCATCTTCACCAGCAATAACACCGGCAACAAATGTCCCATGTCCAAGATTATCATTCAAAGTATCCTCGTTAGTCCAATTAATACGTTCCTGAAAGATTAACTCTCGAGAGTGAATATTAAAGTTCCCCATTGAAGCCACATTATTAACTAGGCAAAACAAGAGTCATTGTCAATGCGAAATTAATTTCACATAAACATAAGTTCAAATTTCAAAGAAATGCATTTTCCCACTTATAATATACCTTAATGTTTCGAAAATGAGGGTGTTTAGCACGTATTCCAGTATCGAAAATAGCCATTTTGACTTTAGCACCAGTATAACCTTTTCGCCAAAGAACATCTGCTCCAAATAAGGAAGTAACTTGAGACCTCTGCAACATCAAAATCAGCAATTCCATAACTTTCCTTATTTAAATTCCCAAAAAACAAACATTGCAAATTTACTTAATCAAATTAAAATTTACCGGCATCAAAAGATGTCGACTCCAATTAATTGAGCAATTACTTGAAACTGAATCGTGGCAATGTTTCTCTTCACTAAAAGACATCGAAGTAAAAATCTTTCCGGGTTGCTTTTGCTCATTCTCAAAAGCACCACCAAGCAGGCCCCTTTTATAGCTAAAATCAACGTTCACATCTTTAACAAGTCTCAGCCTCTCAATTTCCTCAATCAAGGCTTCTTTTACTGAATCCTCAATCGAAAGCAGCCCAAAATCCGTCGGAAACTTAGCGGCCTGGTTGCGTCTCTCGATCCATTCCCAACCATCGGATCGAATGCTGGATTCCAAGTACGAACGGTGATCGGACGCCAGTCTGTAGTCGGTGAACCGGATTATGTAATTGTTACAGATGGCCTGTTTTTGGGTTAGGGTTTGGTTACCGGTCGGATTGAAGGAAAGCTTGAAATGGAAAATGGAAAGGGAGATAAGAAGAATCAAGAGGGCCGATTTGAGAGGAAATGAAGGTTGAATTGTGATCATGATGATCGGCCGTTAACGGTTGATTCGCTTGGCGAGAAATTCCACTCATCGGAGAGAGAGAAAAGAAAGAGGAAGAGATCTCTGCCTCTTCGGCCTTGTGTTTAACTTCACTTGCATCTTCGGCTTCCGACAACTTCGTAAATCTAGAGCGGACGACAGAAACGAACTTTTTGGAGTGAAATGCCACGTGGCTTAAATCGTATTCGGAATCAAGGAAGTAAGTGACGTGGCCTAATTCATCAGGCGGCAAAGTAAATACCAAAAAAGCCCTTATCTCTCTCCACCTAGATGTTACCAAAAAAAATCACTCCAACGTACAAAAATTTACAAATTCTACTTGATTTTAAATTTGAATTAAAATAATTTTTTTGGGTAAGAAGCTGCCGGAGGTCGATCGCCGGCGGTGGCGGTAGACGACAAAAGGCTGTCGGCTATCGAAATTTAAGAGAGATAAAAGAGAATTGGCAGCTTGGTAGAGAGAGGTGAAATTGAGAGAACAAGTGTACTTATAGTTAGGGTTTTAAGATAGGATTTTTTGGGTTTGTCTAAAACGACGTAGTGTTAGGTGTAAATGGTCGCTGCTTTCCAAAGGGAAGCAACTCCACGAAGGCAAGTACCGCAGCGCACACCGCACTGCTTCAACCCAGTAGATGGGGCCAGGCCTAGTACTCTGTGCACAAGCCAGAACCATAGTCAAGCTTTCGCTTTCACTCCCGAAACGGAAATTCCGGTTCAAGCCCCACCATCATCACCTCTACTATGTACCTCGAAATCTTCCTTCAACTCGCGTCTTTTGCGGTTGCGTTGGTTCCGAAACCCCAACGGTAGTAGATATAGCCACATACAATGAAGCTTTCTCAAGGCGAATGGCCATGGCCGGACTCAAACGCCGAAACCGTATCGGTTAGCTTCTTTTGTCTCTTCTCTTTTTTGGGTTTCTGTTTGTTTCTCGAGAAAAGACATTAGGAAATGAAAAGAAAAAAACTTTGTTATGCAAATTAGTAAATGGTTAATTCTCTCTTTTTTTTTTTTTTTGGATTTGTTTTTAGCTTTAGGAGTATCCGGGGGACCTGATAGCATGGCCTTGTGTATTCTAGCCGCTAATTGGAAAACTGAAGGCCTATGTGGGAATGGCGACAGTGGCAAATTCATTGATGGTCTTTTGGCAATAATTGTTGATCATGGGCTACGTCCAGAGAGCAAAGATGAAGCAAGTCTAGTGGGACATCGGGTTTCAGAAATGGGTATATTTTAGTTTATCAGTGAATGTTGAGTTTGTGAATTATCTTTGGATGGCTAACATGAGTTTGTGTAGGAATCAGATGTGAGATTGCCCGTTGTGATTGGTTGAATGGCAAGCCAAAACAAGGTCATTTGCAAGAAGCTGCTCGTGACGGGAGGTTGTTTGATTCCCCTTTTGAAGTTTGTTGAAAATGCTTGCTGGTCTGATACTAGTGTTGTTAGGCACTTCTTTTTTCATTTTATTGGTTTTGAGTAAGGATGCTTTATCTTTGCGGTTCAGCTTGACAGGGATAATCGTTTGATTAGTAACATTTTTTTTTCTCATTAATTGCGCTTGAATTTCAGGTATAAAATATTTCAGGATGTTTGTATGCGAAACCAGATCAGTGTTTTACTTGTTGCGCATCATGCAGATGACCAGGTTTTTACCAACATTAGTGTGCTTCATACAGTTTGCAAATCTGTGCAATTGTGCATGTATGCAGGATTGAAAAAAGTTGCATTAAGCCTTTAGCTATTTGTTTTTTTTTTTTTTAAATAAAAGCTCCATATTCATTTAGTTTACTGATAAGAAGCAATTGTCTGTTTTTGGTGAAGTTTCTCACGGAATTGATTAAAACATGAAGGGGCAGACAGAATATTAAATGTAATAATTTTTTATCAACATTGCAGGCTGAGTTATTCATTCTTAGATCATCTCGTAATAGTGGGGTCCTTGGACTTGCTGGCATGGCATTTACATCTCAAGTGTTCTCGTCACATACATATTTTTATAACGAAGATTGGAAAAATCATAGTGTTCTTCTAGTGCGACCACTGCTGGATTTTTCAAAAGAAGACATGTACAAGGTTAGTGCAAAAAGTATAGCAATAAATGTGATTTGTTCTTGCCTTTGCACCAGTTTCAGTTATATTTTTGCAATATTGCTGTTTTTGATGTTCTCTTTTATAAGCTCCCAATGGATCTTTCTTTTTTTTTTTTTTTTTGGATAGATATGTCAAGGGAGTAACCGGGGTTGGGTTGAGGATCCAACAAATCGAAGTCCTTTATTTGCTCGGAATAGGATTCGGATGTCATTAGGAAATTTGTCATCAGGTGAGTAGTGATAGATGTGACGGTTTTGGTCATATGGATACTGTTATCATTCATTACAGTCTTCTTGCTTAAACTTTTAACTTGCTGTTATATATGATGGTTTTCCATATTGATCTTGCTGCTGAGTTGCCAAAGCTTGAGGTCATATGAGATCTGCATTGTCAAACCCTTTGTATTAATACATTGTTGCTGGAAAGCAATTATGCTCTAGACTTCACATTTTGAAATAACAACTTTCTCTTTTCCAGGTATCTTTAAGTCTGAACTACAAGCAGTTATTTCTGCCTGTCGAAAAACACGCACCTATATTGATCAAATTTGCAAGAATTTGATAAATCACACTGTTACCATAATGGATGTAAGCATTCATTTGATGTTTGGAAGCTTTTTGTTTCTCCTTATGCCTTACTTTAATTTAACTTCAGGATAATACTGCAAGTGAATTCATCATGATGATCACTTTTGCAGCAAGGTTATGCGGTTATCAATTTAAAGGCACTTGATCCATCAAAAATTGAAGATATATGCCTTTCTAAATTTATTGCATTGGTTTTACAGGTACTAACCATTTACGATATCTCTAATTTTTTTTGGGGATCTTGAATGTTTCTATTAATTATATTTTCTTGTAACATGTCAGTTTGTTTCACAAAGGCAAAGACCAATTGGAGGTAATACTTCAAAATTGCTGTTGCAGTACATACGTACCATCCCATGTAAGGTACATTACTTTCAGCAAACTTGTAGTTGCATTTCTTGTGCAATTGTTACTGTGTTCTCTGTTGCTAGTGCAAGTTTCTTGATTGTTAATTTCAACTATTTTTGCAGACCTCCCTTACTGCTGCTGGTTGCTACATTTGTCCAGTTCCTGGGTCTAAGGGTGCCAAAGCTCTGGTCTGCTGCTCTGTCAATTGTCCTCTGCCTTCAAAGACAGAATTATTTCGCACACTCTCTGGTGAAGAACAGGAGCATTTTTTTTCAAATGAGTTGGAACAAATTATAGCGAATGGAAAATCATCTGATAACTTGGCACCAGATGCATTCCAAGTGCAGTTTTTGGACACGAGGTCTGCATCAGTTCTCGATGAAGCCCAAAGACTAGATATTATCAGTGAGTCAACCTATGGAAACATTTTTTTATTGCAAAAGGAGGAAGTCAAACATTTCAAGTTTAAAACTGATGAAATTGCATCTGAGTGTGAGTCAAAGCAGGAAACTGAACATGTTGCTGCATTTCTGAGTGAACGACTTCTCCATGGGCAAACATGCTACTTCATGAACCGCTTCATTATCTCATGGAAACTAAGTGAGGAAATTTCTAGTGATGTGTTTCCTGGTGAAGTTTATTGTCTTTCGTATTTGGGAAGGGAAAATCAGCACAGTCACTGCTGTTGTATAAACAGGCATGACATGATAGCCCAGGTGCGTACCATGATTGAAGCTGACTGGCTTTATCTTGCGGAGTTGTCAAAGTGGCCATGTTCAGATGATTCTGAAGTGATAAGACTTCCATTAACCAAGAAGATAACATGCTCAGATTATTCAAGGTTGTCGGCCAAAGGAGCACTTAAATCACTGAAATCTGTCCCTGTTGCTGCAAGAAGAAGCATTCCTGTCCTGGTCAATCATCATGGACAGCTACTAAGCATCCCAGTATGTTAAACTCTTCCTTTTAAAAAGTTATATAAGTGTAACATCTTATCAAAACCACTCTGATTTCTTTGATACCTTATGCAATTTAGTTCTTTCCAGTACATTCAAGTTCTCTCTTAAGCTACTTATTAACAATCAGTTCATACATTCTTTTCCCCTTTTTTTCTGCTATATTATTTTGGAATACATTCCTGCCAATCTTGATGGTAAACATCTTCATCATGCGTATGATTCCTTCATTTCTTTTAGATGTGTAGGGTGTTTATTAGAAAATTTCTTCTACCTAACAATTCCCTTTGACTTCTATTCTTCCAGAGCATTGGCTTTAATCATTGCCCTTTCTTGATGGCATCTGCTGCATTCAAGCCAAGAGTACCACTAGGCGGAGGACACAGCTCCTTTCTTTAGTCATCGTAAATTCTGTTCACCAGGCCTATAAATTTACACGTGCCAGGGATTCCTGGACGAATACCATTTTTCCCAGAAAAAGCTTGGAGGAATTCTGGTATGTCACCTTTAATGTAATAAATGTAAATTCAAAGCTCTCCCTAGTCCATAGGTTTCACATTGACATTTTCTTTATAATTCTTTTTGTTTACTTTTTTATGGCTGTAACATCTTTTTCCTTGTATATGGAATGTATGCCCTACAATCTAAATTGAAATAAATAGAAAACGTTTTGTCAAGCGTTGTTGATGCAGGTAACTGACTTGCCGATGTCAATCTGAAGCTCATGCATCTCAACACGCAACATGCATATTTATTGGTAGATGTTAGCTGTAGAAAATTTATAGATTCAAAGAAGAATTGCACACCAGACCTCCGGCTAGGGTTCTGTGAGTTCATTGCATTTGAGTGAAGATTGGCTGTAGCACGTCTAAAACGCCAGTTGCCATTTTGGGGTTGTTCGTTAATTCTTTCAACAGTACATTAATATTTTGTTGCACGCTTGACAATGTGAACAATAAAAAAAAATACAAAAGTTGGAAGAAATATCACAGTCTGCCTTGGCCTCCTTGTTCCTTCAATGAGGTAAAAGAAGTAAACCGTTGTTTCCAGGGAGCATCCTTCTGTTGCTCAATCCATGTTAAAAGGCACTGTCTAAAGGAGTTGGTATCTCACGGGAACATAAAGGAAATTTGCAACCTGAGCAATTGGCCACACACCACCCTCCAGAATCAAGGCCGGAGGGAAATCCCTCTTTCACATCTTCCTTCACTTGAGCAATACTTTTGCCGGTGGAAAACCCCATATAAGTGAAAAACACAAACAAGTCAAAGGGGCCAAAGATAAGGCCATCCATGGCAACTATGGTAGCATCAAACCTCGCAGACTTTATAAATCTGTCCGGGCCTTCATACACCTACATGGAGAAAGGGCAGGTTGTAACTTGTAAGCAGTTGTCAGCTCACACTATGAACTGCTCCAGCATAACCAATTCAACAGATACTTATCATTGCCAATCTTACGCATAATTGTGTTTCTTCAATTTCACTTCAAAAGCTATCTCTTATGTCTCATTGCGATTTTTTACGTATTATTTCTACTGATCTGTAAGAATTTGGAAGAATTCTGCAACTCTTCTTAGATGTTTAACAAGTAACAACCATGTCATAACTGATTGCAGAAAATAAATTTACATTTATTTATTATTAAAAGCATAGGATTTCCACTTCCCCCTATTTAAAAGTTTAGATTTCAATCCCTCAGAATATTGCATACTGACTGCTTTGAGTAGAGATGGTGTTATCTTTACGCTCCTTCCCTCCATTGCTGTCCTTTCAAAACCCTAATCAACCCAATTCTCCAAATCTTTGAAAACCCCTAATTTCACCTCAATTCCCTTCTTCGAACCCCTTAAAACCCCCAACCTCACAATCCTCAGTCTTCACCAAACTTCAAAACCCCACCTTTTAAGCTATATCCATTCCACTTTTCCCTCCAAAATTCCAATTTTTTTAGCTTTTGGATAGAAAATGCGACAACTTTAGGCCCCATAAACCAATTTCAAAAACTAAGCTGTTATGGGGTTAAAGGCTCCGGTGAGGATACCAAAGTTGTGGTGGACTCTGGTTGCAACGGAGTTAGTGATGGCGGCGGCGGAAATAGAGCTGATGGGGAGTTAGAGAAGAAAAGTGGGCCATTGCCAGAATCAATGAATGTTACTTCAGATGATGCAAAAACGGTTTTTGCCGCTGTGGCAATACCGCTTGCTTTTCGGTCATTCGTGGCTGAGCGGAGTTATATTTCTTTATTGTCGATGTATCCAACGTTTGATGTTGGGGATCGAATTTATTGCTGAGAAGGTAGTTATTATTTGTTTGATTGTTAGTTAAGGTAATTGGCACAAGGTTTCTATTGGAAGCATTGATCACATACTATTGACTGTTTGATGTTTGTGTTTATGTCTTTTGTGGATATGGATTGTTTTTTAAGTTCTCTGGTAATGGCTTTAGCTTAGGTTGAATTGTCTAAAACGTTACCGTTAAGCTTTACATACAGTATTAACTTTTAGTGAAGGTGAAGAAATGAAGTTTAATGGAGTTTTAAGTATGCTTGTCCCGAATTAAGAATGGAAAGCAGCACTTCTGAAGTGATTGAAGATGAGTGAAAGGCCTGATTAACCTTGACTGGAATGATTAGAGCTGAACATACCCGTTTTCATCTAATTAGATTATAGCTTACCTTTGTTGACACCTGAAAGTGATAAGTAATAGCTGGCATATATTGTATAGGGTTCACAGGAAGTAGAGTTTGTGCTTTGGGTGCTTAAGTAATCTATATAGTTGGTTTTTGTTGAAGTATTCTATTTTTAGATTTGGTTGTCATAACTGAAATGCCTGTAAGCTTTGTTTAAATGATTGCCATAGTAATGCTAACATCTGAAAGTGAAAAGATCTCTTAAGCTTCAAAAACCTAAATGGAAAAAACTATGACGTCAGTAAGTGTTAGCCTTATAAACTACTGCTGAAGTATATGTGTGCGTTAGGATTTACCAAGAGCTCTTCTCTAACTAAGGAAAGGATGTGACATGAACATCCAATCTTCTTATTTTTCTTTTAACATGCATCCGTAAGTGAATGAATGGTTTAATTCTTACATGTACCATATGACAGTTTTTTTAATTGAATTCTCAGGTTTCATACTACTTCAGGAAGCCATGTGCTAATAATATTGTGATTTTCAAAAGTTCACCAGTTCTTCAAAAGGATATGTATATGCAAATTATCCACTCTGTTTCTCTTTCCATCCCACATATTAGGCACATAGACATTTTATCTTGCTTTTCTGAGTTACATATAAGGTGTCATCACTTTACAGCCATTCCCCATTTGTTTTATTTTTTGTTTTGATGCATTATTAACTATAATATGGTTTCATTAGAATGAAATATGAAAACTTGTTATATCGCAGGTTCATAATGGAAAGCTTATTGTTAATGGGGTTGTACGAGATGAAGAGTTCATCAATGAAGCACCTTCTTATGAAATGACACCAATTGTAAGTATTGATTTCTAATCTTAAGAATCCTATAGCTTTAATTTTTATTTCCATAGGCCCAAGCCAAATGAGTGGGGTGGCTATTGAGCAGAAAATTATAGATAAGTTTTGCCTGCATGAGAGAGATAAAGACTGAAAGAATAGAAAGAAAGAGGGGAAGATTGGAAGGGGTTTGGAGACAATTGTGCTTACAAAACCTTTTCGGTGAAGTAGAGGATGAACCATGGTCTTGAGTTGAGGCACAAATATTTCACTAGTTGTACTTTTGCCTTATTTGTAAGTTTGTGCCATATGTTTCTGATTGTATATATATGCTATTCATGTTGCAGCTAGTACTGGAGAACTTTGTCTTTGTGATAGGTGATAATCGTAATAAAGGCTATGATTCTCATGTTTGGTAAGATATTATGCTCTAACAGGTTGACAATCGTGCATCCATGATCCTTCAGCTGAGTTGATTTTTTGAGTTGAGTTTCGTTTTGTTTAGGGGTCCCCCTCTCTGCCGAGAACATCATAGGAAGATCAGTACTTCGTTATTGGCCTCCAAAGAGGATTGATGGTACAGTACTTGAGCGTGTCTGTACAGTTGACAAGCAGGAGGAGAGTGTCAAAGCATCTGAATAGATATCCAGCCTTAGTGAGTTTTATTTGATCAAAGTAATTCTTTGGCTGTCTGCGCCATTTTTCCTGATGAAGTCTCTGTTCTTGTAGTTTTCACTTTTCTTTTTAACAAAATTTCTGCAATACTATCAATTTTTTAGTAGGAAGGCTATTCTCGTTAGAAAGGCCCTTTTTTTGGCCTGACATGATCTTCTTACCACTGTAAATTGACCATTGTAATGATTAATGCAACTATTTTTCTGTTTCTGTCGCTTCATTTCTAGTTGCGTGACCGTTTGATTTATTGAACTACAGTTTAATTCTACTGATAAAGGACTTGAAATTCTTGATTGAGGAGGGAATAATCCTCTAAATTTGGCTTTGCAAATAGTTCAGTGCTCTCTGATTTGTATGCATAATTGCATAGTTTTGTAGGAAGGAGCACAAGGATCAAATTTAGACCTTTAGTCAAACCTCACCTCATCTAACCACTTTGAGCCAAGTTCAACGGTGCTTCCATAGTTTTTCATAGAAGAGTTCCGAGTTCATGCATAAAATTTACTCCACAAAAATCAACCGATCGATCATCTATCAGCTCTGCTTGTTTCTCCTTTTGTTCAGAAAAGCTTAACCTTTTCTTCAACTCTATCCTTCTGTAATGTTACAAAATGGCCATGCATTAAGAGCAAGAACAGAGCTTCTGTCGCTAGGGATATGCCATTGAATAAGGTAGCTGCTAATGCAAGTTTTTATATAAATTAACCATATACCTTGCAATTTTCTAGTTGATTCTATTCTCCCAAACATAGTTGCCACACTTTTATATGGAACAAGCTGCAATGTTTCACTAATGCAATACGAGATGATCTCCATCTTCTAAGACTACTCTTTGAACCTAGTTGAAGGAGCACGAGAACAAACAAGTAGACCCTTGTAGAACAAAAGATAATAGCAACAGATATGAACAAAATCTTGTTTTACCAATTATCAAAGAAATCATTCATGGAGTTTCTTTACACGTTTACAGGCATAAACGGAAACAAGGAACTTCTTCATGAATTAAAATTAATATCCTATCGACAAGATATAACCTAACAACAAGATGATAGTTCATACTTCTCCAGGCAGAAACAAAAGCTTGAACAATTTTTCAATTTCAACCCAAACTGATCGAAAAAATAGTACTATTTTCAAAAGAAATTATTACTTCCACACATACCAAACACTAGAAGCTTTGGAAATGACTCAAAGCAGCCAAATCCACCATTTCCAAGTGGAGAGCAATTTTGTATAGATGCAGGAGAACCACCATTCTCAGACTCAGTCATATTGGCATAAACTATTTTTTAGCTTGAGAGGCTTGTTACTATGGGAATCAATAACCAAGGAACAAGAGATATGTTTCCGATGCCTTGACCTCACCAACTTCCCAACCACATTCCCTCTGGACCTAACTTCAAAGATCAACTTCATTGGAACTCCACCCACATCATCTGAGACCGCTAAGCTTGCTCCAGCCCCATACAAAGGAACCTTATCTCCCTGGAGAGTCACAACCACAGTACGATGACTCTTTCTTGGTTGATAGTATTTCTTCAACTGCAATCAGAAACATACAAATAGAAATCATTGGAGACCAATGGTAGACATAAAAAGCTGCTATACTTGGGTAAAATTCAGAGAAAAGGTTACCTGACCAGTTGCAACTGCAATTTCTGAGTACATTAGATTGACTGGATTGGAGCTAACATGAATACCAAAGAAAGTAGCAGGATTGTACACTGTCATCCTCACTGAACAATTCATGGTAAGCATCTTGCTTGGAACTCCTGTCATGTCCGCTCCTTCTCCAAAATAAAAATTATGGACAGTCAAGCTCTGCAAAAGAATAATTTTTGATAAGCTGTTAAGACAAGTCAATTTGTTTAGCAGAAATTAAGAAAGAATTGTCCAAGTTTCTGACAGAACACAAAAGTTAAAGATTTTTAATATTACCTTTTCGAGTATCTTCTGTCTAAAGGAATCCGAGGGTAATTAAATAATATTATATATTTCATATAAGGACAAGAACATAGTGTACATTACAAAATGCAAACCTTAACAGCAATTTGAGCTTTGTAAGGGCGGCTGGCACCCCAGATGATCAAACAAAACAAACTGAAAACCGCCACAAACCCAAACACAGCCATCGAAATCTGGCACCTCCTCGTCAACCCTTTATCCCCCCATAAAAATACTCCCCATAATCCCCTTCTTCTTCAATAACATTACACTCAGTCCAACCCTTTTCGTTTTTCTTCTTTTCTTTCTTGAGGGTTCCCGAGAAACGACTGGCGGATGAGGCCCTGGAGTGACGGCTGTAGGAAGGGTGAGAAGGAGACTCCATGGGGCTGTCGTAGGCGGGGGTTGCCTGCATGGTAGACGACTTGTCCCCATCATGGGAGTCCCTGGAAGGGCTTTGGACGTAGTAGAGTTGGCGTTTGGGCGATCTTGGAGACGATGGGTCCACTGAGCTTGTTACGTCGGAATCTGATTTGGTGTGCATGTTGATCTTCGAACTGAATTGTTGAATTGTGAAGGGGAAAGTTTACAGTGAAGAGGGGAGGGACTGGGGAGGAAGACGAGAGAGTGAAGAAAGGTAGGTTCGGAGCTTAGGTACGGGGACTGTGAAGCTGGAGGTTAGGTAATGAGTGTCGGCAGTGATTCCGTTAATGTGCTTGTTGGGTTGGAATAAAGTTAACGTCATGTTTGACGGAGCATGAAGAAAATTGAAGATAGTTAATGAAACTACAACGACGTCGTTTTTATCCTTTTTTATTGACGCTACCTACTTATTATTGTTTTGCAATAATTCCAGATAATTCGTATTTTTTCAATATCTTGAATATTTTTAACTAAAATTAAAAAATTAACAATAAAAATAACACTAATTTAAAAATAAATAATAAATTTAATCCATATATTTAAATCTTATCTCATTTTGTTGGAAAAAAAACTTATCTCATTTTAATTATATATTCATTTTAATTTATTTGGTCCTTAATCGAATGTTCAATTTGCCACTTTTTTCAGGTATAGTTTTCTACCTAACAATTTGATACTCCGCGTGGCAATTTTTTTTCACATTTTACCATATATCAATAGGTTTTCTAGATGACGCGAGTCACGCCACCATTTTCAGTCTGGGCTTATTTGAGTGAAAATAACAATTAATGAGCTGAATTGATTTGCAACAAACCTATAAGCGCTTGACGGTAAATTTAATTAAATTCAAGGTTTTTTCGTTTAAACCAAACCATATTGACAAACAGTTCCATCTGATCTTGTTCAATAATCTCTGTTTTCATAAATTCTTCAAAAACAAGTGTCAACGAGTCATCATTGACACTTTCAGAAAAAATAATCCAAAAACTATCAGAATTACATCTCTGAAGCAAAGAAAATACTTAAAAGTAATGAAAAAGGGGGTCATCAGATAGGAGCGAAAGACTAGCAGTTTAATAATCATGGAGATTATCAGCTGAACTATGCTTTTTTAATCATCACTTGACCACTCTATCAAATATTTTATTCATAAAAACAAGGATTTCAATTATTAAAAGAAAAGGAAAGAAAATACAAACAAGCCTCAGAAGGAAGGCAGTAGAGGTATATATGTAATCATCCATTTCATAAATCACAACAATACCATTTTCTTCATCACTGGCAACTATGAAAAGCTTTCCTTTTTCCAAAATTGTGGATGAAAGTGAAACATTTAATTTTCAGAAAATATAATCAGAAAAGAGGGAAGAAGAAAGGGATAATCGACCTCATAGAGAAGATTAGGCATTTCAACATGAAATTGTTCAGACATATGCTTGTCATTAAAATTATTTAATCATCAGCCGATTTGTGAAAAAAAAAAAAACTTTTAAAATTGAAATTAAGGAAAAAATGGGACTCGGAATATGGGTGGTGATATATCAGGATGGTCGGCAGGGCCGTTGAAAACAGCCAATTACGACGAACGAGACCTTTCAAAGTTGAAATCGTCACCGTCCCGAAATCATAATATTTTCTTTGAAGAAAGAACAAACGAAGAAAAACAGACACAAGTTTCAAAGCAGAGCAAACCAATAGAGGAAAACTGAAACCCTAGAAGAAGAGAGCAGCTCTCAGTCACGGTCGAAGGCATAGCTTATGCTTTATATAATGACTTGAATGCGAGCTAGGGTTTGTGGTATTGCGGGGATGTGAAAAAGAATAGGATTCTATTGGGATTTCACTTAATACGCGCGGGTGCATGCCTGTTCTCAAGCGCCAACTTTTCCAATTAGTAATGGGCCACGACCCATGAAAGAAAAAGGAAGGTAAATGGGCCAGAACCCATGAGTATAGTCTCGTTAAGTCGAACTGGAACAGTTGAAAAATGAAGAGTATCATTATTACCCCTAAACTTCTTTTTGTTAATGTTCCATTTCAAAAATTAAAAAAGCCGAAGGCTTTATCCAAGTTTAGGATAGGTGCGGCCTAATCAAATATAATCGGAATTTATTATGTTAATAATCCATTTATTTAATTAACAAAATTTAAAATATTGTTCGAATTTTATTATATTCATAATAGGAATCTTAAAATGTAATTTTTTATTGTTAAACTTAATAAACAAACATAATTAAACAGATATTAAATTTATTCACGACCTGTTAAAAAAATCTAGCATTTTGCTTCCACTAATGGATCCTTCAGACAACTGATGCAACAACAGCTATTTGGAATTTCAGAACTTCCAAGTCCCAAAACAGTGCCAGATTCAGAGACAACCCTGAGGCTTAACTGAATTAGCATTGCAGGTTAAATAAGTAAACAGAATCAAAGCTCAAGAAATTTGGAAGGAGAGAGAAATATCGGTCGGAGCGAATAGAACATATTCAGCTAAATAGCATTGCTGTTGTAATAGTTGGAAGAAAATGAAGAAACACAATCCAACAACAAACTACTACCTGCCCTAATATCAACCAAACTACATTCGAAAGCTAAAAGTGTTACATTCTATGTAATCAAGGAACGGTGCATCTGCCAACAGAATCAGATAGCCAAAAATTTATAAAATCTAATTCCGGATCCTGTATTACCAACACATTGATTGTGTGGCCGCTCCAATGACTTAAATCTGAAACCAGAGAAAATACAATGAATAAACAACTCTACAACTGTCACCTTAAATCTAAGTTTCCGACAGATCTACTTTCCAGCGGCAAATGTATGTCTAGTGTTGACAAGATCTGGGGCATGGACATCCCTCCAGACACAACAATTTCTGCAATGGAAGAATGAATGAGATATAAGCTTAAACTGCAGCAGGAAAAGTTATAGGAACATATTTGCTCCATTCTGTTTTCTTTTTTTTTGGATATTAACAGACCACCACTTCATAATAGAGAAACCATCCTCGTGAAGTGGCAGTTTCAAAATATCCCCCATTAAGTATTGCAATTAACAAGGCTCTATATAACCCCAAACAATAGGGAATAAGAGTTAGGAGGCCTATAAGAAGACAGACTAATTGGCAATTGTGAGCAAAATGTAACTGCCCCAACACTTCTTTCTTCCTTGCATTAGTAAATAACGACAACAAAAGAAGAGAAGTCCCTAACCAATTCCTTCACGGACTGATAGATTCGGTCTGATAACATCCTTGGTATTGACGAGGAATATATCACCAATGTAAAGATGATTCGTGGGAACATAGACACAGCATAGCTCTTCTTCACCAGAGTAACTCTGCATTTAAAAGAAAAAAAAGAATAAAAACAACATTCTTGATATCGCATTGCCTGATGTGTCTTAAATCTTATTCTTCCACTGCTCAATTTTTAAAAATGGTAGTCAAGCAAGCAAATTTTTAGCTTTTTATAGGACATAAAAGTAGATAATGAGATGTCAATTATTGTTGCATCATGCAAAATCCTGCTGAGCTTCAGTTGGGTCACCTTGACATGGGATGTACTCAATACAGTTCGGACAAAAAGAGAGGAGAATCAGTAGCTGCATGTCAGGAAAAAGATATTTGCAAGTGGGCCAGTCTTTCCCAACAAGAATCCCAAGGAAGCAAGAACCAATCCACTCGCCAACAAGCAGTCCCAAGAGTTTTGTGGAAAGAAAAAGTCATGCAGACATGCATGCCAATAAGATCATGTGAAGCATGATGATAATGGAACAGGAAAATAAGAAAAACAGGGAAGCCTATGCCAAAATGATAGTTTTGGGACAAGAACTTCATCTGCCCACCTGCAGGATAACAGATGAAGTGATAAATCCAAATGCATATTCACCAATACGGGGATGCCTTATGATGGCTACTTCCTTGAAGGCCTGTGTGTTCTGATCTGAAACAACAGAGATGTAAAACATAAAAGGTGAATTAGCATATAGATTGTCAATATCTGAACCAATTTTTATAATATGACCAGTTAAACTTATTTATTTCATGAAGAAAACCAGCAGAATGCACACCAGGTGATATAGCAGAACTAATCTGCTTGGAGGCATTGTAGATATGACGAATAAATGGCATCCGCTTGATAAACCACTCACCAAGACCCAGGACAGATGCTCCCAACCAGGATGACATGAATACCCCAACCAAGAAGATGAATGTTATAGAAGTAACAAATCCAAAACCTATCCAAAAAGCAAAAGGAGGGCAAAACATCAAGCGACCTGTTAAGTTAACCAGATGGTACATACTCCATAGAGAGACATTCTTAATAAAAATGATAAAGATCAATTTAAGATACATCTGTGATAAGGGTAAATCATTTGCAAAGGTCACTTTGTGAAAACCAATTCAGCTTCTTGCTGTAAATATCATTTTTAGCAAGATATCCTGTTAAAGATTTGTAAAACTACAATCTAATAAGCCCTTTGTCCTAGGCTAAAATGTCCCTAACATATATATGTACTTATTTCCATACTATCAAAGTCCGATTCTGTGGAAATTTCATACGAAGAATGCTAATAAGTATTATATAGGCTGTAAGCATAAGGAAAATTTCAGCAAAGATGATGCACAACAAAAAAAGATTCATCCAGTCTTACAGAATATCATCCAAGATCTCATAATTATCCCTAATATTGTCCACAATCTCTCAAAAAAATTCCAGGCACCGCAATCCTAGTCATTCAGAAGCCTTAAGGAAAGATAACATAAGTTTACAAACTCCAAGGTCCAATTAAAGTGGGAAAAGACTAAAAGATTTAACCAATTATCAAACAAGTTCACAGCTGTAGATGGGAAAGACAAAAAAGGGTTTTTAGCTGCTAACTAAATGAGATGCTCACCAAATATATTAATGCCAAGTTGAGCATAAATTGGAGAGAAAAATCCATCCACAAAGTGAATAAACCACCATGTTATGTAGAAAGTGATCGCTATAGGAAACAGAATGACACTGCAAAACAACTATGAATTAGCAACTGCTATAACAGCATCAGGAATAACAATAGAAATTCTATAAGACAAAATTCCATAAACATATACTTACTACTAGAAACCAAACCAAATAAAAGGTTAGAACAAATTCATGATGGCAAGAACTACCATTTTGTAAGATGATAGTAAGTACCAAAGGAATTTCAAGAAAGCCAACCATTCTAACAGAATTTTATGAGAAGACAAAAAAGTGGAAACAAGGAAAAACCAAATGAAGGTGTCAGGCTGGTAACAATTAAATCTGTCACGTCCATTTCACTTCTCAGATCAAGATTCCAACATAACTGTCCCCAAGAAAGCATTGAGAATGACAAAGATATTTAGGTTTGATACATTAGTGAGAGCATTTTCACTTAGGATCAAGGATATAAGAAAAGAAGCAGGATTGGAGGCATGTGCAGATCATTTTTTTCTGTAAGGAGATAATCGTAGCACCATACAAATCACTAAATATCACATAGATGATAATTAAACAAGTATCCATCATGAGTCTATATTAAAGCAAGGAGATAAAAAATGCCACTTGCCATCCTGTCATGAACTTCTTTGAAGCCCAGCTCCGGACAACTTTGTAAAAGGTCTGCATAAAACAAAGCTTGTTTATGTTTATATATATATATATATATATATATATATATATATAAAATAGGCACCATTACACGAGTACACAGATAAACATAAGCATAGAGTTCCTATACAGCCAACAGGCTTAAATCATTTGCTTTGAAATATTTCATTCCGTAATATAGCAATTTTCTTAACCCACTCCATCAAGCAGAAAAAATAATGTCATCAAGTCTCATAAGCAGAAGGATAACTTCAAATTCAAGCCCAAAATTCTATATCCTACAGATATTTGAGGGCATTTACAACAAGGGTTGAACATACAAAAATAAAAGGAATCATATACGTTCTGTTATGGGCCTTAACATGCTTTACGCAGCATTTTGGAACTAAAAGATAAATCACAGATACATTCCAAGCCTCCAAAAAGAAAAGGCAACCATTATCACCAATGTTGTACAAAACCTTATCAACCATCAGTTTAATTGTATCCACCAAATGGTCTCATCTTCTGATAACAACTTCAAAAAGAAAAACCATTTCATCATTTTTTAACAGCTCCAGTAAATTATTATGCTCTAATCCTACATCACAATACCAAGTCAAACACAATAAGTTCAATATCCACACCTATTGTAAAATCAATAATTTCTCTCTTAAAAATCAAATTGAACCTCAAATTTCTCTCTATTAACAGCCAATTCATTCAAACAAAATCATATTAAGCTCTATTATTAAGTTACAATCTCACAATTAGCAACAAATGCAGCTGCAGACCCAGTCAAATTGAATTCAAACACAAATGTAACGCCAATTAACAACCAAAAACTGTTCAAAGATAAAATTAAAAAAAAAAAAGAAATGAGACAGACAAAGACCTCGCGACCGGTGTGATGCGAAGAAGAGGAAGAAGAAGAAGAAGGTTTAGAGGAATCATCGTGGACGGATTCAGCGACTGGGATTAGAAACTCTCGATCTCTACTCTCCCTATCTCTACTCACCATCACGATCGTCGATTTCTCATCTCCCATAACCAGAAAACCACCGCAACCAATCTCCTTCTCAAGAACCCAAAAAATCCTAATTCACGCTTCGACCCTTTCTCTCAACTCACTGTTTATCAGTCGAGAAGAAGAAAGAAAAGAAGAGGTTTGGCATTTGAAATGAAGGAAGACTCTCCGAAATCTGCTTCCTCAATTTGGCTGCCTTTTGTTTTTTGTTCTTTTGTTTGTTTTGTTTTTTGAATTATTTTTGAATTTAAGTATATATTTATTAACTTATTTATAAAAGAATAAGTAGTACAATAATGGGAGGGGTCGGGTCATGGGGCGGGTGAGGTCAGAGCTGTAATCAAGTGAGGATTTTTTAAGGAGATGTTGGCAGGGATAATAGTGGGACGGGTTTTTATTCATTTTAAATTTAATTTGATTTTATATTTATAATATTTGATTTAATTTGATAATTGTTTTATTTTTTACATTTGGTCCGAATTTATATAAAATTATATCTATTTTAATTTGATTTAAAATTAATAAAATATTATTTTTAATATAAATATAAAATTAAATTAATATATAAATATATATAAATATAAAATTAAATAATTAATTAAAAAATAAATTTTTTATATATATTAAATCAAATTAAAAAAAATTTATTTAAAATTCGAATCAAATTTTAATTCAATACATTATTATTTAATTTGATTTAACTCAAAATTAGATTTAAAAAAATGATTTTAAAATGTCAAATCAAATCAAAATCGTCGAAAATGAGTTGAGCAACTATCCCAAGATGTTGATGTTTTTAACCTTTTGTTTTAGCACTAATTACGGGTTTAAGGTCGGATTAATCAAATCTTAATAAGGGATTAATTGTATGGGTTTTTTGGGTTAATTTTTTTTTAACTGTGTTTCGTTTTGTACCTGTTGCTGTTGTTGTCTTGTGGATGAGCTGTCCACGATTATTATTGGATGCCATTTGCCATACCAGCATTTTGTCTGCGTAATTCAAAATCTAGAGTAAATAATTAATGATTTAAATCTATTATTTACCCAACCAAAAAGGGCTTTTTTATTTTGTTTGTCGAATGAGTTTGTATGTTTTATTTTTAAATAACGTGATGTTTGATTAAAATATGATTCCAATTATTATTGATTAAAATTATGATGAAAAGTTCTTCTTAATACAAGATTAATATGAAAGTACAACATGCGTCACCACTTTAAGCTTTAAGTGAAAAATAGATGTAAGGTATTTAATTTCACTTCAAATAAAAGGAAGTCTTTGAACATAAAAAATGTGAGTGTAGCATATTTCAATAAATTAATTTTACAAAAAAAAAATAATGATCATGTAATATATGCATATAAGAATTATTAAGTATTTATAATGCAAGAAAAACCTTTTTGTTCTAATTAACAAAAAACATAATAATTATGAGACTTGCTACTGCTCAATTGCATACAATTCAAGTCGAAGACCAAGACAAAACATAAATGACGGTCAGTGGTAAACTTTCGTAAAATTAAACTCATAAGTTTGATCTTTTTTCTTTTTTAAAGAAAGTGATTCAATTTCGTAATAATTTTTAACATGTTTAAAGTTTTAAATTAATGTGTTAACTTTATTGCTTTTAGTGATTTTGTATAATATTAAGGAAAAATTTTTGATTAAAAAAAAACAATGGCTCTAATAAATGAAGCGTTTGTAGTGATTTTGCATCTCAGACATTGAGCAAAAGCAACACGTTGATGATTTCTTTTATATGTCTTTCAAAAAGTGCTTTTATGTTCGGTTTTTCTTTTTTTGTTGAAGAATTTGAGTAAATATTGTTTTATTGAGCAGCAATTAACCCCGGTTTTTTCTTATGTTGATCACACCCCATGACTCCTTATGCTCCTTTGCCTATATTCCAAGTTGTTCAAGGATCCCAATTCCAAAAGTTTTTCAATATTCAATCATATATATTCTCGGAGGATTAAAGGCAGGCAAGTCTGGAAGAAGAGTTACCAAAATCAAGAAGGAGATTTGGTAATGGAGAATTTGCTATGGCTAATAGTATTCTTGTAAGGACTGGAGAAGGAAACTGATCTTCTCAGTTCTCAGTGGTGAAAAGAAGGTGAGTCCAGCCCCAGGAAAGCATATAGAAACCGCCCAGAAAATCTAGAATTTTCAATTTTCACACTGCTGAACTTCTTTTTTTCTATGTTTTTGGTAATCCATAAAATAATTTCATTTCCCCCTTGAAAAGGTAGGAAAACAGCCCTAATAATGAATATATATATATATATATAGTTCGATCTATAAAATTAAGAATAGTTCTATGTTCAATCAATTGAGAATTATGGAAATTGCATAGTTGATGGATGTAAAAGAGGGTTTCGAATCATGACACTAACATTTTTTATGCAAAAATTTAGCTAGTTCTCTACCATCAAACATGGTGGAATTTAAGTTCATAATAAAGAGTAAAAAAGTAGAAAGATTAAAATAATTTTATAGTATAAAAATATAAAATAGATTCATACGTTAGAATTCTTAAAGGAAAACCTTGATAAACGAGGGTGAAAAAGCGGACAAAAAAAAGAAGTGTAGAACAAGATTGGACTGCGTGCCGCCATGTCAAAAAGTTCTCCGATTCATTCATACGCAATAATGATCTCTTTTACTTTCTCTTCTGTGTAATTGTGGAACATAGAAGCTTCTGGTTCTTACTTTTAAGGTTGTTTGCACTTTTCGCTCGAATTTATAGCTGCAGAACGTCAAATGATATTAGGGGTAAATTGGTTATCTCCTTCTATAGAGATTATCAGTAATCAGTCAGAGTAATTTTTAATTTTAAATTTATCTGACATATATATTTATTTGTATAATATTACATCAATTTTATTACGTTATTATCTCATAATTTTTTATTTTTTGTTTATAAATAAAATTATGTGGTACTATAATCCTAAATTTTTTTTTACATCTTTATTTTTCTCTTCTTTTAATTTTTTTAATTCTGATTCTTGACTTGACTATTTTTAATTTGAGTGTTGAAACACAGACAAAAAATATTACCTATCTTTGCCGAATCACTTTCTTTATTCTCTTATAATTTTAGGATTTTGATTTTTTTTTTATTTTTTGTAATTTTAAGATTTTGACTCAAAGATCGAGATTAGAGATGACAACGAATCGAGACGAATTTTTGTTTGTCTCGAACCCGACTTAATTTTACATCCGTCAAACCTAAACTCAACTCGACTTGAATTTTTTTAATTTTTAAATATTCAAACTTAAACTTGATCTAATATTATATAAATCGTATCCGATCCGATTCAATTCAAAATTAATAAAATATTATTTTTAAATATAAAATATTATTTTTTAAATATAAATATTTAAATATATAATTATATAAATAAAAAATTATTTTAAAAATTATTTTTATATAATATCATGTCGGGTAAGATTTGTCTAAAACCTGAACTCGATCCGATTTTGATTTTTCTTTAGTGTTATTCGATTCGATCCAATCAAAAATTTGATTTAAAAAAAAAATCGATTCTATAAAATCAGATCAAGTCAAAATTCATCGGGAATGAATTGGATTGTCGACCTAATCGAGACTCAACTAAAACGTATATAAAGAGCAAAAGTTAAAAGGAAAGGAATCCCTGGTGAGAGAGAGAGAGAGAGAGAGAGAGAGAGAGAGAGAGAGAGAGGACTAAGGAGATGTTAGAAGGCAAAGCTGTGATCAAAGAAACAGACATGCCAGAGAAGATGCAAAACCAAGCCATGGCTTCTGCTTCTCAAGCACTTGATCTTTACGATGTTTCTGACTGCATCTCAATTGCTGCCCACATCAAGAAGGTGTTTGCTACTAGATACTCAAAAGTACAGGTTTTGCGACATCTTTAATAGTGGTATATTCAACTGATTATATTGGTGGGGTTTGGAAATTTTGCAGGAATTTGACAAGAAATATGGAGCAGGATGGCAATGTGTGGTGGGTTCAAAATTTGGGTGCTTCTTCACTCATACAAAAGGGACTTTCGTTTATTTTGCTCTGGGAACCCTCAATTTTCTCATCTTCAGGGCAGCATCTTAATATTATGAAGATAATAAGAGTCTGAGAGGAGGCCAAAGGGCAGCCAGCCATACCAAAAACTGCCAAGAGTTCTGTTCAAAATGGTAGACTAGTAGTTAAAATGGCCTTATCTTGTTTTTCTGAATCGATAGAGGCACAATACTCCAAAATTGCCTGTTTGCAGTTCATCAGAATTAGGATAAGGGATTTATTGTTTTCAATACTATTGGAATTAGAATAATGTAATTATTGTTGTTAAGAAATCCGTTGCTCTTTGTTATATGGTGTTTGTCTCTTTCAATCGGCAAGCTGCTTCTCATAGACCTGGAAGTCGGCAACTCCAGCCCAAGAAATGATGAATAAATATGTATGATTGAGTAGCTGTCATTACCCGAAAGGGATTGAGTCAGTCAAGCACGGACAATGGTTCCTTGCTGCCATGCCCTTCTGAAATTTAAGCTTGACATATGGAGGTTCAATGGTTGATTGAGTAAATATTGCGTCTGAATGAGTAAATGGTAAGTTTTTTTTGTTTTTTTTTTTTAATTTTTTTTAGACAAAATTGAGTTCCTTTGTTGCATACAAACACACTTAAGGCCTTTTGGATGCATTTTGGGGATTAACCTGCCATAAATCTATTAAATAAAAAAATTTAGTGAATAAAAATTTTATTGTTCAATAAGCCACGCTTTCTTATAAGAATTAATTGACACTTTCTTATAAGAATTTATTGTTAAATATACATTGACACATATTTCATTAATAATTATCAGAAGTATATCGTTTGTTATCAAAAGATTATTAAATTACATTAAGAGGTTATTAAAATTTTTTCAAAAATTACCAAATTGTATCAATAGTTACCAAATTATATTATAAATTACCAAAATTATATCAAAAGTTACCAAAATTTTATAAAAAATTATCAAAATCAAAATTAAATTATTAGTATTTATCATAGTTTTTATTAGTATTAAATTACTAGTTTTTGGACACATGCATAACACATATAATTTTTATCTCTAAATATTTATTTTAATAAAAAATTATATATATTCTGATAATAATGATAACAAAAATAAATACTAATAATTTAATTTTGATTTCAATATAATATTAAATTTTGATAATTTTTTATATAATTTTGATTTTGATAATTTTTTGTAAAATTTTAGTACCCTTTAACATAATTTTAGTAACTTTTGATATAATTTTGGTAATCATTAATAAAATTTTGATAATTTCTTATAAAATTTTAGTAACCTCTTCATGTAATTTAAGTAACATTTGGTAATTATTGATAAAATTCATGTCATCATATATTTAATAATAGATTTCTACAAGAAAGCACATGTTCAATTCTAATTTAAGATAATTTTTTTTATATATAATAACATTATTGTTTCATTCAAATTTAAAATTTTTTTATGAAATTTTTTATTGAATAGGTTTATGGTAGGTTTATCATAGTTTTCCAAGATGAAATTTCTATATTCATTTCTGGTAATAATCAAGTTTCAACTCTTGACAACTTCAAGTATAAAAAAATTTATCAAAACTTAATAATAAATTATGAATAATTTAATATAAAATCAATAATAACTTGACAATGAATCACGATTAATTTAGTAATAAATCTATAATGATTTTGTAGTAAATAACCAAAAACTAAGTAGCAAATCAATGATAATATAATAGTAAATATATAATAACATAATAGTAAATTATTAATAATTTAGATGTAAATTATAAATAATTTAGTAGTAAATCATAAATAATTATGTTGTAAATCAGTAATAATTTAGGAGTAAATTAGTTAATTATTGATAATTTTGTAGTAAAATCATCGATAAATTAATAGTAAAATAGTTATAACTTTTAAGTAAATCATTAATAACTTAATAGTAAATGAAACTAATTTATCATTAAATTTCACTAATTTATTATTAATTTATCATTAATTTTTTACTAAATAATTAATTATTAACTATTAAATTACCACTTATTTTTTAATAAATTATCATTAATTTACTACTATATTGTTATGCATTTAAAATTATATTATTATGTCTTCCGTAATAATTTAAAGATTTCTTATTTAAGTTTTTTTTCCTTTCATTTTCAATGTTTTATTTTTATTGTTTTCATTGTTGAATTAGTTAATTAATTTTAAGATTATTTCCAAAGTAAAATTACAATTTTAAATAATCGGGTATTAAATTATTTATTGACTGAACCCCTTAAAAGGTCCAGTCATTTTCGATACTCTAGATGCGGTGGGAGTCTTTTTCACCATGCATCCAAATGGAATCTTACACTAGATCATACGATGTATTTCAAGAAAGTATTCATGAACTATATGATATATCCGCTTCATATTAAAAAAAGAGATCTGGATTATTTACAGATTTCAATTTATCTAGATATCACATCTATGTGCCAGGCTTTTACTCTTGAAATGGCTTAAATCTAAATTTACATTTGTCACTAATAGCAATGAAAATTTCACAGTTGAATTATATCTTTGAATACGAGATATGGCCAACACTTCCAACGCTGCCTCCTTTTGTCAACCAAAGTAAGGTTATTTACAATGCTGAATCACTGACCTCTTGAAGCTATGCATACATTGAACCATTAAACAAGTTGGTAAAGCAGAACTTAGGCAAAAATCTCCTCAATTAACCAGCTCAATAGTTGCTTCTCTATATCATCCACTACTTGCATTGTGTCATCCACAGAAAATCCTTTCCTCCAACCCAAGTCCCATATTCCACTTGAAACTTCACTGAGCTTTATATCTCTTTCCAGCATTGCGTAAAGACTATCAGTAGGATAGTTTTCACTGGCAAGTTCGCTATAGCTTCTCAGATCCTCAACACCATTACAAGTTTTCTTTAATAAATGGTCTAGAGAGATACGACTTTTGGCATTTCCAACCAGGGTTAGTAACGGAGGGTGGACCATTTGAGAATCAGGAAAGCTTCTTCGTCGAACAATTTCATTTGCACAATCCAAGGAGAGCTGTGTGTTGGCATCTGTGAAGTCACTGATGCCAAATTTTTGTGACGTTGGAGGAACATTCACATGAAGATGAAAAAGCTCCTCTGCATGATTGAGAAAAGCTGGACTGCTCAATAGCAAATCCTTTAGACTGGTCCTTCTCATGAAGCTTTCACTGTTGGTTCCAATTGGAATGATTGGGTCATCATCAACTACTCCAATAGATCTTCTGCTGTTTTGATCGTCAGTAGTCACCAGAAATGCATCTATGTATTTGCATCAATAGGAAATTACATCAGAAATGCATGTCTCTATGTATTTAAATCTCTAATGTGAGCACATGGCAGCTGACTAATGACACCTACAGCAACTGTGCTTTAATAAATTCAGTCAAAAAGGGTGGTGTTACCTCCAATCTGAATAGTGGTGTGTTCTGTTCCCTCTTTTGTAGGAAGTTGATCTGCAGTTTCAGTGCTATATCCTTTCCAAAAAGTATCATTCTCTGATGCAAGATCAATTCTCTTTCCAGCCAAAACTGTATCATTTTCAGATGCAAGTTCAATTCTCTTTCCAGCCAAAACTGTATCATTTTCAGATGCAAGATCAATCCTCTTTTCTTCCAAAACAATATCAGTTTCAGATGTAAGATCAATCCTCTTTTCTTCGAAAACAATATCTCCTTTGCATTCTAATTCCTCAGTCTGCACAGAAGATAAACTGCATTTAGTTTTCATTCCTTTTTCATAGCTTAATGCATAGAGGTATTTCTAATCTGAAATTTAGAATTATGACAGCAGAATGTAAACTTAAAAGGACTCACAGTTATTTTCGCAGATGTAGCCTTGCTCACTTCCTTTTCCTTTTTTGTTGGGCTCCTTTTCTGACCACTGGGACCACGGACTACAGTTTCTGCTTTGTGATTGGAGTTGGACTTTGCAATAGCGCTTTGTTGACGGGAAACTTTATTTTTTGTAACATTTGTTCCATTTTCAGGCTTACTGGACTTTGGAGGGTTAACCTTGGCTTGATCTTTAGACCTTGATAAATTCTTTGCTTTTGCTACCTCCTTCTCAACTGGTTTCCTGCTGCTTATTGCAGGTTTTGGTATCTTGTCAATTTTCTTGCCAGTTGCCTCTTTCTTCAGCGATGGCTGAGTTACAGGACCCAAACTCTTCATCTTCGTAGAAAGCCTCTGCTTAATCTTTGCTTCTTTTTTCACAGGTCTGGCCTCCTTCTCTTGGCTGTCTTTAGCACCATCCTGCTGGCTAAGACTCAAACATCTATTGTTGGAGTCAATTGTTTTGGAAGGAGGCACCTCTTTTGTTTTCACCTTTTTGAGCGCAGTTTCTGTGTTTAAGGTTCCCTCCTCCTGCAACACTGGCACAAACTTCTCTTTTGGTCTCAAGTGCAGATCATATCGAGGTTTTATGAGTACAATAGGTGGACTATCATTAATCAACCTCTGTTCAGAAAAGAAGTCCCTGGATTGATGGGAATCAGGCTTAATCTCTTTGATGGAGTTGCTTTTCTGAAGTTCTTTAAAATGCATGGATTCAAGGATGTCCTTCAGCGCCCTCCTCTCTGGATCTTCCTTTCGAAGCACAAATTGAGACTTCCTTACTTTTGGCACATCAATTTCAAAGATAGGCCTCTGTTGACTAAAAGTCTTCTTACTCTCCAGCTCTTCCTGGGAATTTGTCTGCAATGATTTTGAGGGCATTTCTTCTAGGCCCATAAGCTTTGCAATCAAACTTGGGCCACTTGCCTTCTTTTCTACAGCTGCTGATGAGATAGATGAATCCAAGGAAGGAAAGTTTTCAGTTTGGAAAGTTGAAGATTGGCTCGAGCTTGTGGACGGGATATCTGAAGCTGAGTCCAGATATCTTCTGCTGCAGCATCTCTTTTCTTCAGCATTTTGGTTTGGCAATAGATTTTGCCTAGCTAGGCTGTCTCTAATGGCTTTCCTAAGCTCCTCAATGCAGTCTCTTGAAGAACCATCAGCAGAAAGGCGTGGATTTTTTATCCCCATTGGATGGTTTCGCTCCCCAACTGGACTTGAATTCGTTCTCTGAACCACTTGATCATTTCTCATCCTATCGCATTTTTCCTTTTCCTTCTTCTTCAATCTGGCCATATAATGAGATGCTTCTTGCAATTTCCCAAGCTTATGTAGAGAGTCTTGCAAATCAAGCGCTCCTTTCAACAAATCTTTTGCTATATCCTTCGAATGCCCATCATACCAAAGCCCTTTGGACCATGAGTCAATTACCTGATTCAGCTCGTGCGCTCCTCTTGAAACCTCCAAGAGCTGACAGGAAGATGAGCTATGTAGTTCTTCTATGGACCCTTCAGACATCGTCTCTTCTCTTTCTGCCATCTGCCCCACATATAGGTTTGATCTGCTCTGTGCTTTTCGGCCTTCATTCTTATGCTCCATCTTCTCAGAACCACTTTTGGACCTTCTAATTGTTCCGCACTCTACCACTCCTTTTCGATCATCACATGTAACAAATGATCTGTACACAACTGATCTCAGACTGTCTTGAGGCATATTCTGTGGCCAAAAGTCAGATAATTTGCATACAAATAACTCAAAGACCAAATCCACCAATGCTAAATATTTCTCATTGGATGATGCTTACATGCTCTTGATATTCTAATCAGTCTTTGCATTGGACAATGGTTGTCTGAAACAGACAAAAGCAGCACTTATTCGGCTCTGCTTCAGTGAAAACAACATAAGCAAAAACCTCAATCAGTTGCCGCCCTAATAAACAAAAGCAATGCCATTAAAAAAAAAGGGAAAAAGAAATTCCTTTTCCCTTTTGAGTGTTTCAAACTCTGGCTGTTGAATCATCCCAGTGATTCCTTATCCAAACAGATAGTTGAAACTAGGTTGATCATAAATCAAGGTTTGAGCAAGAGTTTGACCATAAATGAGGATGAAAGATTAACTTGTATAATTCCATTACATGATCAAAAAGGACATAAAGATTCCTATATATCAATCAAACCAATTCTTTCTCCTTCACCCAATACTCAGAAGCAAGAATGAAAACAAAACCATCCCAAAAGAAACAAAAGAAGAAAGACCCAGATGAGAAAATGCATGTAAAAAGGAAAAAAAAATCAAGAGCGAGAGTTTATGCAGGGAACGCTGACCTGCTGCAAGTTAGCTAGCAGAGATTCAGATCCAAAGAGAAAGACAAAGCAGCCTCGTGCATTGACTTTGTGAAGCAGTGAAGAAGAAGTGTTTACAGGGGCTTTCGGTTTTCTCCAAATCAAAGAAATAAGAGAGACACAAGAAAAATATAAAGAAAAAGAGAATTAAAAAAACAGTTTATTTGTTTAGTTTAATGGGAAAAATGGGGATAATGAGATTGTTTAGGAAGATTATTAAGCGAATCTGCTCGAAAGCACCAAAATTTTAATCCAAATAACACTTCTATCCATGTTTTTCAATTGAAGATTGCCTTTTAGAAAATGTTTAAGAGGTGCAATTGTCAAGGTTAAAAACGTGTGTGATGCTTGTGGAGGAAAAAAGTAGGAAAAGGAAAACAAGAGACAAAGAAAGAATCAACCAGCTGACTATAATATTCCAAAAGAAATTGAAAATGAACCTCACACTTGAAATAAAATTAAAAAAAGTGAAAGTATAACAGCTTAGATTCAGAACTTCAAAAATTTGTCCGAAATTTTTACCTTCAATCGGCTGACTTGAGTGACCAAAATTTGGGAAAAGGAAAGAGGCCTAACCAATCATCCAATCACCAGTTCTCAGCCCTCAATGAGTTTGAGATTTCACTAACGAGAGAAACTTGGGAAGTATCCTCATTTCAACTAAACAGAAAGAAATTCAAATGGTTCAGATTTCAGACAATGCAGGCTTTAAATTTTATTTATCAGACAATGCAGGCTTTAAATTTTATTTATAACAGTTACCAAATGAAAGAACCAAGTCTGTCAATGTTGGAGTATCAGAACAGGCTCCATTGTTCTTTTTCATTCACATCACTTACCAAAACCTGTTACCATTAGTACACTACCACATTAAAGTTCAACCTTTCACCTGCAAATCATGTGCTGACATTGCCTTCTAGGTAAGGGCAAGAACCAAAGAACTATCAGAAAAATTAAAAATTAAAGTCAGGTCTGGTTATTCCTAAACCATTGAGAAAACCCACTTGCATCCATGTCTTAATCACCTCTCACCATCACATCATTAATTAAACGAACTTTTAATTGATTCAAGATTTACCTTTTCTATCTGGGTTTTCAGGTAGCCAGGTAAAAAATCATCAAAGCTGAAAATTGGACGGTTTAAGTGCAGTCACGGGACTCTTGCAATGTCTACATATACATATAAATCCACTACTTTTTGTTGCCTATCATAAATGTAATTGAATCGTCACCTCTACTTCTTTTGGCCACATTCTTCTATTGGCTAGTGCGCAAATAAAGTTATTGGCTAAGTCATGCTTTGAATTTCAAAACCCTTTTTACAAACTTGGACTGCTCAGCCTAGAAAGTTATCTGCAATTTGAAGTGAAATTGACTAAACCCTTTTGCCCATGCGCGATGCTGAGCCAAATGGCAAAGGTAACATTCATTTGGGATCATCAGAAATTTCTCTCAGCTTCAGTCATGTAATTTTTTTTTCTTTTTCTTTCTTCCTTTACAGGTTGTCAATGATAGATATATCTTTTTGGACCATATGAGTGCATTACCTGATTCAGCCCCTTAGCTGAGCTCTCATTCAAACCTTAAAAAAAAAAACAAAAAAAACCAAAAAAAAAAAAAAATGGAAAACAAATGCATTAAACATTTAACAACAGTTGCAAAAAAAAAAAAAAAAAAAGCCATTCTATGCGAATATATATGACATGTTTTGCAGCAAGTGATGATTATATGATTCATTAAGTTGTTGATTACAACTTATTAAGATAATGAAGAGGCTATAATTCTTGTTAAGGGTGGTAATTTTAGTGAATTATGTTTGTTTTTTGTCTACCCTTTAAGTTTTAAATCCCTATTAGAATGTTAATAAAATGATCGAATTTGTAAGATTTAAATATTTCACTTACAAATTTTAAGTTTAAATTTTATTATCAAGAATCTTTTTAACGAATCATTTATAAATTTATTATCTGCTTTAATTTTGAATAAAAAAACTTCCCTCACTTTTAAATTTTTATGTTTTAAAAAAAAATCTCTATGCAAAATTTGTGATTGCAGCAATTTATTCCCTATAGCCAATAATTCAACAGCACAAAGACAACAAAATATCTTTTATTTAAGGATCAAAACGCTCTTCACAATCACATCATTCTTTCCGCTTCAAGTGGGGGCAGTGAGCACATGCCATGTATTTTGATGGCACAGCATTTTTGCTACTAAAGCTTCTAATTATTAAGCCTAAAAGTGGTTAATCATATTAGTAAAGACAAGGGCCTTTGACAATTAGACAAAAGTTTCCAAATGTTCATGGTAAGCTAAAGGTCAAGCTATAATGCAGTCATATCAACAATCAAATAAAAAAAAAAAAAACACATTTTTGGATGAACAATCAACAACAATAAATTTCCGACATGATATCCTATGTTATGGCCAAAAAACTTTTCGGAAAAAAACAAAACAAAAGGGGATGTCTCACTATCAAAATATACCCTTATTTAGTTGCTTCTTGTAAATATAAATTTTATTTTCGGGGCATGTGAAATTTGAGGACAAAGTTACCCTCCTAAGATTTTTGGAAGGGAATTAAATTATTTTTCAAAATAATAATTTTATTATTTTAATGATTTAAAATTATTCCACATAAAAATTTTAAATTATTATCAAATACGATGATTTAAAATCATTCTCTAACTTTTGTTCTTTAAAAAAGATAACATTGGGAGATAAGAATTTACTTTAAAGTTTCATACTAAACTATAAGTTATGGCTAATATTATTCAACAGTTTTAATTCAAACATTTTTTTCATAATCTTATATTTAATGTAACATTGTTAGTAGATAGATAATGAACATACAAATTCTGTCTTATATATATATGTACAAACACAAAGTAAATGACATTTGACACTTGCATGTAACCATCTAGGGTTTCCAAATTTGTAGTAATTAATTAATTAATTAATTAATTAATATCCACAACCTTGTTAGGTGGACATTAATTCTTAGCAGATTTGGTCAAAAATTAAATGTTTGTTGACAACAAAAATATGTCGGTGGTGGACATTGAATCTCTTTCTCGTCACCCAAAAATGTCTTAGAAAAGAAGTACTGGAAATGTTTAATCTGCGAAATAGTTGTACATTTTTCTTTCCTTTATGATATTTCAGAGAAAATAATTTGTTTTAGTTTTAAGCTTAATTTGACAAAAGATTTCAAGAAAAATCAATGAGATCGAAATATAATTAAAGTTTAGTTTAATTAATTTATATTATCACACATAAAAGATGATATTTAATATATTTTAAATTCAAATTTTAATATTTATAATTTTTTTTTCATTCTCAAATTAGGGATCTCTTTTATTAAAAAAAAAAAAATTAATTGAAAGCTAAAGCCATATAAAATACTTGCATTGAGTTGTAGCCGTTTGACATTCCTTTGTCCTCTTGGAAGGCAATTTGAAAGTGAAAATTGCCACGAATTTCAATAGTTTATTACTTTGAAATTTAAAATTTAATAGTATTTTTACACTTTCACTGTTCAATAATATTTCCATTGAATAAAAAAAATGTTGTATGTGTTAAAATTTAAAATTTAAAATTATTAATTATTATTTTTTAAAAGTAATTATATAAATCAATTAATTTAAATTCTAATTTCTTCTTCGTGTCTTTGCTTGAACATCACTTGCTAATTAGTTGCTGTGGAAATTATTCTTAAATAACGTGATAATTTTAGGGATTCATAACATGATTAAAAAATTACAGTCTCCCCAAGATTTCTAGTTATTTTGACTCAATCAACCAATAATAAATAATTTTTGTCAATTTGGTTCAATTCAAGATACATATCTTGGTTGACTAAAAAACAATCTAAAATTTGAAATACTTTATCCCTCATTGAATTTCTCCTCATCATGCCACTTAATTGTTGAAAATATTCTGCCATTTATCTTTTCTGACTCTTGGTTTTGTCCTAATGTTACAAGGTTATGCCTTTCCTTTGGATATAGAGGCAAGGAAACCTTAGATTAACATAAAATTTTATGAAATATGAAGATTCAGGAGAGGAAAGGGAAACCGAATTTTACTACAATTAGGGTATTGCAATAGAGAAAAAAGGAGAATGCACGCTGTCACCTCAAAAATGGCACCTAACTGATTTAGGGTTTATATCTCAACTAACTATAATCTTTTTCCTTAAGTTACCGTCTTCTTTCTTAAAAATAAAAAAAGAAGACAGCAGATGAAAGGTATAAAAATTAGTTAAAACAGTTAAGCTTGTATGTTTTTTCTCGGGCATTTTGCCAGCGTTGACCTGTCTCAACAATTTGACTTTTTTTAGACAAAAACCCTTCAAAATTACCGTATATGTTGTTTATAGTATATTTGTGACAATCGTCGACCCTCAAATTTGTTTCCAAAACGTGCACCTTATTACAATTTCTTGGCGCAATAACAGAAAGTAAGATTAACTGCTCCACGCTCTATCTCTTCAACCCAGCAGAATCAGATGAACCCTTTCATTTTCAATCATTAGCCTCTCATTTTGAAGGAGTAGTTTTTCTCTTTTTCCTTTTTTTTTTTTAATCTCATAGAATATATGATATTGTTATAACTAAAAACCGAAGAAGGGGACTTTTCTTTTTGTAATCATTTTCACCTTTGCTTCTTCTTTGTTTTTCGTTGTTTAAACAAAGAAGAAGCAAAAAGATAATAAGCAGCTTGCATTGACAATGGTTCGAACATTGACACGTCGGTGCAGCATTCAGAGCTCGGGATCTTTTAGGAGAATGCTTGACAATCCAGGAAGACAGCAGCAGAATCTGATCCCAGGTGGTAATGATGTGGAACATGTTGATGATAATCAGCAATCAAGGCGTATTGACACCAGAAATGCAGAAGACCAGTCGATGGAGAACCAAAATAAAGGAGAGCCTCCCCAAGAGAGGCCACAATCAGGTGAAGTTCAACGTTTTTTTTTTTTTTTTTTTTAACAAAGAAGGCCATGGCCTGTGAATATAGTAAGGGATTGCAGTTGCTGATATTTGAATCTCATATTTATTGGATGTCACTTTTTAAGGGTGATTACATGAACTAATTGAATTAAGCTCCGAGTTTTAATTCAACACCTTTCTATGTTAATTACCATAGCTACAGTTCATGTTCCATAAAATTCCATCCTATCCATTGATATTTGATCAAATTCTCTATAAATATGCTTAAGTTCTTCTCATCTTGTTGACAATTAAGTGATATTTTCTCATGATTGATTCTCATTTTCATATTCTAGCTAATTTGCATATGAAAATTGCAATTCCAAAGTTGCATAGGGTTGAAAGGGGAATCTCTATCACTCTTTTTCTTCTCATCTCAAGGAAGAAGATGATGCTAATGATTCTTCTAATAACTTGTTTTGTGGTTGATACAGATATGGAACAGATGAAGGAAAGGTTTGCCAAGTTGCTGTTGGGTGAAGACATGTCAGGAGGAGGAAAAGGTGTTTCTTCAGCTTTGGCTTTGTCAAATGCAGTGACAAACCTAGCAGGTAAAATATTCCTGTCAAAAATCTAATTACCAAAAACATGGAGGCGCCAGGTTTCAGAGATGGCCATGGTGCAATCTTCTGGCTTTTCCTTTTCATTCCAAGATGCAACGTATTGATAATTTTGAGCCTAACGGATGGTCCTTCTCATTCACATCTCTCTGTTGGCCAATTATAATGCAGCATCCATTTTTGGAGAACAAGGGAAACTAGAACCTATGGCTCCAGAAAGGAAAGCAAGGTGGAGAAAAGAAATGGATTGGCTTTTATCTGTAACTGATCACATTGTTGAATTTGTTCCTTCACAACAGAAATCCAAGGATGGAACAAACATGGAGGTCCCGATCTCTCTCAGAAATTGAGCACATACAGATTTTTTTCAAGCTATATTAGGACAAGTTACAATTCTTAAAACTGTTACTTTCATGCTGCATTTTGATTAAAATTTCACCATATTAACTCCCAACAATTTGTTTCAACTTGATAGATTATGGTCACAAAACAAAGGAGCGATCTGCTTGTAAATATACCTGGCCTGCGCAAACTCGATACATTGCTTATTGTGGGTAACTTATCCTTCTAGTTTCTAACCTGATAAAATCACTTGATAATATAGCAAAGATTAACACTATGGTTGCTGATCAAATTATAATGAACAGGAGACTCTTGACAACTTTGGACAAGAAAAAGAATTTTGGTATGTGTCGAAAAATGATGATCAAGAGAACGAAAACAGCCAGAGGGATGGCAAATGGTGGCATCCAACTGTTAAGGTTCCTGCAAATGGGCTATCAGAAACGTCAAGAAGATGGCTGCAATCTCAAAAGGAGTCAGTGAGCCAGGTATTAAAAGCAGCTATGGCCATCAATGCTGAAGTCCTATCTGAAATAGAGATCCCTGAAAGCTACATCGATTCCCTCCCCAAGGTAAAGAAATGCTACTCCCCATCAACTAGAACCTTAAAAGAATTTTTGTAATTTTGATTGTTCTTCCCCATGATGTCTATGTAGAATGGAAGAGCAAGTCTCGGTGATTCAATCTATAAAAGCATTACAGTAGAGTACTTTGATCCAGCGCAATTCCTCTCAACCATGGACTTGTCCACAGAACACAAAGTTCTTGACCTTAAGAACAGGATTGAGGCCTCTATTATTATTTGGAATAGGAAGATGCACCAGAAAGATGGAAGGTCTTCTTGGGGTTCAGGTGTCAGCTTGGAAAAAAGGGAACTCTTTGAAGAAAGGGTACAGATTATTTTACGCCTACTCAAGCAGCACTTTCCGGGACTTCCACAATCTGCACTTGATATATCTAAGATCCAAGAGAATAGGGTACAGAAAGCATTGCAGTTGGCGTTTTTATCTTTCCCTCAATGTATTCTACTTTGATAAACTTATTTACTTATGAACTTCACAGGATGTAGGACACGCTATCCTGGAGAGCTATTCAAGGATTCTAGAGAGCTTGGCTTTCACAGTCATGTCAAGAATTGAGGATGTCCTTCACGCTGATAAACTTACTCAAACATCATCACCAGCAAGATCTGACATGTCCTCCAACCCCGACGAAGATGCAGCGAGGTTGAGTGCTTCAGAGACACCAACACTCTCAGATTTCATGGGTTGGGATATTGGTTCCACAAGGAGTAGTTCAAGAGATCTAGAAATCTACTTTAAGGGTGATAATGACAGAAAAACGTCAAGTCTCCACTTATTCCCTCCCCAATAAAAGCTTCCTATCTAGAGACGCTTGAAAACTCTAGTGGCCTAAGAAGTCCGAATGCTCACGATATTTGACTGATAACCGCTAACCTTTGAAGCAAGGAAACAAGAGGAAGTAAGAGGGAACAAAAAGGAACAACAGAGGGACAACTATAGGGGAAAATAGATAGTTAGAAAGCTTACCTTATGCATATATTCAGCCCCATGTAGGATTTTATTGGGACAGTATCTTTCAGAGTTTACATAGTTCTTCCTTCAGAATTTGGACAGGAAGTGATTATGTAACTCTTAAGATTGATGCATGCACTCGGTAATTGCTTTCTGGCTGTCTGGATCTCTTGTTACCGTCAATTATCTGGTCTGGTGGCGTACAGCTTCTTGCCTTCATTCCACAATGAAACTTTTAGTTTGCTCTCCAACCGTGCTTTATATGTAAATTTCTCCTCTTTTCAGCTTCATTTTTCAGATTCTACCATTTTCACAAACAGCAAAGAAAGATTCACAATGACAAGCCCTATAAAAGAAGTTGGATTTTAGTTTTCAAAAATTTTTCAGCATCAATTATCACATCAGCATAAAGTTGGGAGTTAGAAGGTTAGAGATGATTTTTCTAGGTTGTTCGAACACGAAAGGAACCAGATGTCTTTAAGAAACATAATTAAACATCTTACAATTATTTGAGCGAAAAAAAAAAAAAAACTAAAAAACAATTATTCGAGTGATTTCAGTGTATATTGATTTGCTGCAATTAAGTACGGTAACCCTTCAGAAAGATTTTCAAATCGAACTTGCATTCGAGTGAAGTGTTTATTAAGGAAAATCTTATTTGATCTAAAGAGTTGGGGAAAAAAGTTTTCACACAGATGGACTAAGAACCAAAAATCCTTGCCACACAATTTTCAAATTCTTTTCTAACAGGCACGAGTGACTGCAGCATGTATAGCACCGGCTAGATGAGGGACGGTCTTGGAACTAAGACCTGCCATGCTAATCCTCCTGCAAAGAAGAAGAAAAATGACTTTAAACTTAAATTTAGCATAGTGTCAGTTAAATTGGGCACTTACAGATCAATATTAGTGGGCGACACAGTCTTTGACAACAATAAAAGAGTTCTATGGTTCATCAAATGTACAGACTTCAGAAGCCCCCGTTTCTAATGGTACACGTAGAATAACAATATCAATAATGCAAATGAAGTTCAGGTTTAAGGGATACAGTAAATGAAACAGCAGAAGGGACTGCCAGAATTCTAACTGTAAGGTGGGTGTGGGAGCAGGGAGGTGGGTACCTACTGGAATTGGAGGAAGAGAATACCAAACTATACCTAGAATATGTACTTATTAATTTTATGCAATTTCTAAGTAATACAAAACCAAATAAATTCAAACAGAAACAACTTTATCATAGCAGTAAAGAAGCTCTCTTCATGTTGAATGGAAGTGTTTAATCATAGAACAACATTGATCACATTGATGTCAAATGATCTTATTATGACTTGTGAAAGAACACTGGAAGAAGAAATCTAAAGGCATGATTTTCTAGCTAAGAAGCAATTCACTGCAAAAAAGCAGAATTTTAGAAAGAGGAAAGCATATCCTTCTTGCCAACTGCCTAGAAACCCCAACCTTCCTCTCACTCCTAAATAATATTTGAAAAAAAAATCAATAAAAAAGTGAAAAGAAAAATGAAATAGATCTTTTACCCATCAGATGTCATGTAAATGTAGTATTCTTTGGTCATAAATGCAACTTGATCGCTGTTTAACCCTGTGAAAGTAAACATTCCAATCTGCTTGATAATGTGACTCCAATCACCTGGAGTGCCTGCCAAAAAGAACATAGAAACATGTTTAGTTTATTAGCCGGATGGAATTCACCAAAGATATAACAGTGAAGAAAATACTAGAAAAGAATAAATGCAAATTTTTTGTGTACAACAAATGTTGTTTGCATAGGTATGTCCAACAAATGTTGAATGACTCATACATATCAAACTTACATTTCATGCAAACAGGAATTCTAAAATAAAAGGGCACAAAAATTTATAGAACATAGAAAGAAAGGATTAGGTAAAACCTCTAGTGCTTAAAGCGTCAAATAGTTGTTTGCGCATGCTAATGATTCGGTCTGCCATTGCTTTCACTTCAATCTTCCACTCATTATACATATCACTGCAAAGAAAAATAAAACAAATTTAAAAGAGAAAAAATGAAAGTGCAGTCCATAAGTGAATTAACTTGATTTGAGTAATTAACTCACTCAATGTTGAACAAGAACATCAAAGATAAAAAGAATTAACCTCAAAAAATGAACACATGTTCTTTTTCTCTAATTATTATTACACGATTTGGGCAGTGGTCAACAGTAATTAGAATGTCTTAAGACTCTTAACATTCACTTTTCTTCAAACTCTAACACCAAGACAAATTGTGGCAATTTACTGAAAACTTTTACAAATGTTACTAGTTTCTGTAATCTAACAAGTTCTAAATAGAGGTTGGTTTGGTTACACCATAAAAAGGCCTCACCTATTCTTGAGAATGGTGGCTGCAATTGACGCACCATGAATAGGTGGACTTGAATACATAGGCCTAATTACAAGCTTCAACTGGCTCTCAACCCCGCTTGCAACATCAGCCACTTACAGACCTGTAAGCAAAATTATTATTATATTCCATGCAAAAGGACATAGTTCACATAAAACAACTTAAACAATGGAGCAATGCAAGTGATTAAAATGTAAAATATAACTTCTCCCTCTTGAAATCGATTTAATGGCTATCTAGTAAACCAATCATCTTCAATGAGTTCCAAGATATTTGAAAAATGCCATTTGCACATAGCAAATTATTCCAAAAAATTAAAAAGAAAAAGAAAAGACAACACTTAGCTATTTCCACGCAGCAATAGACATCATGATGTTAGTTCTTTTAATAAATGTGGATTTACATTATTTAAAGCAGATTCAATCTGATTAAAGGAATACAATTCCAAATGTCACGGACAGAAGACATTTTTATTTGAAGTCCAATGCTACTGTAGCAGGGAGCAAAAGGAAGCAGAGCACTCAGTTTTCCCTGATTGCTGGAAAAATATCATGCTTATCATGAAACAAAAAGAAGGCCTGCCGCTTCACGATATCACTTCTATCGTGAACCAATGGATGTGACAAAGTTTTAACTTCAGACAGTGTTTGTTGACAGACAAATTGACATGAGAGGGTAAAATTATTTTCACCTAAAAGGCTATATATTAAAAGTCTCAAAGAATGTCGGGGAGATTCTTCTTAATTGTCAGAGTAACAGTTTTCAGACAAAAGATTTAGGCCTCCAGCATTACTTAGTCATAATAAAAGAATTTTGCTCAAGATTTATAAGTCCAGCAACTTACAATGCCGAGAGCACCAACATGCTCCCCATAAAGTCCCATGTTTTTTGCATAACTCTGAGCTATAAAGCATTCTCCACCATCAGCAACAAACATGCGAACAGGCTGTGCATCTGCATCTAAGCTACCACTTGCGAACCCCTGGAATGTCAAAATTCAAGTGTTTGTAAATTAACCATTATAAAACCTATTAAAACTATAAGATTAATATCTATGGCATTTTTTATGCAGCATTCTAATAATATCACACATATCTTTAACCACAAGTATATTCGATATTGGAAAATTACCTGGTAAGCACTGTCAAAGAAAGGCAATAACCCTTTAGATCTTATCAACTGCCGGATCTGTTCCCATTGCTCAACAGTTGGGTCAACACCAGTCGGGTTATGAGCACAAGCATGAAGAAGAACTAAAGCTCCAGCTGGTGCTGCGCTAAGATCTTCTAGCAAGCCTGTTTCCCAAAAGTTTTGCCATTCTTTTTATTAGTATACCAGGGGAATTAAATACCAAGATATCAGTTCCATAAACAATAGAGAACTTGTATGAAGGAATTTTAAACCAAAAACAGGCAATAAAAAGGTAATGACATATGCAAGCTGTAATAAATGAAGACTTCAATTGTTTCTCCAATAACTTATTGAAATGAACTTATAAACAGCAGCAACTCATTCACAGTATAGCATATTGATAGAATAATTAACTCGGACCTTGGAAATTGAGCCCACGAGTTGTTGGATCATAGTAGTGGTAAGTCTTCACTGACAACCCTCCCATTGTGAAAACTTTCAAATGGTCTCCCAATGATGGAAATGGAATGTATATGGTATGCTGGCAAACAAAAGGTAGGCAAAATAAGAATTACTTGCTCTTTAAATAAAAATAACTTACTACAAAAATTAAAAACAGAAAAAGATTGTGCATTTTACTAGGTGGTAATGCTTTGCTAGAAACTCAGCTCCAACCCTCAAGGAACCACTACCAGGCAAGCACTGAGTAGTAGCCACTCTGTTCTCTCGAATAGCAGGACTACTCCCAAAAGCGACAAAGAGAAAACATCCAATAAGCTATCAAGAAAACACAACAAAAATGGGAAAAGAACTTGACAAACATTTATAAACTATAATTTCAACCGAATCAGAAGCAATTTTTTTCTTTAATCATTTCCTTTCTTTCTTCCTTTCTTTACCTGTCATCACCAAGAATGAGCTTAGCACTCAATTTATTGAACTCTCCAAGACCAAGAATAGGCAGATATACTTTGACTCTTGACCTGGCATATGCAAAGCATGAGCAAAAAATTTATAAAACATTTGAAAACACTACTAAGGCATGAAAAACAGAATGGTTTGAGTGGCTTACTGGTCATTAACAAGAAGCTGTTCCGCTTTCCGAACTACTTTGAGAACTAAAGGTTTTCCCTCCTGTTATGGCATAAAAGATCAACAAAATCAACATCATTTAAAAAATGAAAGACCGATCTTTTTTTTTTTTGTATCAATATGATTTTTTGAGAGAAAACAAAAAAGGAAATTTAAAATACCTCAGTTCTGTAAGCACCAACGCCTAAATTCAACTTGATCGGGCTGGGATCCTTGTTATAAGCAACAGTAACCTATTTGTTCAAATAAAAAATTCACAAAAATAAAAAATCAATCAAATCATTATATCAATATATAATAACATTAATCAATCGAACGAGTTTCGTCTAAAAGCTAATCTAAAATGAAAGTCTAGCAAAAAAATTGAAACTTTAATATTACAGGCACATGCAAATAAGAAACAGCAAATTCTTTGGTTATATTTGATCGCAGTTCATGATTTCCCGTTATCGAACACGTTATGATCCAATCAACAAAGAGGACCGGCTCAAACTTAAAACAAAGTATTGATAGCTCGCGAAAGAAATATATAAACCAAAGATAGAGAGAAATTGATCATGAGTTACCCCTAGAATGGGATCTTGAGAGCTTGAACAATGGCGGCAAACACCGAATCCATTGCCTTTGGGAGAAATGGAAGAGCTTTTTTTTTTTTTTTCTTTCCTATGGTTTTACTGGAACTTCGACAGCAGAATCAGAGAAAGGAGATTTTATTTTTTTTGTTTCTTATTACCTGAGATTCTTTGGTTGGTTTCTTTGACGCTCGTGCTTTTCTCAGTGGTGCACTTTTTGCGACGGTTTTTTTTTTGTCTTTTCTTGGAATGTTTTTTTCTCCTTCTTTCGAAACTTTTTGCGTAGACAAGGCTTCAAGAGCTGCTGATTCGGCGACGACCGTGGAGTTTTACATGGATAAATGGGTCCCACCAGCAAAAAGTACTAGTTGTATCTACGAGTCCACGACTAAAAACTGAAATTATTTTTTTAGACTTATTAAAAAAATAAAAAAATATATTATACAAGTTTATCAAGGTTAAATGTAAAAAAAATTCATGTATTAAATTTATTTTTATTCATTTAATATATTAAAAAATAAAATTTTTATTTCATCAAATATTTTAGTATTTTAATCTAACACACATAATTAATTTATTTACTTGAAATCTATATCTAATAAAATTATGATATGTTACATAAATATTCAATTATCAACATATTATTTATTTTTTACGACAATATTTAAAATTTATTTTTAATTTCAAATTAAAAAATTATATATTAAAAAAAAAGAGATTTGAAAAAAAAAGAAAATAAATTTGTTGCTAACGTAATAATAATTGATGTGAGAATATTTATGACACATAATATGATTTAATTAAGTATTTATATCATGTTAATTACATAACTAACGAGAATAATGTGAAGTATCAAATTATTTAACGGAATGAATATTAAAATATTAAAATAAAAATTTTATTTTTTTAAATATTAAATTAATTGACAAAATATATATTGCATGAGATATTTTACATATTAACTCTTACAAAATACATAAAAAAATTATTGATTTTATTATATTATTATAAAAAAATGCATAAAAATTTCTTAATTTTTTGTATTAAGTTATCAAGAATATATCACAAGGCATTGAATTTATCATACAAGATTATAAAAAAATTCTATCAAATACATTGAATTTACTATACAAAAATATCAAAAATACCATTAACAATTTAATACACGTATTTATAAAAAATATAATTAAAGATATTAAATTTAGAAAATAAGATTGTCAAGATAAAAAAAGACAACTTATTCAATTTACCAGATAAGTTTGTCAAAAATACATCAAATGATACTAAATTTATCACACATAATTATTAAAGTACATTGAGGTACATGGCATGAGTATCTTAAAATAAATAGCAGTGTTAAGTAATATAAGTGATTTTAAAATTCAAATCTGATTTTTTTTATAAAAATTTATATAAATCGTTTAATTTTTTAAATCAAGATAAAATATATTATATTTAATAATTTAAAATAAATGTTACAAATTATACGTTCGAACAAGATATCATATTTAATAATTTAAAATAAATTATTGGAGGTAATACATTTTTTAAATTTAAACCGAATATTCCGAGGGAGACAAGCTGAGCTAACAAGCTGGCTGAATATATCATGGGGATGCCCGATTTGCGATTGAGCTAGCCGATAAGTATGATCTCTCCGGTCTGGCATGAGCCACTCCATTCCTACTTCCACTCAACAAAAAAGATAGGATTCTTGGGCCCTACCTCCAGAGTGGGATATGGAGGAGTGCGTACGGCTATTTCAGACCAAAGGGGGCAAGGGGAATCCCATAAAAAAAAAAAAGTAAGAGAAGTAAGAAAGGGGAGCCACACCCGGGCTATGAGCGTCGTTTTCTTGCCGCAAGGGTTGAGTTCGCTAGCCGTTCAATCCGATCTTCCCTTGGCATGGCAGAAGAGCGCGGCTCGAGACTACTCTTTCAATTCAAAATGAAAGGCAAGCAGGTACATTTTTTAAATTTAAACACTGATTATTATTATTTTTTTTGTAAAAAATTTTAGGAATAAATAAATTATTTAATTTTTTAAGTCAAAATAAAATATATCGTACTTAATAATTTAAAATAAATAGTTACAGATCATGTATTTCGAGATGATTTCGATAAATGATTATCGATAAAATTTAAATTTAAAATTATTTTCGTCAAAAATAATAAATTTAATCGATTAAACCAATCACTTGATAATTGAAATGATTATTTCTCTGATAAAAAACTAACCCAATTTTGCTTAGCATTTGCTAGCAAAAGCGTACATGAAAGATGTCAACAAGTAATCAAGACATTTCTGTGTCATCTGCAACCTTGAATTAATATATTACAATAGTACTAGCCCTCTAAATTTAGAAAAATTCAGCATCTCTCCACCTAAAACTAGCAATGAGTTATAACTCACCAAGAGATTAGCACAAAATAAAAACGGTATCAAAAGAAACACATGGATTAATCCCTTTCAAATTTTTCTCATACTGCTGATTTTCTTGCCCGTCGAATGAAAGATTCAGCACTCTGAAATGTTTTTCTATAGAAGCTTTTCCGTCCAAGTTTTTTATTTCCTTGCTGCAAACATAAGATCAGACCAAAGCTAAATGAAACTAATTTGATGCAAATGGGGTTATGGGAATTATTAATTGAAGATATTATCTACTCATATACTTTATGATCAGTGGTTCAAGCTAAAATCACCTGGAAATGAAAGGTAAGATTTGAATCCTTTGATAGTATCGAGAGTCCATCACGAACAGGCACTGGTAAAAGAGACCCCCCAATATGGAAAAGTTAACCAAACTATCAGATACTTGAAGGAAAAATGAAATAATAGCTTGATAATTTGTTGATTGATAAAATGGTTTTACCCAATGCTGAATCAGAGTCATATTCGTCGAAATTAGATCTCAGCAATGGACTCTTAGATAATGCAGGATTGCCTGTACAGGTAAAGAAGAAAAGTGGCACTCCTTCAATGTCAGGCTCATGCTTGTGTACGAGTCTTGCAGGACTTGGAGCAATAGAAACCCTGCATTAGGGAAAATGGTTGGAAAACATAGAACTGATATAGTGAAGATTGAAGAGAGTTGATGGTACCTTGACCTTGAGTCTTCATTCGATTTCTCAACAGTTGCTATTGTTGCTAGCAGTATTTAGGAAAAAAAAATGAAAGAGCAAATTGACAGAAAGAGTTAGAATTGTAACTGGCTAATTATAAACATAAGCAAGAGAGGTGATTTGGAATAATTACATGCAGACAAATAACGCCGGTGATGTCTAGGCAAATTTGGGTTCCACTGAACTCTGGCCAGAGCAAGCTTGTGAGCAAATTGTTCGCATGAGAGAAGTCTCTGGTAGAACATATAACAAGTCATACATAAATGAACTGCAAATGCTGCCAATGACTAAATTAAGTTGTTAGTATCAGCAAGATGAATATATCACTGACTTGTTTTAGGCAGTTGATGCGGAGCTCAGCCTCAGAAAATGCATTTGTCTTGGAAATGCAGTGATTTAGATTAGCAGAGACGTTCCCCAGATGATCAACAAAGGTAACAACAGCCTTGCATATGTACTCTTTTGTGTTTTCCACCACACTGCAAATTACAAAACATACCAATCCTAGCTTAATAGTAAGTCATGAAGTTGAATGTGTCTCATTGGCAAGTGTCCATCTCTATTTGGTCTAAAGGTCAGTGGTCAGTGGCCAGTGGCCAGTTACCATTGATAGGAGGTTGGGCACAAATGGGCTGGGAGAGGGTAAGCCCTGTATCAATGGCGTCTATTGGTCACAAGGGTCACTGACCACGGGTTGGAACTAGGAAAGTAATCTGAAGAAAAATGGGCTTGAACAGAGGAAGCCCAAGACTTGTACAAAATTCCAGCCCATCAACACCTAACGGTGGGTTCACACTTCACAGTTAATGCGTCTGAAGCAATAGGCTTTACATGAGCCATGACCAAGAGAAAGAGGCTTGAGCCGAAAAAAAAAAAGAAGGAAAAAGAAAAAGAAAGTCATGGGTTCTGATCAGTAACGGCCTAATGGACTCTAAATGAGTCATGAATGAGTTTGGGACCCATAATTTAGGGTCAGATGCAGAGCAGGTCCGTAATATCATGATCCTTCATGGCTTCTCTATTACCCTGCAGCGAAGCTGAGCCAGTCATAACTCAAACTCAACCATGAAAGAGCTTGGTTCGGCCAATGGCCTGCCTGAGTGTCGAGACTCATGGTTGTGGAGTTGGAGTAAAGACCAACTTCCAAATTATAGACAGTTACACGAAAAACGCACCATCAACAGAAGAATAGGAAGAGAAACAAAACTTTTCATGTTTAGGATATGTAAGGGACATCTGGTAAACATGCAAACGAGGTTTTTCAGTAGTCACAGTAATTTTGACTGCTTAGAAATCAAGAAAAACTTACGCTTTCTTCTCTTCAGAGTTCAAGAATGTTGTTTCGCAGTAATCTGCAGCGTAATGAAGCTGAGACCGCAAATCTCTGAGTTCCTATAACCAAAACAAAACAAGCATTAAAATGGAAGTTTTGTATAAAGAAAACTAACCCCCCCCACCCCCCCCCAAGAAAAAGAAGAATGAGAGAGACAGAGATAAACCTGCAGAGACTTGTCAAATCGAAAACCATCGTCCGAATCTTCTTCATTCGGAGGAGAAAATATTTCTGTAATATTCATTCTTTATTGTCTTTGAAAATCAGATCTAACTGATGATGGTAAGTAGAGTAGCTGAGTTAAAGAGATGATGCAAACTTTTCCCTTATCTTTCCTCCGTCTCTTCTTTTGGACTGTATACACTCTTGGGTTAATTCCGAAAGTGAGAGAAGAGAGAGGCTAGTGCTGTTTTCACTGTGGAGCATTCTTTATCTTAATGGCACGAAGAGAATAAGAGAGAAAGATGACAAAAAAGAATTGCAGTCCCGTGATCCTGTGTTGTTAGCTTTTTTGCTTTAAACTCTGTTCCGGAAAAGAGCTGTCACTTACTGACAAAATCATCCAGCCAGTGTGCCACTGCCACACACTTACTTTGTCATGGCGTATCAATGTAGATATACCCTCCATTTCATACAGTATGATGTATGATCTTTATAATGGAATACTTAAATTTGATACTGCAATTTCACTTTTGGCTGCCAGATATATACACCTGAATAATTATGCTGGTGATAAGTAAATTGAGTGGCTGACATCTGAGCAAGCATGTGACTCACTGACGAATGATTGCAAAGCTAGAAGACATTTTAACAGATTTTATTAGCAAAATCTACTGTAATCAAAATTAGATGAACTGATTTCTTCACAACAATGGATTTTCAATGTACACAAAATTACATAGGAAGCAACTGCAACCTTCAATTCTTCTTCCCCAACCCATTCCTCCATTCTCTCCAGAAAGAAATAGTCCTAGTCTCCTACTGTGTAATGGTAACTCTTCAATGGACAAAAACCTTGCTTTTAGTACACAAAGCACCAACATACACTCAGCTCAGGGGCTTCAAAACTATACAAAGGGGTTCCAACCGTGATTTCATTTATATTTCTGCAACTTTAGAAGGCCGCCACTTGCTTCATATTTGAAAATCAATTACACAGTTACCTAGCAGCTTTGCAGCTTCTATTTCTGATAGAACTGTGCATTGATCGGAGGAGACGGAAGCTGGAAAAATATCTATTATATTTTTGTATATTTCAAATGGCTTTGCAAACCCATTTGAAAACTGAATTAAGTTCTTGTCAGGAAAACTAACCTCCAATTTATTAGTACTCCCCTGGCTCCTTCCACTTTCAACCAATATTCCCTTTTTTAAAAAAGGATTATTTAATTCTGAACTCTGAAGGACTAGAATTCTCACTATCCTTATCTACCGGTTCACCTAACCCCATTGAATTCATATCCCCAGCTTCATTGGAAACGTGTAACATATTTAAAGGTCGACTACCACTACCACTACCACTTTTAGCAGGTTGAACAACATCCACTGCTGCAGATAGGGGGAGCAAAAGTCGGTTTGGATCGATTAGATCGATCAAAATTGAGTGAATTCGGTTGAATCGATTCAGTTTATTTGATTTTAATTATAATCGATTTTTTAAATCGGTTAAATTGATTAATTCAATCGGTTTTCGGTTTTTAAATCTGATAACCGTATTGATCGAATTAATCGATTTTTTAATAATTAAAAATAAAAAAATTGAGATAAATATTTTTATTTATTTTTTTTTGTTAAAATATTTTTGAAATTATTAAATTTTTTAGTAATTTAGTTTGAATGATACTAGAGTTTGAATTTTATTGAATTGAATTTATAGTTAAATAATTATTCATAATAAGAAGAAAAATGATAAAAAAATCGGTTATTTAACCGAATCGATCGAACCGAACCGATTTTAGTCGATTCGGTTATGATCGGTTATTTACTAATATTTGATCGATTTGATTATTTATTAAATAAAAATCGATTAAGTCGATTATTGATTTTTTCAAATCGAACCGACCGAATTGATCATTTACTCACTCTAACTGCAGAAGAAAAAAGATCACAAGCACGGCATAATGGTACTGCTAAATGCCCCATTCTAAAACCTATTTTCAGAGCCTTATCATACAACTGAATTGCCCCCATGGCTCCATCACATCCCCTTCTTTGAACACATATCCAACTGAATCCTCAAGTATACTTCAGGTGAATTAGCGTTACATTTCTTAGAAATTTTCCCCATCTTTTTCTCTCCCACCACCGCCATCACCATCCTTAGCCACTGAATTGTCCATAGGTTAGAAGATTTCAGTTGAAGCCCCATAATCTCATATTTAGCCCTCAATGAAGAATTCCTAGAACCCATTTCTCTTCGTTTTTCCAAAAAAATAAATCTCTTTTTCTTGCATTCTTATCCTTTCCATACCTCCTCTTTTCAGCAATCCCTTCCAACAATGAATTAAAAAGATTTTCCAAGTAGTTTCTTTCTACTCCCTCATCTCCGGACCTTAAAGAGCTAAACCCAGAACCACTTTCTTTCTTACTTTCAGAATATCCAGTCTTTCTTGAGGTTTCATAGTCTTTTGTGGATAACTTTGCATGAAGTAGTGTCTAACATGACTTTATCTTACAAAAGGTTGAGAAATTTTGTCCTTTGGAGGTGAAGGATGACGAAAATGAGAAAAACATGAGAGCGGTAAAAGGTAAAGAGTACTTACAGGTACAGAGAGGGATGGTAAGAAATGGAAAGGACATAATTAAAAAAAGTCGTGCAGATAAATAGAACAAGTACTTAGAATTTGCTCCCAAAGTATTTTTAGTCATATAAAGAAATTGGTTTTTATCCCTATTTTAATTTTCTGAAATCTTTGTAACGCATAATGAGAAATTTGTTGAAATAATCCATCTGTAGGAAAGGCCTTCAAATTCTGTATAAACTATTTTTTTTCTTTGCCGTGATTTTAGTGGCGGATATTAATATTTAATTTTAAAAAATTAATTAATATTATATTAAATATTAATTTTTTTCATTAATATATCTTATTAGATATATATATATATATAATGGAGGAAGAAAAAAATTTAAGGTAAAATTAAAAGCGGCAATTACACGAAGAAATGTATCTTGATAGTTTAATTTTGTGTAATCTGGATACATAGAAAAGTTTATTGATAATCTCTTAGCGCGTATGTGTTAAATGTAACTTTAACCTATATATTTTCAAAGTTTAAAATTTGGGGGCTAAGATTCTCTTTTGCTTGTATTACGAGTAGTCTTTGCATTTGCATTAACAGTGTATTCGATTAAATCTGAATTAATATAATATTAAATTTATATTTGATTTAAAATTTAATATTTAAAATTAAGTTTAAATTTAATTAAATTTAATTATTTTAATTCGAAATTAATTTGAGATAAAAAATAAATTATTTGAATTAATTTAATTAAATTTATTAATATTTAAAAATAAATTTAATTTTTATATTTAATAAAAATTTAATTATTTGTATTTAAATTTAAGTTAAAAATATTTTATTAATTAAAATAAAAATATATATTAAAATATAAAAATTTAATTAGACTTACAAATTACTTTAATCAAATATAAAAATATTTAAATTTAATTTAATCCATAAATTAAGTTATTAAAATTTAAATTTGACTCACTAATAAATAAATTAAATTTAAATTTTATTTAAATCGGATTCAAATAATTTATAAATATAAATATAATATTTATTTTCTTATCTTACATAATATCAGGTTTTTTTTTTAAATAAAAAAAAAGATAATATTGATATATGAGTCGTGAACGCAAAAAAAAAACAAATGAATCACTCAAAAAAACCATGAATATCTTTTTCTTTCATAAAGGAGCCAAAAAAGCCAAACCGAGCGTTGACGGCGGCTGTTAGAGATTAAAACGACGTAGTTCGTACGTCCTACCGTCACGTTTTTCATGGGATCAGGATTGACGGCCATGACGGCCTAAATATCCACGTGGCACATGATGCAGTACCGCAATATGGTATATCCGTTACACTGTAGTATTCGAGAAAATATTAAAAAAAAGGTGGAAATATTTTTTTTTGGCCAAAAGCTATTTTCTGCTCGACGAGTATATAAAGTGAAGCACGGCACCTTAATCCAAGCTTATTTCATATATCCGCTTTAGAAAGATCCGTAATTGAAAGAAAAGCCGAAAAGATCGATGTCGCAAATTCGAGTGACGATGGAGGTCGGAAACGACGGCGTTGCAGTTATCGCCATCTCCGATCCTCCCGTTAACGCCTTAGCTATTCCCAGTAAAGCTTTGCTCAGCTAAACTTTATCGCTTTCTTTTCATTTCTTTTTTCGTTCTTCATTTACGATTTGGTGATTTGATTTGATTTTCTTCTTTTATTGTTGCAGCTATTGCGGGATTGAAGGAGAAATTTCATGAGGCGACGAGGAGAAGCGATGTCAAAGCTATTGTTCTAACCGGTGAGTTTCGAGTTTTTAATCTAACCAAATTTAAAAGAATCTTTTTTTTTTTTATGATTATCTTATATTCAAGACTCAAAGAGTATGATCCATGAGGAGTTACTAGAGACAAAAGTTGGAGAAAAAGAACTGTTCAAAATTGCTAAGACGAAAGATAAGAAGAGTAGAAATCTTAATGGTTTTAGACGCATCAAAGGCAAGGACGGATGAGCTTTAGTGAAAGATGAGGAGATTAAAAAGAGTTGGAAAAATAATTTTGATAATTTCTTTAATAGCTATTTTGAGCATGATATAGGTGGGTTGAACATACCTTCTTAGGGTGTGAATCATGTGTTTAAGTGTAATATTAAAAGTTACATAGAGAGGCTTTGAGAAGGATGAGATTAAAGAAAGCTATAGGACCATATGGAATCTTGATTGAAGTCTATAAATGCTTAGGTGAAATAGGGATAAGACGGTTGACGGATCTTTTTAACAAAATTTGGCTTATCCAAAAGATGCCAAAAGAATGGAGGAAGAGCACTCTTGTGCCTTAGACAAGAATAAAGGCAATGTATAAGATTGTTCGAATTATTGAGAAATAAAACTTATGAGTTATACTATGAAACTTTGGGAGAGAATAGTTGAATGTAGGTTACAATGTGAAGTCACTATTTCCAAAAACTAGTTTGGGTTTATACTAGGACACTCCACAATAGAGATGATCCACCTTTTGAGGTTTTTATTGGAGGGTTTTTGGGTAAGAAAAAAAGATCTACATATGGTATTTATCGACTTAGAGAAAGCGTACGATGGAGTTCCTCGAGAGGCGCTTTGGTGGGCCTTAATGAAGAAAGAGTCCCTTTAAAGTACATCAATATAGTTAAAGATACGTATGAAAGAGTGGTAACGAATGTGAAGACGATTGGGGGCATGACAGATAGCTTCCCTATTCCCTTAAGATTACATCAAGGCTCAGCAATAAGTCCTTTCCTTTTTGCATTAATTATAGACGAGCTCACTGAACGTATCCAAGATAAGGTGCCATGTTGTATGTTATTTGCTGACAATATAGTCTTAGTTGCTGAAACTTGTGACGCCTTTGATACAAAATTAGAATTATGGAGGAGTACAATGGAGTCTCGAGGTTTTAAATTGAGTAGATCTAAAATTGAATATATGGAATGCAAGTTTAGTAGTCACAAAGAAGTGGGTACTAGTGTGATTAAGTTGGATGGTGATGGAGTACCAAAGAATAGTCAGTTTCGATATTTGAGATCAATTAGTCAAAGTGATACTTAGATAGAAGTAGATGTCAAACATAAGATTCAAGTAGGATGGACAAGGTGGTGAAGTGCGTTGGGTATGTTTTGTGATCGCAACATGCCTTTAAAGTTAAAAGCGAGGTTGTATAAAACAATTGTAAGGCTTGCATTACTATATGGAACTAAGTGTTAGGCTGTTAAGAAACAACATGAGAAGAAAATGAATGTGGCAGAAATGAGGATGCTTAGATGGATGTGTGGTAAGACTAGAAGAGACAAAATCAGAAATGAAGAGATTCAAGAAAAATTAGGGGTAGTTCGAATTGAAGAGAAGATGAGATAGGGCTATTTGCGATTGTTTGGACATGTGAAACGTAAGCTTAGCCATGCACTGGTTAGGAGAATTGAGTTTCTAGATCTGGGAGAGATCAAAACATCTGGAGGTAGACCATGAAAGATATGGATGCAAGTAATAAAAAACGATATGATGATTAAGGAATTAGATGAAAAGATGGTTACTGATAGAAATGAGTGGTGCAAGAAGATTCAAATTACAACCTAACTTGATTCTCTTATTTGATTTTTCATGCAGCCGACCCCAAAGTATGGGATATAAGGCTTAGTGTGTTGTTGTTGTTGTTGTTGTTATCTTATGTTACATTTTTATTATAAGGTTTGGATGCTAATTCTTGGAATTCTGCTTACTGATTTTATTATATTTTTGAATTGGTTAATGAAGGCAAGGGAGGAAGGTTTTCTGGTGGTTTTGATATCAATGTTTTCCAGAAAGTTCACGAAACCGGTATGAGCTTTTTTGTTAGTTAATTAATTAGAATGTTTGCAGTTCTTTTTTGTGCGGTTAATTTTATAAAAAGTTAATTACTTAAACTTAATGAGAAGTGGAAATTTACAATCTCTAGTCGATTGGTGGTTAAACAGGTGATGTATCGATTATGCCCGATGTATCCATTGATCTTGTTGTTAATGCTATTGAAGGTCTTTCCTCATCCTTTTACTTATTTTGAGTGTTCTTTTTACTGTTATTTATGGCTCATCTTATGCGATTCTTTTCACCCTCTCAGATTGCAAGAAGCCTGTTGTGGCAGCTGTTGAAGGATTGGCTCTTGGAGGTGGCTTAGAATTGGCAATGGTTTGTTCTTTTGTCTCTTGATGAATATGTAACGTGATTAACTTCTTTTGCTAACAAATTTTTGTCTGCCTAAATTTTCTCAGTTGTCTAATCCTTGTTATTCTTATGCAGGGTTGCCATGCACGTATTGCTGCCCCTAGAGCTCAACTTGGCTTGCCAGAATTGTCACTTGGAGTGATTCCTGGGTTTGGAGGTATAGTCACTAGTATATGTCTGACAAAAACATGTGCAGACGTGCAATTATTTTGAGTTTGGATGATAACTACTAGTTTGTACTTTTCAAGCATTGACTGACTTGTTATGCTATGGCTCTTTCAAAGGCACACAACGTCTTCCAAGGCTTGTAGGGCTGTCAAAGGCCATTGAAATCATGCTGGTAATAATTCCTGTCTGTGATGCTTTTTGAAATTTTTGAATGGCTAGTTAACTTAGTTTTCCTATTTTTAGGGGCTTGTAATTTATTCTGCACTGTGATTTTACCTATTCATCACTACAAAAGGGGAGGGATGGAGAGAGGGGGTATTCATCAACATATTAAAAAGTCCATGGTATTAATTCCATCTTCTACTAGAGTTAGAAAACATTGTCATTAGGTTTTCATTCCTTTGTCGTAATCTAGTTGCTGGACACCTCCAGTGGATTAAGAAAAAGTTTATTTTCCAACTAAGAATATTTTTATGATGAATTTTTTTTAGTAGTTACTCATGGTTAAAATCAATAATTGGATTTAATTTTGCTTTAATTGTTCTAATTTCATGATAGGATGAAACTGCAAATCTACCTGTGTTCCTTATCATAAGACCCTAAGCTGATGTTGTATCCTTCACCGTCTGAACTTTAAAATGCTTTTCATTGTTAATGGTTGTGGAGTTCACTTTTTTCACTTGGTAAATCTAATTCATACATGTAAAATGATTTGCAGTCATCCAAACCAATCATGTCTGAAGAAGGGAAGAAACTAGGTCTTATTGATGCTCTTGTCCCTTTTGAAGAGTTGCTGAAGGTTTCTCGCAAATGGGCTTTGGACATTGCAGAGAGACGTAAACCATGGTTGCGTTCCCTTCACAGAACGGACAAGATTGGATCCCTCTCTGAAGCACGGAAGGTGTTAAAAATTGCAAGACAACAAGCCAAAAAGACTGCCCCTAATTTGCCTCAGCATCAGGCATGTCTAGATGTAATTGAGGAAGGCATTGTACATGGGGGATATAATGGAGTTCTACAGGTAGATTTTGGTTTTGAGACATACTGCGTTTACTTGCGTAATTGTCTTCGTTGCTGAAGAAATTGCTTCTGATGTTTAGTTGTTTACATGAATGCTTTTTTTTTTTTTTAATAGAGCTTTTATGATAGTATCTCATAAACTTTTGTGGTGTGCAGTGATGGATTTTGTAGGATCCCTTTAATCTTATATGTGATAATGTTTAGTCTCATAAGAATCTTGACTCAGCTGTACTTAAACATTTGGATTGCTATCCATTCATATTTATTTTTCAAATTGGAATTTATATATGCAGGAGGCCAAAGTTTTTAAAGAGTTAGTTCTTTCAGACACTGCAAAAGGTCTTGTTCATGTGTTCCTTGCCCAGCGTGCTACATCAAAGGTAATTGCTGATACCTGGAACATTTTGCACCTTTTCTCATTTTAATTCCTTCGGCAGTAATTAAGCCAGCGGTGGCACTTGCCTTGTGAAATAGTTGGTTGTCTATATGTAGTGGAGTAATTCAAACTTTAAAGTTGATATTGAAGTCACACAACCAATTGGGATCTTTTGTGGTATTTTTTCTCTGAAATTTTACTTTTGCAGGTGCCAAATGTTACTGATGTTGGTCTAAAACCAAGGCAAACAAAGAAAGTTGCTATTATTGGTGGAGGCCTAATGGGCTCTGGAATTGCTACGGCTCTTATTGTGAGCAATATATTTGTTGTTCTCAAGGAAGTTAACTCTGAATATCTCCTGAAAGGAATAAAAATGATTGAAGGTGGTTATTCATAGTTTATGGTTGCTCTTTTAATAGCCAATAAACTGACGGTAGTAGTGTTTTCTTGGCAAGGAATTATGACATTCTAATTCTTATTTTAAAATATAACATTAATGATTATTTTAAGGTATATGTTACATGTGGAACTATTTACAAGTTATAGAAATTTAATGCTATCTTTTTTCTTCTCTTTTTTGATTTTTGTTGGCAGCAAATATTCGAGGTTTAGTGGCTAAAGGAAAATTGACAAATGATAAGGCAGAAAAAGCTCTCTCAATGCTTAAAGGAGTTTTGGATTACACTGAATTTAAAGATGTAGACATGGTCATAGAGGTGAGCCATGTTATGAAATTTATAACATTTCTGAACTATTGATTGCCATGGCCTGGCCACACGTAAACTCTCATGACTATCTTTACTCAAAATTTGTCAATCTCTAGTCTGTACTTAACTTTGGTTTTTCTGATGTTAAGAGGATTTGCAATGAAATATTTCTAATGCAGTTTCTCTTTGCAGGCTGTTGTTGAAAATGTCCCATTAAAGCAAAAAATATTTAGTGAGATAGAGAAGGCCTGCCCTCGTCACTGCATTTTGGCAACAAACACATCCACTATTGACCTCAATTTAATTGGAGAAAAAATAAAATCACAAGATCATGTTATAGGAGCTCACTTTTTCAGGTTATCAAACTTATTTTCCTCTTTTGCTGACATGTTATTGCCTTTCTAATTATCTATCATATGCGTTATATATGGAGGAATCTAACATATAAATCCTCCATGACTTTTTGAAAGGCTTTATTTGGTACTTTTGGAGCTACAGTCCTTCCACTTGCATCTTGTGGTCCTCAAGTATATTGAGAGGCTGATATTTCTGCAGGAGTTGTGAATGATTTTAAGGAGCCTTGTAATATAATCTTTATAAGTGATGTACACAAAGAATACTTTGCCTAGCTGTCAAACTTTCTCTTCATTTCTCACATATCTTAACATTTTTTATTTTTAACTCGTATACTAATAATCAGTAGTTATACTTCTATCATAATTAATAGGATCATCCAAGATCAAATAGATCCCTTCTAAGATCTCATAATGCTGTTGAGGAACAGAAGGTCCTTTGAACCCTTCATTTTTCACCACCTTCCTCTTCTTTCTTTTGGTTACATTGAACTTTTGTGTTTAGCATAGCACTAGAATGATTCTGAGTGTTTCTTATGTAGACAGTCTTGGAGTCAATGGCACTTAGCAGTCCAGAATGATTTTGATAACACGAATGCTATTCCTCAGAAGCTTTGATTTCTTCCTTTCCTAATGTATTTTTTTCATCTCTTCACACCATGGACAATTAATTAATTTCTTGGGATTTGTTTGTTTATGAGGAAACCCTGTTTAAACAAACATGAATTTTGGCCTTAGGATAAATGATGAATGGAACAAGATGTATAAGATTTCTTTGCAGAGTTTAAAGAAATGAATATTTAAGGAACTGATGTTACTTGAAAAGAACAGATTAAACCTTACATGAAATGAGTTGGTCTCCTAACTGTCATATGCTCTTTGCATAACTGAAATTGAAGTTTTTGGACAATTGCACTATAGTTTGTATTGTCTAATTTCTTTTGTTGAATATATTGTCTGATATTGATCCTTAATAAACCAGCCTTTTTTTATCTTTTTATTTGACTTGGATCTCTCACAGTCCTGCCCATGTGATGCCTCTTTTGGAGATTGTAAGAACACAAAAAACTTCCCCACAAGTAATTCTTGATCTTATGACAGTTGGGAAAGTAATAAAGAAAGTTCCTGTTGTGGTTGGTAATTGCACCGGCTTTGCAGTCAATCGGACATTCTTCCCCTATGGGCAAGGTGCACAACTATTGGTCAATTTAGGTGTTGACGTGTTCAGAATTGACCGGGTGATCAGCAATTTTGGCCTTCCTTTTGGTCCTTTCCAGTAATCTTCTTTCTTTAGCATTAGACAGCTTTTTCATGATTTGAGTACATATGTTTACAACTTTGATGATCTCCTTAAATAGAGAGGAAATCAACCAAATAAATTGTGTCATGGAACTGTCATCATTCTTGGTTGTAGCTTGGGTATAATGATGATTTCAGCATAATATATGCTTATGCAACTGAAAAGCTGGGTATCACTGGTCTTTCTGGAAGGGTAAATCTAAGGCATAAATAATTGCCACATATTGGTGCATCTACACAAGCACAAACACACATCACTAATGATTCATATTACTATCTGGATGCCACTGATGACTTGGGGAACAGATCGGTTAATCTTAGAGTTCTAGTAGTGATCAGATTTCAGTTCATCTGATTGTGGCAATTTGGTTTGAAGCAATACATATGAACTTTATATCCTGGTGTATTCTGGATGGATGGTGATAAGTTATGCTTCTCTTTTGCAATTCTTGCAGACTTCAAGACTTAGCTGGCTATGGAGTGGCCTTGGCAGTTGGGAAAGAATATGCAAAGGCATTCCCAGATCGAATATTCAAATCTCCATTGGTTGAACTTTTGGTGAAAAATGGACGAAATGGTAAAGAAATACTATATTTCTAATCCTGTCACATTCTTTTTCCTCTTTGATAGTGTTGTCAATGCACGTTCCTTTGTTATTGGAGCATTTTATGAACTTTTGGTCTTTCAGGGAAAAACAATGGGAAAGGATACTATATTTATGAGAAGGGAAGCAAGCCAAAACCTGATCCTTCAGTGTTACCTATTATTGAGGAGTCTAGACAGCTTACCAAAATTATGCCTGGTGGAAAGGTACACTTGCCTCCAAAATAAGTCTATAGGCATAAAAATTTGTCCACTGATTGCCAACTTTTAAGATTTATTGTCCCATGGTTGAGTTGTTGGCAGCAGGCTATAAAAGACAGGAGAACAACTGCAATCACCTGCTTAGCAAAATAAAAAGCAACTGCAATCACCTTTTCTGTTGCTTTTTTAGGCAAAATTAGCTAATGCATTGTTATTGTAATTGTTTTACAGCCTATATCAGTTACTGATAAAGAAATTCTGGAGATGATACTCTTCCCAGTAGTTAATGAGGCATGCCGGGTTCTCCATGAAGGGATCGTGGTTCGAGCATCTGACTTGGATATTGCATCTGTTCTTGGAATGAGCTTCCCATCTTATCGGTAAATCTTTGGGCCTTGGGGGCAATTTCTCTTTCATACTTTTTTTTTTGGTGTTGGGTGAGGAAAATTCACGGACAGTTTTTGTTTTATTTGACAACTTTTTTAATGTCGTTGCAAGGTTTGTCCTAAATATTATCTGATTTACAATATTGTTTGATTCATTTGTACGTTCATTTTAGGATCAATTCACGTGTTTGGGAATTGTTATTTGTAGTATGGTTCTGGGTTAGTCCAGAAAATCACTTTGCTTTCGAGTCTTTCTCCCACATTTGACAGTGATTATCTTCTTTTTGGCAGTGGTGGTATAGTATTTTGGGCAGATACGGTAGGGGCAAACCATGTATATAAAAATCTAAAAAGATGGTCGGAAATTTATGGCAACTTCTATAAACCATCAAAGTTTTTGGAAGAAAGAGCCATTAAGGGCATCCCATTGGTAAGATCCTCATCCTTTTTGGTCTGAATATTTTTTTCATCTTTATCGAATGTTATTAAACTTGGCATTGCTTAGATTCCTACGTACATCGTTGCATGTAAGGGTCTAACGAGTCGAGTTCAAATAGTTTAATACTCAATTCAAAAGGCTCTTTAGTTTAATTGAATTTTTACTTTTTAGTATATGTATATAAATAAATGGTAAAAATACAATTTAATGTCAATATTTGCAATTTTATCAAAATCTAATCGAACTTAGCTCAAGTGATTTAGTTAAATTTTGAGTCAGACTTGAACATGAAAAATGAAGTTTGATTGAGTTTAAGTTGAGCTTTGAGTTTTGAATTTTCAAGTGAAGTCGAGCTCGAGCCTGTAAATGGTATTAACTCGATCCAGCTATATTAGGGTACTCTCGGCTGAGATTACACCCTGGCTGCAATTTTCAAAACATTTCTGTGGTTAAGTTTAGGCCCGCATCCATTTTTCCGCTCTTAGACGCGTAATGTTTGTCCCATTTAAATTTTCTCTATCAAAATTGAGTTTACAAAGGAAAGAAGATTATGATGTTCATGTTAACCTTTTTCTATTTTGCAGAGTGCGCCAGCAACGTCATCTCCATCATCAAGGCTCTAAGGCTTATGAAAGTTCAAATTCACCCAGTCCTTAAGCCAGCTGTGTGGTAGTGGATGGTAATAAAATTAATAAGAATTTGGTTTCAAATATAATTGTGTCTTCCAATCGTTACTATCTGAGAAACTCCGAATGGTTTAAAAGCAATAAAAATTATGGTTTTAATACAATTTTAATTTTAATAATTCATTGTTTTTTAATGTAAATAATAAATGTGTTTCTTCGTATAAATATTTAGTAATGTCAAGGAATATACATTGGCTTGACATGCTATAATTTTTTTCATTTTTCAGTTACTGTTTTACAAAATTCACGAATTTGAAATTGACTTCAATATTACTGAACTGAGTGGTATTAAAATCTTAACTTTTGTATATACGATTTAGGATTAAAAGAGAAACTCTCTTATTCGTAAAGACTACATCATGCATTTGTATTACTTACACTTTCTAAAAAAAATCTTTCATTTTATAAATTTTATTTCGCCCATTTCATTTCACTATTTGAATTTGAGGCTTACGCCTCGGATTATCTTCATGGGTACGGCAGCACTTTATGGCCGTACCCTTAATCCCTTGATAGCTTGCTTAAGAGCATTTCAATTTTATGTTCTTCCCTTTCTCTTTTCATCTTCTGAACTAGGAAAGTAAAGCCAGAATCCAATTCGGTTGAAGAGAAAAATGAAAACACCAAACCCAAGGACCAGGCAAACCATACCACAAAACAAAGAGCCTGAAAACTTTTCATTTCAGAAGAATAATATACATATAAATAATGAGAACATTAATGGTTGAGGCAACTCCATGCTATAAAAAAAAAATCCCTCAAAAAATGGATGGGCAAGTAGCACTCAATACAAGACAACTAATTTCCCCATAGATGTTTTTGAACGGGACTAATTAAGCACTAATCAGCTTTCTTTTTATGGAACTCTAAGCTACATACTCCATTAAAAAATTATAAAATTGCTCTTTGTTTTTACCAAAAATTGGGATCGATTAACAAACTCCTAGCATCTAAGAACAGAAATTATCGTGATCATTGGCATGAAGCGCATATAGTACTGTGCAATTTACACTGGTTGAGGCAGAAAACCGATAAATATATCTGTAAGGGGAGAAATTAATCAGAGCTACTAGTCAATTCCAAGAATGATATGCCCGCAATCACCTTGATATTGCATCGAGGTGGAGTGAAAGTTGGAATAGTGAAGAGAACTGAATTATCATACCTTGGGCCAATTGTCAGCATTTAGGATCTTTACATTTGTTTTTCTGTTCTTGATTTCGCATCTCCATTTTCAGGGAGGAATGGAACTCTAGGGGGATCATTATTTGTGGTGGTGACCGACCACCTCAGCAGCCAGCTGAGATGTCTTAACTGTAGTTGGACTGACATTTTTTGCAACTTCATTGGTAATGAATCCCTGTCAATTCCCAGTCTCAGTTCTGACAACTTCAGTTCCATTGCTGAGTGGGCCTCTTTGACTACCTATCTCTGTTCTAGCCAATGATGAACACTGCGTTTCTGTGATTGAAATAGAGCAGCATTGTCAATTACCAATAGTTTATGCATGGAAAAGCTACATAAGATAGATAATACACATAAATTGAACAAGTGCACCCTCTCCCATTTTACAGATAGCAATTTAATTCAGCACTCCTTGATCCAAAAAAGTTGAACCTGGCCTAGAAAAGTACAGCAATTAGATACATATTACGACATGGAATCTCAGGAACTAATTTTGCTGACGCTAACTTTCTCATTCTAGAGAACCCGTCAATCATGAACCATGTTTTACATATGCCATCATATAACTACTATTCCAAAAAAAGAAAGATTAATGAAACTTATTTCTAATATCTGTAAAACAATATGATCTAACTTTCTAAATTCCAACACATCAACTTTATTTTTATTTTCTCAATCCCCTTATCTAAACATCCATAAACTGAATATCGTTCAGTGTCTATGGAAATTTGGGTAAATAGGTTCTTTTCTAGTTATCAAGGACATTTTTCATTATCTGCAAGGGTGGTTTCACTATTGGAAATTTTCTTCCTTTTTGATGTACACATATAATTATTTGTGAATCAAATTTTCAGAGAAGGAAGAGGGAAACTTGCCCTTTATTTCTCCGAAAGTGATAAGCCTATTGAGACAATCTCGAAACTTTGTCAAAACAATTCTTTCCTGCTCTGCATAAATCTCTGTCATGCCCTTTCCATAAGGCAAATGTGAAGATGTGCTGCAGTCATGGTCCATGATCCCATTAGGAGAAGCAGTTGCCATGAACATTGCATCTTGTTCATCACACATCAATGCCAAAGTTCCTGGAGACATAGGCCTTCCCTCTGCCATATCAGCACCATCTGAGCTGGAATCCTCAGGACCAGCTTTATTAGCCTGGTTTGCACTTAAACAATCATCAGCCATGGTTTTCTCAGCATCAGAATCCTTCTGGCTTTGCAGCCTGTCTTGAGTGGATGATGCAAGGGAAGTTGCTGTCTGATCTTCAGCCCGTTTTTGAGTCAAACTTCTCTGATCTGAATGTATACAGAAATTGAAGGAAGACGCATTAGATGAAAAAGCGGCACATTATTAACTTCTTCTGACACAAAGTTAATTGCTTAAAACAAATTAAAAAATGACATACACGGGATTCTTTTAGTTGCATCAACTGTCCAACTATTATTTCTTACAAGTACTCAGTACTCACTAGGACAAGAATGGTCTAAAGTAAAAGAAATATTATAGAAGCAACATCAATACTGATATTCAAACAGTTTTACTATGGTATTTGTTGACAAAGGAAGTCTCTAACTTTAAATGCTCATATTATGTCCTCATTTGAAACAAAGTTCTACCATTAATTTATTCTTCACAAACAAAAAAAAAAAAGTTGTACCATTAATCTTCATTAACATGTACTAACAGAAGATTCAAATAAACAGCATCACACAAATTTGTCTTTATTAGATAATAATGTATCAGTAGACAAAACAGCTAGTGATGAATACAACTGCAAAGCAAGTAGCTCATCATGCATTATAACATTGACACTGTTTTCTGATAAATAAGCACAAGTGACCGTATGCTTACTCATGCAAACACATGAATTAAGCACTGAAGTATGTCGGGAATGAGACACTGCAAGTTTGCACCTGTGATTTGAATTGTTTTACAAGCATCCCCATTTACCTGCAAGTGTCTTTGCAGCTTCTCCAGATAGAACTACCAAAACAGAGCAAAGCTCCTTCAAGTCCTGGTTTTGAATGATGTCTGCTAACAGAGACCTTCCACCAAAATGCATAAGTTAGTTTCCAGAAAAAGGCAGACTACAAATACCCATCAACACTCCATTTACCTATATGTGAATTTTGATGGGCCTACTCCAGCAGTTGTACCAGCATGAGAAACTGGCATAGAAGACAAGAAAGAGGAGGGTGCAGAACCTCTGATATGATTTTCCTGATTAACATATAAAGCAAGCAGCAAATGTAAGTTATAGGAGCAAAAGACAAAAGCAATGACGAGAAAGCTTTTATGGTGACAAGTGAAGCACAAATCAAACGTTAAGCAGCAGCAGAAGAATGAGAATAGAAAAGCTAAATTCACTAGCTGTGCACATGTTCTTTTCTTTTAGAGAAAAAAAAAAAACGGTACTAGCCTAAGACAAATTAAAGTGTAATTGAAATAAGATCCACAAAGTTTCTCCAAAGACAAATGTCAACAAACATGCATAAACCTGTTTACCTGTGGAAAGTGTCCAAGCCTGTGAACAGATGGATCCTTGGCAGTTAACCCAAAGAACAGTTCCTGACATCTTCTCTTCTTGGATACTGGATCAGATGCATAACCTGAGGACCCAATACCTCCAGTTATGGCAGCATTTGCTGCCTGCTGAATATAGGCCATATTGTTGGCATGATCACCATGAAATAGAGCCTGTCTCTCTTCACTTCCCTCAAAATTTTTGCAGTCCATGCATTTGCAGTTTTCAGAGCAGAGAATGTCAGCTTGGAAACACTCACAGTACTTTTTAAGGCACCCAGATTTCTTGCAGTGGCATCCTTTGTTGTGCTTTCCCAACATTAAAACTTCCCCGGCCTCTTTCTAAAAATAATTCAAAACTAGTTCATATGAAAATGCAATTGCAGCAACTCTATGAAATTACAAAATCATTCATGTTATATTTTAAAGTTTATATTTTTCCATCAAATATTCAACCCAGGCCCTTTTCCGTAAGATCATTTTCCAAGAGTCTAACCAAATAGAATTCAGAAAAGAGGAGATCAACTATGTGCCAAAATCAAATGTATCGTCACACATTTAAATACAAGAATATCATTTTAAAAGATTCTGTATATTCCAACAGGAATATCAATGAGTAAACGCAACAAAACATGTGACCCTGCTAGACATGTTAATGGAGCCCTATGAATATTAGTAGCTCCAATGATAAAATTAACCAAAAAATTTTTATAGCTTTTTGTTAAATAAATACTGCACAGAATCTGCAAGGTAAAAAAAATCAGGTTTGACCACATACCCTACTATCTCGTGCACCATGTGGGCTGCTAGCAATTTTTGGCCTGAATGCATTTGGATTACGCTCCAAGGTTGCTTCAACAGCATCTCGTCTCGCAGCTTCATTCTCAACATTGTTATAACAATTAACACAGTTACACCCATCACAATATATGCCAGATGCAAAGCATTCACAGTACCTGATCAAGGCATTGCATTATTAACTTTCTATATCTTATACCATCAAACAAGGTGATTACAATTCACACACAGAAATGGCTTAATCACATTATATGAACAGGAAAATTATACACACAACAAGAATGAATAAAGGAAAACTAGTACTATCTAAAATGCCCAGGCAAGCTGCCTAGATGCTACCTTCATAACCCTATTTCCTTCTATTTCCTCTCATGCACATTTCTCAATAGATGGAACATACAATAACTGTGAACCTAATCAGTGTGTTGGAACACATTTATACATCTGTTATACAGATCCTAAGCTAGAAAATCTACTGAGATATAGTGATAAAGGGTTAAAATCAGTAGAAGAAAAGGTTAACTTAAGGAAAATTCTCAACAGAAGCCTCAGTTATTGAAGCATGCCAAGGGTTGTGGCACAATTGGATGAAGAATGAAGTGCATTTTTTTAAATTAAAGGCATGTTCCTCCTATTTCTGCACTTGATACATTCCCTTGTATTTCTGCAATTGTACAGAAGGAAACATCCCTACAACTTGCACTAAGTTTTGAGGCTACTCAGGCCAAACCAATCTAAATGAAAAGGTTTAATAAGTGATGCAGGACAAACTTATAAGCTAGGAAGTACCGCTTATCAGCCTGAAAAAAGGTGAGATTGGATTCAGCTTGGGGTTGATGACACAAAAATTAATGTTGTGAGACATATTCGTAGTAAATATGCATTAACTAAATATTGGTACAAAATATAGAAAAGAGTATTTACTTGATTGTTGCTGATAAGTTGTAGGCTTCTTTCCATTATAACATAGATATATAAACAGTACAACAAATTGAAATATTAAACTTCCCAATTCATGGCAAAATATTTCCTTCTATTATCCAACTCAACTTTGCAAGTATTTTTCTCTTAATGGTCTCCAAAGTCATTTGACATTTCTTTCCCCAAAAAATTTGAAAGAAGAAAAAAACCAAATAAAAAAGTTTAAGATAATCAGATAAAAAATGAAACGCTTGCAATACTAGATACAACCTAATAAGTGGATTTTCCCATTTCATGAATACAAAAGTTGCATTTAAGGGATAAAACCAATTTCTTACCTTGACCAGGAAACAGATTTGATGTCTTATGTATAAAAAATCTATGATCACATGGCACAAGGAACCCTATGTAAAATAGTTCGTAAGAAATATGTTACTGGAGCCAACTAGTAAAATCGTAACAATAGCTGTTCAAGAAAATATCCGGAGAAAAGCAGCAATGAATCATTGAAGAAGAATTCATTCATGCTAAAAGAGAATATAAGTCAATGTACTTACAGTTTCAGACACCGAGAATGTTTACAGTTACACTGCTTCTGCTTCTTTGGAGTAGCATCTTTTAGTTCATTTGGTCTTGGTTTTGCTTTTGGGGATTCTGGTTTTCTGAAGAGAGCAAGAAAGAAAGAGAATAAATTTAGAATAATCCATACTAAAATTCTCAAACAATGACAGATTGTAAAGAAATCCTGCAGTTCTTTGAACCATTAATATCAAGTTTGAGAGAATATCTTCCATAAATGCAACAAAAATTTTAGAAGATTAGCATTAATAATCACAATATGTATTTCATCTGAACTTTATGATTAATAATCATTAGAGATAGAAAGGGGAAAAGCAAAGTCAAACACACACTCAATAAGCGTGTGACAAATATGAGCATTGCAATAATAAAATCAAGAACAATAGAAAGGAAGATTGTTTGCATCCAAATTGGAAAAAAAAAAATTGAAAGAGAAAATAGGATAAATTTCATTGCAATTAACAGGTAAGAAAGGGGGAAATGACCAAAACTTTTATGTCCTCAACCACCCATGACAAGAAAGACCAGTGTTCACATCCTACAGGTACAGCCTATGATCATAACAGAAAGAATGGGAAAAAATAGGAAAGAACCTAAGAAGCCATATAAAAGGTGACTGATCAAGCTTAAACAAAACCAAATTCCCAACAAAGCTACTCATTCATGCTTCATTCCAACACAATGTTTACTGAAGAAATTAAAAGACAAAAGAAATTAATTCGGAAGAGAAAATGGGTGCAAAAGCACCAGTTAACCTCCAAGAGATCAATTCCCAAAAGAAACCCGACTATTCTGTTCTACAATTAGTAACAAAAAAAATACTCAACCTTTATAAAATTTTATTTCTTAGAGAAAAAAAAAAGGCCAAATTTACCAGAGTATGATTCAAACATAATTAAACTAAAGAGTTAATTTTGAAACATGTAAAAACAAAATGTCAATCAGGACAGGGAAGACCGTAAACCAGACTTCCTTACTATGTACACTCTCAACAATGAAAAAGAACAAGCTAATTGTTATAAAAAAAAATGAATTCACAGAGCAAACACCAAAAATATAACAAACTAAAAGGAAAGACCACAATTTTTTATTGCAAAAACTTACACAACCCTTGGAGATGCTGTATTAATAGGAGGAGGTTGCGCATAAGCCACAGTGGCGGTCGACACCATCGGTGGCTTTATCTGTTTCTGCTGCTGCTGCTGCTGATGCTGTTGCTGAGTAACTGCAGCCGCCGCAGCTGAAGACAAAGATGCAACCATCCCTTGTGTGGATTGCGGGTGTTCCGGCAAAACTACAACTCCAGAAGAAACCCCGCCAAAACCGGCCGTGAAATCGAGCTGCGTTACTCGCTTCTTAAACGGAAAATCTGCCGTATCAGGTTGCACCTTTTTTGGCGGGAATTCACCTCCTTCTCCTTCCCCCATCCAATTAAAACTCCCCTGAATTTCAAAAAAAATTAATCAAATTCCAATCTTTTTCCAATTCCTCCACACAACCACAACTGAAAAATCCACCGAATAACCTCACAAATTGCCTTAAATCAACTCAAATTCACCCAATTTTAGATCCAAATCCCAATCTACAATCTCCAAAACCTCAAATTACAAAAATATCCGCGATTTCTCCAAGCTCGATGTTTCCATCAAGAGGGCCAAAAAAATGGAGAAAATTTTGATTCGATCGATTGCATAGAGAGAGAAAAAAAAACTAAAGAACTCTACAGAGAGAAAGAGCGGGCTAGGGTTTTTACAGTATTGATTTTGTAAAATAAAGAAGGGAGAAAGAAGCAAAAGTGTTGAGGACTTTTTTTTTATTTTTTCTTGTTGGTGTTCTGCTTCCTCTTCCTCTTCGCCCTCCGGTTCACCTCCCTCTCTCCTGCTAAGTTTTGAAATTTCAATTTTTTTTTCTTTCTTTGTGCTTATTGAATGGTGAGATTCGCGTGGGTTTTGGGTCGGACGGTTCACGTTGAAAGAATTAATCTGACGGGTAATATTCATAGGAGTGAGTTGATGACCGTTTGCATCTGATTCTTCAAGGTTTAGACAAACAGCGGTGCGAGTGTGAAGGGTGATTGTAAGGTGAGATTGTGACTAGGGAATGGGAGTAGTTATCCATTCTATTTTTGACACGTGGAGGATTGTTTAGGGGATTATCTGAACGAGTCTTGGCGTGAGAGGATTGGGTGGAAAAAAAAAACAAAAACGTGCAATAAATGACGTTTGCTGATTTATACGAGATTTATCAAATAAAATTTTTTAATTGATTTTTTTAAATAAAAAAATTATTATTAAATTTTAAATAAAAATTTTTTTATTTAAAATTTAAAATAATATATAATTAATTTATATCAATTTTATAAATATTATTGGGATGTTAATTCTTTCGTATGGATAATTAATTTTCAAATCTAATTTTAATTTTATAAACTAAAATTATTTTTTAATAAATTTTTAATTTATTTTATTATTTTATTAAAATAATAAAATTTTATAAATAACCAATAAAAACCTTTAAAAAATTAACGACGACTTTTCGAAACTTTTATGATGGAGTCTCCAGATCCATAGGTTATGTCAGCTTGGAGTAAATAAGTACAACTAGTAACAAGTAAAAAAGTAAAAACCAAGAAAGGGGTAAATCATTGATTTGAGAAGGGAACAGAAGCACAAATCTTAAACACAAATTCTGACAGGTCAGGACACTGAAAACCTGAACAAAAATAAAAAGGAACAGTAGACAGGGAAAGCTCCGTCAAGCCGTGTTGTCGACGACAACTTACAAAGCTGGCAAACATCGTGAGAGTGGAAGGCAACGGTGATGGAATTTGTTTTAATGACACGAGTCAACCAAGTCAAGTTGCAATGTGTGGCCTGGGTAGGATAGAAAAGCACGGCTTCCAATCTCTTTCATTTTAAAAAGACTGCTACAGTTAACAAGCACATGAGTACATCACCGAGGAACGGGATCCAGAAGAGAATGGATTTAACTGTCAACTCTCACATATTTACCAGATGTTTAGGGGGAAATGGAAGTGTCATAAGCAAAGCACTGAGAATTAAGCCCTAGCTGTCCTCTTAACACTTTCGTCAATTTTACAGAAAGCCCAAGCTCCATGTAAACCAATATTAAACTACCCTTGCTATTATGCATCTCCCATTCTGTCTCATCCCACACGACGTTGATACTTCGTCCTCGTTCCGAGAACATTTCTCGATGATATTCTTTTGGTGGAGGCACACCCCTGATGGGTGATATGCTTCTCTTTCTCTCACATTGCGGGGAGGAAGCTGTGGAGGTGGAGCCTCTCATACCCTTCTCTTTCATTGAAGTTATCCCCTCCACGATCTCAACGCATGCTCTGATCAGAAAACCTGCCTTCATGCCTGGGAGGAGGTGGACCACCAGCTCCAGAGCCTCTGGGGCCTTCCTTAGCCCAACCACGGGGAGGAGGTCTAAAGCCATTCATATTCCTGCCAGGCACTGATAGATCCATGTGAGAGCCAGGAAAGCGCTTGGGAGCATGCGAAGGAAAAGGACCAGGGTATCCTCCACATGACTTCCTACAAGCGAATAGCGAAATCTCTTGCAATCATTACAATACTCTGCTTGCAAAGTTTATGTTTCCACATCTGAGACATGGTAACTGGTAAGGATATAAAATAAAATGTAATGACAGATGCTTCAAACTTGCAAATTCATAAGAAAAGGCAAAAGCAGAAAATAGAATAGCTCATCTGTGCTAGGAAAGCAGGATGAAACTTAAAACAGTTGAGATTTATAACTCTTTTCTATTAAAATACATTTCAACAATCAAATAAGATTACAAAATCTAGGTTTGTTTTGAATTTTGAAGGACAAGAACAGGCAAAAGAGTGTCTAAACTTGTATGAGTATTGAGAGTAAGAAATCTTGAGAGGATCATGTTCTATGTCACTTATCATACCTGTTGCAAGACAAGTTGTGTCTCCGTCATTCATATTTGTATTTTTGTCAGTTTCATCCATGGCATGTTGTTTAGCCCTGAGCTCAACCAACTGTCTAAAATATTCTTCTTTACTCGTATCTTCCTCCACTTGTTTATTATATCCTCGATTTGGTAAATTGTCTGCTTCAGGGACAGCATCTAATGGTGGATAAATGTTTTCCTGATATCCAGTGTTCTGTTCAAACGGTTGTTTGTTATCATTCTCAGCAACAAATCCAGGCTCTATGAGTATCCTCGCCTGAAAACTGAGCCAAACTGTCAAATGATGCAAAGAAGATGACAAGTAGAACAAATTTCCAGAGTTTTTTCTTTCTTTTTTTTTTTTTTTTGTTGTTGACTACAATTTATATGGTACTTTGCACTCTTGAGAAACACACTAATCAAATGCAAATAAGAATACTGGCCAAGGCTTTGATATCAAGACTAACTACTCAAAATTAGCAGTTGGAGAGCTCTAGCAGCCAAGTTGTCATGTTAAGACAGCCACCAAGGAACCATTGATAAGTTAATGGAGACAAAATTCTCACTCTTTTATTCTTTGTTCTATCATTCTTTGAATGTACCTGGTCTGAAACAGGAACCATGTGCCTTTACGAACTGTTTATTGACAACAAAATTGAGAAATCAGTATCCGATAATGAATGGGGCCAATGTGCTGAGCTTTCCTTATGTTATCAGGAAACCAAAGGGATCTCCTAATAGTATTGTAATTTGTAGCAATTCAATAGAAAAAGGCAATAGTCTATTAGAATCTAGGACCCAACACCTCTTATTGATGCAAATTGTCACCTACTCTACCATTAAAAACTTAAACATTTGGATGAAAAAACGAGAGTGAAGAATCCCATCAAACCTATAGCATCCAAATTTTCTTCTTGTAACTTCACTAGCAAACCAATTGGATCAAATGATTTGAAGCATCTGCTAAGAGAGCAAAGGAGTAGGCATAATATGAAACCAAAAACTTTCAACATAATCCTTATCAGTTCGGATTAGTAACCTATATAATGGCAGTAGAGCTTAAAAACTCAGCATGCAGGCTTAAGCTCCTTTGGATAAACAGAAAAAATGATTGCGATGAAATTAAAAATAATAAAAATTTATTACAATTACAATTAAAAAAATTTATATTAATTTAATTTTATTAAAATTAATATTTAAATTTAATTAATGATATGATAAACTTAATTGTGTCGTATCAACAAGTGCGATGAAATTCAAACGTGAACTTAAACACTTGCTATATGCTCATTGAACTAAATATGTTAACTTGATCATCGCGTTATTATCCTTGAACAGTTAAAAATTCCGGGTTCATACACCTGCGACGCCATTAAATTAAAGTAAAGTTCAAAATGCAAACTTTCCAATCTGTACAAACTTAATTTCAAGATCACCACACTACTCTTCCCACAGGCCAAAGCTTCACAATTCAACTAATTACATTATTATTAGTAAAAGAAAAAAAGCATACACATTTCGCATAAATGAAGTTCCCCAAGAAAAAATCCCTTCGAAATCAAACTTACGTGGCCAAAATCATCTAACTTAGGAACCCCATCATCAGCAACCAACAAATTCCCAGGCTTTTAAATCCCGATGAACGATCATATTCCGATGACACGAGTCAACCCCACATAAAATCTGAAGCATCCACCTTTTAACCTCTCCAATTCTGATCCAAACTTCCTTCCTTTTGGCTTCGTGAATAAGTGCCGCTAAATCGGTCCTCAAGAACTCCAAGGCGAGCACAGCGTCCTCGTCTTCCGCCAAAAGTACTAGTACAAAACGACGATGTTGGGGCAGTTTTGGAGCACGGCCTCGATTTCCCGGCACGCCGGTCGGTAGTCGTGGACTTCCTTGAGGGCCACCATGACATTGTCGGAGAGTCGAGCGCCCTGTAGACATCGTCATTGGGGCCTGAGGTTCTGAAGTATCCGTCTGATGAGAAGTGGCAAGCGAAGACGAGGAGTTAAAGGAAACGACGGCGTATAAGAAATGCCTCACATGCTAGTTAATTGGCAGGGCTTCAAGCTATGGACCATTCTATTTTTGGGCCCAACATCGGAGCCCATTAGGATTGACTTTGAAGTTCATACTTTGGGGATTGAATTTGATGCCCTGGAATTCCAGAAGTTAAATTTATCTCATGTCTGATCCTCCACAATGAGTTGAAACATGTTTGCCAAGTCTCCTTGGAACATGTTATTCTCATATCTAAGAGACTAAGACTAGAAAAGGCTAGAAAATCATCTTAACATCAATATGGAGTTTAACAAGTTGGCTAAATTATTGGACTTACGAATCATTTTATCAAAGAATATAATACGGTTAAATAGATATTACAAAGTATATACCTGAAGAGAAAACTCAACTTCCCCAAAATCTATGTATTCCCATAAAATTCAGAACCTCCTAGAAGATAGCTATTTCAGAGAAGGTATAATCAGAGGGACCAGTTAGAGCGAAGCATAAGGGCCAGGGTCCTGGAATTTCCATCCACTACATAAGCAACGCCTGGCTTGAAGCTAAATTTCCTACCCAGGTTAAATTTTACATAGGATTCAACCTGAAAGTGATCCCAGTTTCTTGGACCTTCAACAATCCCACCAAGATTCATACCCAAACCATATACATCATCAGAAATATCAGACAAATTAACAGCCCATTGTAAATGTTTTGGATTTGCTTGTTTCATCTCAACCCAACCTGCAAGTCTTCTATATTCATCAAGTTCTGACTCCAGCTTCAGGGCAATAGATCCAGTTTCCTGGTTGTTTGTTGTCAAAGGTGGAGAAGATGATTCAACCGTTGAATTATCATCTTCGAGATGTCTTGGAAATCCAACAGAAGTAGCAAGGGCTCCAAGGCGGACATTATGACCAGCCAATTTAGGCCCTCGGTGAAGGCCAAAAAATGAGAGTTTCAATCCTGCTGGAAGTTGACAAACAACTTGTCCAAATGTACTCGAGCAATGTTCATTTCTCATTCCAGAGACAGATTGAGCCAGCGAAGCAATGATATTTGACTTTCTCACTGTCAACCCAATTGCACTTCCATATTGCTGTTGCAACAGGGGTGGCCCAAATGATAAATCAGTGAGGCCCTTTTCCTACTAGACAACAAATAAAATCCAGATTAGTACAGCAAAGAGTTCAGGACGGTAATTAAATTTTCATATCAACAAAGGAATCTGATCAGTAATCAGTGTAAAATTCATGAAAATAAATGCAACTCATAAAAATGGAATGTGTAGACCATTAAGTAAAACACTTTTCAACATTGTTAGTATATAAATAAACTAACAGTAACTTACCCCCCCCCCCCCCAGGACATCGCAATGGGTAAAACTTGAGATTCCAGGTCTCAGGTTCCAATTTTGGGAATAAGAGAAGGGGGGGGGGGGGGGGGGGGGCGCTTGGGGAGTGACAACCACCTCGTATCATGTAATTCAAGGTGTAGTGGATTGTACCTGAAGGGAAAAGTCTGAGGCAACATCGAAGTCTCTAAACTGAGCTCCAAATGGAATAGCAATAGCGGAAAACCAATCACCGGCATTTGCTTTGTAAAACAATTTAGACAGCGACAGTGGAGTTCCATATAAATCACCATCATCACTTGCACCCCTTTTCTGATTAGCCACAAACTCAACCCCAACAGAATCTTTATCCCGAACAGTTGTTTCAAATCTAAACCTGGAATCAACCCCAGTTCTAATTCCTGCCCGACCAATCCCATCCCAATGTTCCTCATCAACCTTGGACATTAACAATACGGCTCCGACAAGATCAACTTCCCCTCTCAAAAGGGTTCTTGATTCTTGGAAGGGATTCCCCTTTGATGCTTTGTAAAATGAAAGTAAACGTTTGACTATGTCTTGTCGGTCTCGGAGTTTCATCGAGTCTGAAAATGATTCTCGCTGTAGCCGCTTCAAGATTTCAATCTTCAACAAGAAAAAAGGGTCGAATCGGTAAAAGAAAAATAGAGATTAAGAAATCATAAAAATGAAAGAATAAATACCGGATTGCGGCGAGATGAAGATTCGCGGCCTTTAACCAGGTCTTGAGCCAACCCTTTTATTTTCTCCACTGTTGAAGCTATGGAATTCATTCTCTGAAGCTTTTTTGTGGGTTTTTGATGAATAACTTGCTCCAGATGTTAAAGGCTGGGGTTTTAATTTGGGTATTTGAAAAGCAGGAGCGGCAACATTTGTTTGCGGCCTTGTAGGCTTTACCGTTGGACTATATGGTTTTTATTTATTTATTTATTCATTTATTAATTATTTTGACTATGATAAATTCCTTTAACTTGGAATGGGGAAAAAGAATAAGAATCAGAAATTTCCAGAATTTGTAGGCAGCAAAAAAGTTTTCAGTGGAATTATTCTGCTTCCAAATTGTTCAATAATCAATGTGTTCTTCATGGTTTACAGCACCCTGTCTCCTTTTTTAAGCTTATTAACTCAATCTCTATGCCTGCAGAGCAAATGAGCTTTGACAGTACATTCTATCACAGCAAATAGTTAAAGTTTAGTGAATATTTGAAGGTTGGGGCATACATCAAATTTGTTGAAGAAAAAGAGGAAAGAAAATTTTTTTTCAACCTGAATTCGGCCATCAGAAGTTCCAATAACTAAAACTTCTTCATTAGCATCAAAAGTCATGCAAAGAACTTTACAATCATTGTAGTTCTTGTTTGCAGTATTTCAATTCTAGTGTGTGTGTGTGTGTGTGTGTGTGTGTGTGTGTGTTTTTTTTTTCTGATCCCAACTTTCCGTAATTCCCCTCCTTTGCATCCCAAGTATATCAGCTGAGCTTATTGCCATGGACCTCACTTCTGAAGTAGTTGGCAAAGATCCTACCATATTATGATTTGTAGTGATCCAAATCTTTGCAGGAAAGTAAAAAAATGTAAAAAAAAAAAGTCATTGTTTTTCTCCAAAATGAAGACAGCTAAAGAAAGGAGGGATAGCCAAAAAGAGAAAGAAACCTTCACAGCTACTCCTTCCAAGGCAGTGCTGGCTGAATATATCAGTCCATAGTGAACCTCTGGAGGGCATGGACAGGGTGTGCTTTGCCTACTAATTTTTTAGAACCACTTTGAATGGTACTGACTAATGAGTGTTCCTGATGCATATCAAGTTCCTGAAAACAAAATTTTTTTTCATTAGCATTTCAATAATGGCTGAAAAAGATTACTGCTTTCTTGCCTGCAGTACTCCAAGAAAAAGGAGGTTTAAACGTTGGATGATGAAGCCCATTTTTTAGGCCCACTCATAAAATAAAAAACCATGTGCTTCGAGGACAACACTCAAAACAATGGGCCCAAAAGAAAGATGAGGAAAACCTTTTCCAATACACCAAGAAACTTTTAATATAATGGGCCAATGGCCTCGTAAGCTCAGGATATCTCGTTTTAGTTCTAGAGAAAATGTTGAATTAAATAATGTTGCATGTTTTCTTAATGATTGTAGTATAATTAATTAATTATAATTTAAATTTATATAAGATTTATTAAAATTTTATATTAAATCTATATTTATAAGTGATGGATCTATATATAAATCTTTATTTTAATTAAATAATTATAATATTGTAATAAAAAAAATTATAAGTGATATACCCTCAGGTAAAAATTTTAAATATAAAATTTGTACGTAGATAAAAAAAACCTAAATGCTCAATTTAGTATCTAACATTTAGTTATTTTATTAATTAAAGTCATATTTGATGTATAAAATGATACTTATCTTATAACGTATTTGGTTTGTATCTAAAAAAATAGGTAGAATTGTAACTAAGATTAATCAACTCTTGACATAGGATAATTCAATTCTCTTAAAATGAAGAGAATTATTTTTAATCCATGATATTCACTACAGGAGATTAGGTATTTAGTGGTTTTTTTTTTTTTTTACATTTAGCAGCGTTTTAAATGTCACTAAAAGATTCACAGCATTTGTGAAAAATGCCATTAAGAGCGACGCCTATACCGACGTCGAGAAAATAACAGTGTTTTTAGAAAAACATCGCTAACTTAGCGATATTTTTAAGCACAAATGCCGTTAAATTTATCAGTATTTTCTTATACAAACACCACTAAATTTAGCGGCGTTTGCACTTAAAACGTTGTTAAATTATGAATTTAATGGCATTTGTATCAAAAAACACCATTAAATTTAGTTGCATTTGTATTTTAAAATGCTGTTAAATGCTAAAAATAGTAGCGTTTGTAGTAAAAATGCCATTAAATTTAACGATATTTTTTTATACAAACATCACTAAATTCAGCATTTAGTGGCATTTTTAAATACAAACGCTGCTAAATCAAAAATTTTATTTTTTTTAATATTTATTATTATAATTAAATAAAAAATTTTAAAAGAAATAAAACTGAATTTAAATTCATAAATTGAATATTATAAATATTTAAATATCTAAATACATAATTTGTTTCAATATGTATGTAATACAAAGTTTAATACATGCAATAACATTCTACTTTGCATTTGTTTTCCTTTTGCCTATCGACGGACTTCATGGAAAGAGTAGCACTTGCTTTGAGTGGAGCCTACAATGCCCATTCCTCGTAGTGGCTTCCATTGCTAAAGAGAACATTTTTTCATGAATATCAAAATGTGCTGTTAGAAATGCATCACAATACATTTCATTTATCTTCTCCACAATTTCATGTTCCATCTTAATTAAAAAATGTCACAGGTAAGCTATGAAAAGTACCATAAAATTTATAATGTAAGAAAAAATTAGGGAAGATATATAAGATCTCATTATTACATACATGCAAAAATAATGGAGAAACAAATTTAACCAAAGCAACAAACTAAGATATATTTTTTTGCCAATGATCAAGATAAATGCACAAGGTAAAATGATGTATGCTCCCTCTCTAAGTGCATTTCACAAAAATACCTTTCATAATCATATTCTTTCATTTTGCATATTTCATTATAAAATTGCTAGACTTGAAATGCAGTGCCATATAATTTGAGGGAAGGAGAATATTCGAATGGCTGAGATAGATCTTCAATCAAGTTCATGTTTGATTGCATTAAAAAAAGATAAAGATTATTTGATTCCATGAAGTTTATAAGATAAACCATTTCAAATCATATTTTCAGCTTGTAAATAAATTCATACAAATAAATGGATTCAAATGCTTCAAGAGAGAAATAAACCAAACTTTTAAAATAAAATGACCATGCAATAGAGTTTCAAGAGGGAAATACAAATTGTGTAATGGATAAATCAACTATGCTGCACCTTGAACTGATGATATAGCTGTCTCTATAAAGATTAATGCTTTTTTAGACTTAGCAACAACAAAAACTGTATCATGAAATCATCAAAAAGTAATTAAAAAAGTATAAAGGATTAATCCAAGTTGATAGGCTACAGTATACACCTTTCAACTATAAAGGTTTCATGATAAAATCCAGAATAGCAAATGAAAGCATCACAATGGTTTTCAATCAAAATGCAAAATGCCGATTTAATTAACTGCCAACCTATTAGCTAGTTATCTCAGATTAACATATGGGCAGAGCATAGAGCATCATAAAATATGACAGTAGCAAAGCTTGACATATTTGAAATAAATATGCTTCTTTTATTCTTAAATTAAGAAGGAATTAAAGAGATTAATTTAACAAATACCTATAAAAAAGCTAGAAAAAAAAACTTACTATTCCATCTAAACACATTCGAGTGCATATCCAATTGGCATACAAGTGTAAAATATTATTAGCCATGTTGTTTTATGATACAAAACTAGAAAAAGAATAAAATTCAAGGGGATGACATCAACAAAAAAGTTTTTAATTGAAAGAGATATAAACACAAAAGGCATGTTGCATATAACTCTCAAACTCAATAATTAATAGCAAGATGATTGTGATCTATAGATGTGACAAAATAATTAGATTGAACCCTAAAACTAAATTTTTTATAATGGGTCATACTAAAACAATTAACTTAATTTCTTGTTTCAACATTAAAAGTTTGAAGCCAGAACATCTTTTTTTTTTCCCTTTTTCAAATTGAATTTTCATTTTTGTTCATTTAAATTTTTTTCAAAACAAGCTGAAATTTCAAAGGTCTATAAAAAAACATCATGAGAAATTAATTTGAAAAGCAAAAGTTGAAGAAAAATCACACAATGTAATGAAAGAACACAAAACTGCTGCTAACAACTAATTTGTAACCAAACGTGAATTAATTGATCTACATCTAATTGTTGCTAAAACAAGTGGTCATAAATTGGAATTGAAAAGATCAATTAAGGAACCAAAAGAAAAACTGATTTGAAGAACAAAAAGTACAAGAAAATACAAAAATTAACTAGAAACAACTAAAATATAAAGTGAAATTTAACCGAAACTCACTGAGTTGATGAAATAAAAAATTAGGTCTAAAAACTTATAATGAAAATGAACTTGAAATGAGCTAAGAAACAATTCATCAATCAAGTTTGCTACAAAATTCAACAAGAAAATGGTGGCAAAATAGAGAAAAACAAAATAGAGAAAAACTAACTTAATGAACTAGCAACTTAAGTGATACTCAAAACAGAGAAAAACATAGTAGTAACAACTAAATTTATCCAAACACCAAATGAATTCATGAAAATAAATGCAATCAATTAAAAAATAATAAGTAAACATGTAAAACTAAGAATGTAAAGTATGAGAGAATCAAATCAAACACCTAGAAGGGGAGAGGATTATCATTCATCAAGTTCTCATGCATGGATCATTTCTGCCTTCTGGATTCAGCCTTAATTTTGAAGAATTAACTATACTTGTACAAATGGAATTTGAGGCTGAGTTTTTAGTGGATTATAGCTTATGAACTAGGAATCTAGGAAAAAAATTTTTAAGTAAATCAAACTAGAATTCACTGAGTTTTGATAAAAAGATTGAAGATAGGTCAGGTGCACGGTTTTGAAACCAAATTTGAGTTCGATATGAATTTTACAGAATTTGAAAAGGAAAGTCATGAGAATTTGTAAATTTCATTATGAAAACCTTAAAGAACATTCAAAAAGAATGTAGGAAACCTAAAATTGTAATAAGATTCAATTAAGAAAACTAAAATTAAAAGCTATTTGGTTTGAGAGAAAATGAAAATGATAGCAAATCAGGTTTTGACAAGAAAAATGAAATGTAAAATATCAATGTTGTGCTCTGAGTTGCACCAACAAAGATATATGGAAAGCATAAACTTCTTATAAGACAGCTGATTAGTCATAAAATATGGCCTAAACAAAGTTTAGGAAAGTACAAACAAGCACAAATAAATATCATACAGACATTCACGTGAAACCATAACCTTCCACCCCAAAACCTCTCAACTTCTAACAAATTATTAAAAGAAATTCTTTTTGTAATAGAATACAAAATTCAAATACATTCAGTTATCATGAATTTATACTTTTATACAGTTCTCTTAATTTGAAAAATCTTTTTTCAAAACAATTACGTATCTCACTTTCTTTCACACTCACCAAAGCACATTCAACACATTAAAATGAACAGTAGGCAAAGATTTTTATATTAAACCAGTAGAGATGGATCAAGAATCAAGGCAAACCATTCACATATAGATATGAGATAAGTGAGAACAACCTTATGTTGGAGTACTTAAAGAGCTTTTTAGCGGCTACAAAGACTAGAAAAGCTATCTTAGCATCGCAAAGAGTGAAAAACTCATGAGCTTTCTTGAAAAGTCCTCATCTTTTTTTTTATAAAGTCACCTGCCTCGTTGCTACGTTGTCAATATTCTTGATTTGAATTTTCTTTCTCACCATTCTCTTCCAAGAAAAAAGCTGAAGAAAGAAAGAAAATTATATGGAAGAAAGATGGGGTTTCAATTTTGGAAAAAAATTTTAGCCACGCCATTTCTTCAAGATAGTGACGTTTACTTAAAAAAATGCCACTATTTGTAAAAAAAATTATTGAAGGCATTTCAAGTAAAAATACGCCTTTAATAATCCTATTAAATTTTTTAGAGGAGATTATTGAAGGTATTTTTTGTAAAACACGTCTTTAATAATCCTCTTAAATTTTGATGAGGAGATTATTGAAGGCGTTTTTGACTAAAAATGCTTTTAATAATCTCCTCTAATTTTTTAGAAGAAATTATTGAAGGTATTTTATGCAAAAAATACATTCAATAATCTCTTTAAATTTTGATGAGGAGATTATTGAAAGTATTTTTTTATAAAAAAACACTTTCAATAATCCCCTTCAACTTTTTAGAAAAGATTATTGAAGGTGTCCCATCCAATTTTTTATGAAAGATTATCGAAAGCGTTTCAGGCAAAAAATACATTGAATAATCTGCTCATAAAAAATAGAGATGATTATTGAAGGTATTTTCTGTCAGAAACACCTTCAATAATTTTTTCAAAAAATTATAAAATATTATTGAAGACGTTTTTTTATTCAAAACGCCTTCAATAAATCTTCTTGTCAATAAATTTGTCAAAAATGGAGTAGTGTTATCGATTAGAGCATACGATCATTAATCATAACATTGTAGGTTTGATTTCTTTCTTCAGTAGCTTTTAGGTTTTTAAAATGCCTTCAATAATCTCTCAAAAAACCTAAAAACTATTAAAGAAAGAAATCGAACCTACAACCTTATAATTAATGATTGTATGCTCTAACCGATAATACTACTCTATTTTTGACAAATTTATTAACAAAGAAATTTATTGAAGGCGTTTTTGATCAAAAATACCTTCAATAATCCTTTAAATTTTTTTAAGAAAATTATTGAAAGCGTTTCTGGCAAAAAATACCTTTAATAATTGCTTTTATTTTTTATGTACAGATTATTCAAGGCGTTTTTTGTCTGAAACGCCTTTAATAATCCTCTATCTTTTTTTTTATGAGGAGATTATTCAAGGTATTTTCTACAAAATAAAACACCTTTAATAATCACTTGAATTTTTTAGAAAAGATTATTCAAGGTGTTTTAGTCGATAAACGCCGTTAATTTTTATCTTTAATGGTGTTTATAAGGATAAACGTCGCTATTTGAATATTTAGTAACGTTTTGATAAAAAACACCTTAAGTTTTATAGAAACACGAAAGCTAACGATATTTTTAAATAAAACACTGCTATAAACCTGTCACTAATCTTTCATTTTCTTATAGTGATTAATCTTACATATCTTATTATATCCTTAAAATTATATCAATAATTTAAGTTGTATAAAATTTGAATAAAATTAATTTTGAACAATAAATAAAGTTATCATACCTTAATCTTTAAATACATCAAATACAAATTAAGATAATATTATTTAATATAATTCTATTTATAATATTATCTTATTTTATCCAATCATAATATTAAAAATAGAATATTTAAATTCAATTACTTAATTAAAAAATACATATATCATCCTATTATTATATATTAAATCAAATACTCCATTGGATACTCCTAAATTCCTAACTGAAACATATATTAATTTATAGCAGAATTGTTTCCTTTTGCGTGGTTGTTAGGGGTTGCATAAAAGGAAGGTTTGTTGGGCATATGCAAATATTGGTAGGAGTAGGGGGGTGGCTGGACATTACAGACCATGCCAACAAACAACATCTTGTTGACATGAAATGCATGCGCCACATGGGACAGAATCATTGATCATGACACGTGTCACATCTTGAACATTCATGTAAAAAAACAAATACTTATGATTTGTGGGTTTGAATTGATGACATAGGGTATGTTGCATCTTCTATATGCCATTAATGGAGTATAGATGATGCAATTTCTTTCTAGTTTAGAATCTTAACATTAAAAAAAAAAATACGCGGATTCTTGTCACTATATATACATTTGGAGAAAATTTTCATGAAATTAAGGGCTTCTAAAAAACAAAACTTGAAAAGAAAAAGGAAAATCTTTATATCTCCATCTATTATTTGGTAAATCCTAATTATTAGGCTATAATACTCAAATTCGAAGGTATATATCAGATACAAATATAATAAGTATCCAATACGAGTAAATATAATTTTTTTAAAAAGAATTTTCATGTTTTTGAATGGTCTTTCATGCTCATGTCCAAAAGATATGTGTTGAATAGAAAAAACTTAAATGAAATTTCTTAACTGAAGTTTCTAATTAAAAATGATTAAATAAAAATTAAAATTGAAAATCAAAATCAATAAATTAAAAAAATTTGTTACATAAATCAAATGTATAAAATTTTAAAAAATTTATATATATATTTAGATAGATATTTTTAATAAAAATGCTAACAAAATTTTTATCGTTAATGAGTATCGATTAAATTTAAATTATAAATAATACTTTTAATAAATTTTTTATATATTATTACTCTTCATATTAAATTCTATCAATCTATCAATTTAAATTTTTTATTAAATTATTTTTTAAAAAAAATTTAACAAAATGCCCGTAAAAAACTTAATGTAAGTTTTTAACTGTGTTGAACACACTTAAAAAAAAGTTGAAAAATAAAAATAAAATAAAAGCCCAAGCGTGATATATAGACCCTAGACAGTAGGCATAGACTTTCGGCTTGATTTCCTTAATTTGGCTTGTATATATATGTTTAAAACGCCCAATATAAGATATTATATATCGCTCAAGATATTGGATGATTCAAGAACGCTACTAATTTCAGTCAATGCAGCATTAATTCACGCTACTGGATATACATGAAAGCAAATACTAGTGTAGCAGCAGCTAATAATTTAATCAAATATCTCATAAAAATAGAGATTAGCTTAAATATTCTTAGTAGTAAATTAGAGAGAGAGATCTCCAATTAATCACCCCGCCGTGGTAGAGCTTAGCACACACATGTACATCTACAAATAGTCCAAAGAAAGAATATATGTATAGCATCATGAGCAATCAACCTTACAACATTTTAGCAGAGTGACTGCTCATGGTGTTATATCGTTTTCGTGAAGCTGCTCTGCTCTCATCTCTGGTCTTTGTTTTTTTTTTTTTTTTCCAAGTGTCTGCTAACCTTTCAACGGTTCTAATTAACCCTTCTATCGGGACCCGTCAGCCAGGGCAGGAGCCCAATAATCAGCTCCATTGTCACTCCCAACTTGAAATGTGCATGACACTGGAACCAAGCACAACCCTCTATTCCTCAGGTTCTTCTTTGGCTCTTGATCATGAGAATCCTTCAAAAAAAATGGAAAAGAAGAATTGTTATTTCCATTTTTCTCATGCATGTGAAAGAAAAAGGAAAGAAGGAATATACATTAAGATTTTACCAGCTGATCAGGACCACCTTTCCTCTTCATGCAGTTTTCGTTCAACAGCTAGACAAAAAGATAGCATCCCAAAAAGTATTAATTACTAGCATTTTAATCAGTAATTGATTTATCAAACTTAGCTATAAAGCTGAGAACATTGTTCTTTTGGCACTATCTTCACTGGTTTTCCAAATTCAAGTTCCCCCCAAGTTCCTTTGAGTTAATGGATCCAATAAAGCTTATTACCTGACCAGGGTCGTCAGGAAATATAGAATTTCTCTCCCCTTGAACCTAAACAATTAGATATTATAATCATTAATCAATTAATACCACATTATCCATAAATAAATATATACTGATGCACATGTATATGCAGAGAGAAATTAATGATCGTCCTTTTTTCTTTGTGAAAGTGATAGAAATGCTATATATATTGAGGATACGATGATATTGTAGTTTTTCTTACAGACTGTTGCTGCGGCAGACTCATGTTTCCTGATCCACTGCCCATGTACGGTAAGCTGAGAACCTATATTCAAGGGGATATATGATAAGAGAAGAGAAGGAAAAATATTTAGGACTTCAATGTTAAAAGGAACATTGTGACTGTAAACATTGTGCTGCTATCACTGGTTCATTGTTGTCTGCAAAAAGAAAAGAGGGGAAGGAAGGAAAAAACTTCACCTCAATTTGACTCTGAAGGAATCTAATGTACCCAATAGCCTCTAACAAGACAGAGGCTGTGTCAGTCTGCAAAAGAGAAACCACAACCCTCCAAAGTCATATTTACTGTCTTTTTTTTTCTTTTACTAAATGCTTAACTAAAGCAAAACAAAATGAAGAAGAAAGGAAGCTTTCATCTTTAGAAAAAGACCTTCTTTATGGGTTTTCTACATAAAGAATACAAAATGTTTTTATTCCATCAATTTTCATTCAGAAAAGGTCAAAATCTTTTAGCCAACTTCATTGATTAAAGTTTTAATTACCTTCCCAAATGGAGAAACAAGCTGGTGAAGTGCTGTAATTCTGTCTCCTAATTTTTCCTTCCTCACCTATGCATAAATTTTACAAATCAGAAAAACAAGTTATGATTAACAACTTTTCACTTAAATTATATAATATATATTCTTTTTTCTTCCATTAATATATGGGAGATATAGCTAGCCAGAGAATCATCATCCTTGAAGAAACGGACAATTCAAAGAAGGACAACGCTTTCACCAGCCCACGGATGACAGAGTGTGTTTTTCTGCTTGTGGTATCATGTGTGAGTGTGCGTGCAATTTGTGTTTATGTGGTGAGTAGGAAAGAGAGAGAGAGAAACAGAAGGCTGAAAGGGTTAGGAAAAATTTTTACTGGTTTTTTTTTTTACATTACCTTGAAGGTAGATTGTGTTGCAGAAGGTTGAAACCTTGCTTTCTTCAATGTCCCATCAGTTGGGGTGCTGTTACACTAAAAAGAAAGAAAAGGAAGAAAGTAAGGATATGAGAATTCTCATTGGACAGCAATCTGATAACTCAGAAACGGTTAGTTAAAAAAAAAGAACCCTTCATGGCCTAGAACAAGACATTCAGCTAACTAACCTTGTTGAATACACTATTCATATCAACCACCAGTTGCACTACTTTATCAAAGTAGAATAATAGATCAAATTATGGGTCTATGTAATTCATTTAATATAACTTCAAATAAATTAGGAGACCCTAAAATGACTAGAAAACCTTTTTTTTTCATTGATTAATTTATATATATCTATCACTTTCTTTCCATTTTCTTTCTTTATTCACTCTACCTCAGAGACCGGTGGCTGCCTTGTATCAGCTAATTTGTTACCAGAAAAATCCAACATGTTACTGCTGAAACTTGTTACACAGGACTTGGGGGATGAAGCAGCTGCAATTATCTGATGAGACCAAGCTGGTTTAGTTGCCTGATGATGAAAATCTTCTTTTGCATGTCCATATGCATAGCTGCTTGCAGAGTTTTCTTGCTTCACATCCACAACAGATGTAGCATTAGATGCTTGGGGTAATGCTTGTTCCTCCAGCCAGTTCTCCAACTTCTTGGGTTGAACATGAAACTGGCCTATACCATCCTTTTCTTCTTGTCCCACCAATCCGCCACTACAAATATAACACATGTAACATATATTTTTTTTTGCTAAAGCATAACACATGTAACATAAATTAACTCAATTAACTGCCTATCTTTTATTAGCTCATCAAAGCCAGATCGAATCTGAAAACATGCAATCGTATTATACTTAAGTACATAAATCAAAGTTGAAACTTTGTTAATGATCCAAAGCCAATACAAGAGAGAGAGAGAGAGAGAGTTACAAGAGTAGTTGACTCCATGACTCAGCTGGAAGCTCCTGGTTATCATGCCAACAAGAAGAAGAAGAAGAAGAAGTAGAAGAAGAGGTGGGTGTGAATTGAGGGAAGAAAGTAGTAGGAGGAGGTGGAGGCAAGAAAGGAGAAGCTCCTTGTTGATGAGTTGGTGGGCGCATGCTGTTGATGCTCCACCAGTTAGGATTTCCGGCCATCATCTGCTGCACTGGTGAGCTCTGCAACACTCCTCGGTTCATGGCCTTCCCTCACCAAAAACTGATTTGATGATGATGATGATGAGAGTGATCACTTTCCTTCTTGTTTTCCTTTCACTTTCTCTTTCCCTTACTTTTCTTTTCCCCTATAAGCTGGCTGCCAAGCAAGTCTTTGTAGAAACTTTGGGAGGTCTTCCTACTCTGGTTTAAGTAACAGAGGTAAGAGAGAAGTTACCCTCAAGTCCAATTCCCTGAAAGAATTTGAATCATGGAGGCTTTGAGCACCTTTTTTTTTTCTCTCTTTCCTTACTTTCTTTATTGCTTTGCCTTTTTTATCTTCTTGTTTTTTCCATGCTTTCGCTTTTATCGGGACAGAAAAGGTGAATTGGAATTCTCAATTTCTTATTATCAAATAACAAAACAAAAACAAAAAATAAAAGAACTCACCTAGCTACTGTAACTTTTGGCATATCTATTCTTATCTCTTCCATCAAATCCACCCATATGTATAATGAACAAAACTTACATGTGAAGTTTGTAATATTGTTTATTAAAAATAAATAAATAAAATTTTTAATAAAAAATTTAAATGGATAGATTGATAGATTTTAATGTGAAGATAAATAATATAAAAAATTATTAAAAAATTACTTATAATTTAACTTTAATTGATATTTATTCAACAGTAAAAATTTAATTAATATTTTTATTAAAAATATCTATTTAATAAATATATCAAAATTTATTAAAATTTTTTCAAACTTTGCACACTTAATCTATTTAACTAAATCTTTCAATTTATCGATTTTTTCGATTTTTATTTTATTTATTCATTTCTAATAAGAACTTTTATAAACTTCACCTATGAAATTTCGTATAAATATTTTCCAATGTATTATTAAGTTTCATTTGAGAGCTTTATTGGAATACTCTCATTACATCTAATAATGCACTTTATGACTAGATTTTTAAATTTAATTAATTGATACATAAAATTAATTTTTTTCTTTTGGATTCTTAAATTTTCTTTCAAATTTATAGGCTATAATTCCAGATCAAGAAAAAGATTATTCTAAAACAATATTTTATCTTTTTATAATATATTAAAAAAATAATAATTTGATTAACAAGTGTCTATAAATACTTATTAAAATTAGCTAAATTATTATTTTAAAAAATAGTTTTTTCATTTAATATTTTTTTCTCATGAATTTAAAAAAAATAATACATTAATTACAAAATTCTTTCTTTATATATCACTTTACAAGTGCCTATAGTACCTTTTTTTTAAACATTTTTTAAATAAATACAAGATATATATGTATATATAACTCAGATTCACAAATATTTGAAGAAATTAATCACGATATTAGAAAAAAATTAATTAAAAATGCTTAATTAATTAATCGACAAGTACCTTTCAAGATGACCTAATAAAAAAATATTTTTATTATCCAATTATGAAAAGCTTGACTGATGAGCAAATTTAGCCTATCAGCTAAATGACTATTAGTGGATATACGAAAATGGAGTCACAATTATTTGATGGTATGTTGATTATTGATCATATATATATTGCCATATACGTCACAATGTCTTGGTGTGAGTATGGGCAAGTATGATTTCTTAGTTGAAATTAAGATTGGATTTGTCTTGTCTTAGAATAGTGCATGGTTTCCTTAATTGTGAGGTTACATAAATATTTACAAACTTTATCCATATATAGCATGCGGTTATGACCAGACCAACTTCCATTTAGCTATATGTGAATTGGTTTTGAAATTATTATATTTTTTAAATTTGAAATTTAATTCAACGGCTAATTTATACAATTATTTTTAAGAGATAATATTTAATAATTTTATAAGATTTATAACATTTTTCTATTCTCAAATTATGATTTTTTATATATAAAAATTATTATAATACTTAATTTAAAGGATCATATTTGTAACTATTATTATTCATTTTATAAAAATAATATTTTTATTTTATTTTAAAAATAAAATAAAAATATTAAAAATTTTAATGTAATTGATTCATATAATAATTAAAAGATATTTAATAAATTTAAAATTCAAATTCAAATTTAAAATTATATTATTTTCTTTTATTTTCATGTTGCGATAAAAAAACTTTTTTTTATGCAAAATAAAAAAATTAATTAAACATGGTATTAGAATTTTTGGAGAGAGTGCTTGTAAATGAAGACGTAAGAATGATGGAAAAAATGGAAAATATGAGTAAGAGTGTGTTTGCTTCAATTAATTAGATAATAGACGTGTGGAAAATGTAAAAAGGATGGTGACCGACACACCACATTTTTCAAGAGGTTTGGAGATCCCCAACCTCAGCTCTCCAGGAGAATGATTACCATTTCCAAGATCAATATACTTTTATCTACCATTATTCCTACGCTATTTTTCATTCTGTAGTTTGAGATGCCATTCTTTTTCGGGTTCTATTTTTTTCAAACAAATAATACTATTGAAATTCAAATTTTATAATTTTGTTTATTGAATTAAATTTTTTTAGAAAAGCTTATTATATTAGGTAATTTAAATTTTTTTTTACAATGAAGGTTGAAGTTTATAGTCTATAAAAAAAATTAAATAAATTATAAATATTAAGATTCAAATTTTAAATATATTAAATATAATTTTATAAAAATGATCATATGAATCTATTGAATTAAACTTTTAATTTTATTTATTTAATTAAATGTTGAAATGCCAATATATCTTCTCTTGAATAGGCATTTGAAAAGTCAAAACTTAAAAAAAAAAAAAAAAAGGGAAAAAGTGCCTCTTCATTTAATTTGACCTAGACACTGGTACTGGTAATATGTATCCTTCAAAATGTTCTTGCAACCTCGCTATCTAGTACGTTGAAAGGTCGACAATTATTGATTTCTTCCTTTAGAATTTATACTTTCTTGTTGGGAAGCCCTAGATTAAATGCATGTAAAACAATTGACAAAAATAAGATAACATTCAACAAAATTAGTTAAAAGAGAAAAATATATGCTTTGTATTATATGTTTAAATAAATTTGATAATTTTAAATATAATAAATAATGCAATATAGTAAAAAATCATTTATTAATTATGAGAAAACGTATTTCATATTTAATTATTTTGGTACGAATTTTAATACAATAATATTTATATTTTATATATGTTATTTAATAAATTTATTATGCATAAAATACAAAAAATACATTTAATTAAAATTGTATCACATAAATACATATTTAATATAAAATACGTGAAATAAATATGATATATTTAACATGTTGACAAGTTTCACACATTAAACATGTTTAACCTTAAGGGAGGTAAATAAATAGAAATGGAAAGTTAAAGATAGATTAAAAAATTTTAAAAAAAATTATCACGTAATTAATCGGACTACCCATTATCAATCAAATCCAACCGCCCATAAAGCAATCTTTGCTTGCGATTCCAGAACTACAACAGTTGTTATTTAAAATTTATATGTTCTAACATAAAACAAATAAAATTATTCTCTTGGAATAATTTATGGGATTACTTAATGACAAACATTCCCTTGAACCGCATTTCAACGTTGCAAACAAACAAGCAAAAAAACCCTTAAATCCCGAGCTAATCTGACAAGTGACTCAGGAACATAAAACATTATTTTTGAGGGGTAAGGGAAAAAAATTGGCCATGTTTTTGTCCGTACTGCCAAAATCTTTGTCGGGGGGCGCCATGTCTTTTACTAAGTACCTCTATTTTTTTACCCTCTCCTTTTCCCTTTTTATGTTGTTTGTCTGTATTCCTGGTAATTCCCTTTCACCCAACCAAATAACAAAGAATATTGGAACAAATTAACACCTCTCTCTTGTCTTCTTCTTTCCTTTATATTTTCTCTTCTTTTTGTATTTTCACTGTTTGTTCATTCGATCTGCATCCATTTTTATATTAGTTTGGATTTCAAAATGTAGTTTTGATTGATTAATCTCTCATTCCTCCAAAAATATCATTTTTTTTAACAAAATTAATATTAGGGTTTGAATCTGGCTAAGATTTCTATCCAAATCCCATCTCAATCTTACCATTTGAGCAAAGCCCGACTAGATTTCCTAGATCCCAAAAAAAACCCCCTTTAATTGATACTTATCTAAAGTATTTGAATTTTCATTAAGTCAGTTATATACTGATAAAACTTACTATTTGTTTACTCTTTTCATAGCCTCATATAAGTTACAACTTATACTCAAATTCCAATCTAGTATTGCTTTTTTTTTTTTCAAGTGGCAATGTTTTTTAGGTTTTATCTAGTACATTTTCTCATTAGATCGATTAAAACAAATTTATTTATGTCGAGTCTAAGAAATTTATCAAAAATTATTTTCTTACAATCTCTTAACAAATCTGTATGAATTTTTTTTTCTTAATAACAATAATATGTACATGAGATATGGCCCAAATGATTCTTAACCATCTTAGGTTGCAATATTTTTTATAAAAAAAAAAAAAAGAATTATTTGGGTTTAACCAAATAATAAGAGTTGAGGCCTGAAGATTTAATTAATAAAATAACTAGAACAAGGAATGTTGGAGGATTGAATATAAGCAAATGAATATTAATTAGTTAATTAGCACCTACAGGTACAGCTTTATTTAATCAAAATTCTTGCTTCAGAAACAACAAAATTCGTGCATCATCACAGTCAAGCTAATTAATTTTAGGCAAAGCGTGAGTTTTTGAATAATTTAATTGTCATTATATACCAAAACAAAATCTTAGAAAGAATGATACCGACATCTTTGAATTGGCATGACTTGCTGCAGCTTGTTGTTTCCACAGTGGCTATATTGTAATCCCTAACTATCGAAATCAACAATTTAATTAATATCGAAATAGACAATTAATGTTTCAAACCCCTTCGGCCATGTCGTTTCCTTAGAACTCGAATATTGCCCCCATTAAAGGTTGTGCTTTTTGTTTCATCTTGTTTCATGCTTTGATCATTGGATTCCTCATCACATGCTTTTATGCTAATAAAATTGGATTAATTAAAGCCATAATTATTCTTCTTTGTGATCCCAAAGCTTTTTTTTTATAGGTCTATCTACCCTAGAACCCTCATCTTGGTTTCTTATTTAGAGTCCTCGACCAAACAAAAAGGGAGCATTTCACTTCTAATTGTTTTTAGTACAACATTTTGTTCAATCATAATAAAAAAAATTATATAATCCGTCATTTATAAATGTGGGTTCCAATTTATACTGGATTTTACAAAATTATAAATTGTAATTGGTTAATTATATTATAATAATTATAAGTGATATATTCCAGTAAATATTTCACTTAATTATGATTAAGGATTAAAAACAAATTAACACAAACCA